TCCCCTCTGTGAGCTTTCTAGTTATTCCCCTTGCCATGCAGAAGCTCTGCAGTGTAATACAAACCAATTTGTCCAACCTTTCTTTGATTTAAACAAGGCCATACTAAAACTACCAGCACAACTATATTTATATTTATTGCAGCATTATCCACCATAGCTTAGATATGAAACCAATCCAGATGCTCCTCAGTAGATGAATGGATCACAAAAATGCGGTATACACACACACACACACACACACACACACACACACACACACACACAATGGAATTGTATGCCTCCATCAGAAAGAATACCGCCCCATTTGTTAGAAAATGGAAAGACTTGGAAAAAAATCGTTAAGTGAAGTAAGCCAGACCCAAAGAAATATAGGTTCCATGGTTTCCCTCATTTGCAATAATTAGTATACATCTAGGATGATTTGATCAGATGAGCAGAACAGCTTATATGACCATATAAGATGATGCTAAGTGAAATGAACCCCAAGATATAGACACAAGAAGTATTTGTTGTTGTTTTAATGTACTATGTGATTTTTTTGTTTTCTTTTTATGTTCTTTCCTCTATGGGATTTTGGTACCCTACATCTTGTATATACATTTGTCTAATTTGGAGAGGGGAAGGGGAATAACAAAACGCTGAAACAAGGACACAGGATGACCCATTGCAACAATTTGATACCCACAAGACAGTATATTGAAAACAAACTTTACAACTTGGGGTGGGGGAGGAGTGAGGGATGTAGGGATGGGAGAACAACAAAGGAGAGGATAACAATGCTTGACAAGAAATGTACACATTACCTTACTCGTGTAAATGTAACCCCTCTGTATTACAATAAAATAAAAAAAATTTAAAAGCTAAGTATAGACCTTCCCTATGACCCAGACACACCACTGAGCCAGAATATGATAAGCACACTTGGAGATCCATGTTCATTGCTGCACTATTCACAATAGCCAAGATATGGAAACAGCCCAGATGCCCCACAAAGAGATGAGTGGATCCAAAAAATATGGTACCTATATACAATGGAATTTTACAGAGCCATTAGAAAGAATAAAATAATGTCATTTTCAAGGAAATTGATGTTACTTGAACAAATTGTGTTGTGAGGTAAGCCAAGCTCGGGCAGACAAATGAAACATGTACTCTCTGATATAAAGAAATTAGATCTAAAATGCACTGGGATATGATAGACTGTACAGAATTCTAGATATTCACATACAATGAGACCAAATGATGAACTCTTAGGAGAGAAACACAAAGGCCCAATGACTAAGGGCCTCTTCATATGAATGTAAAATAGCATACATACTGAAACAAACTCCAAGGTATGGAAACAAGAGACCTTTTTTACTTTCTTTTTTTTGTTTTTATTTTTTGATGATTCTGTCTTCTTTATGTATGGTACATTCAAGAGTACATCTTCAGAAGGGTTGTGGGGAGGACACAGAATGCAAGGGAAACAGAGTAAAAAAAAAAGTGTATCAGTGGAGCTCACTGGACACTGATGAAAGTTAAGTATACAACTCGTGGGTCAAGATAGGAGGGAGGGACTGGGAGGGAACGAAGTAACAAAAGACACTGTACAAAAGGAAATGTACTCATGACCTGACTGTGTGATTGTAATTCTGCACATCACCTATTTAATAACAATAAAGTAAATATTTTAATTTAAATTTTATTGTAAAGGGATGCACAGAGGGATTACAGTTACATGTCAGGTAATGAGTACATTTCTTTTTGAACAGTGTTACCCCCTCTCTCATTTTCTCCCCTCCTTTTCTCCCTCCTGACCTTCCTCCCCCCAAGTTGTGAAGTTCAAGGAATAGCTACACACACCAACAGAGATGAAGGTCATAGGTATAGTCTTGAGCAAAATCATCCTGAAAATAACTAAATCGTTCTATTTGCATAAAAATTAAAATATGCAAAATTATATGTACTATTTACAGAATGGATCTTGTACAGAAAACTGAAAAAAGAAAATAAGAGGTCTGGCCACAGTATAGGTCAGTAGTAGTGTGTTTCCTTAGCATATGTGAGGCTCTGAGTCACACTCCAGTATTGAGAAAAAGAGAAAAAGGAATGATACATTATTCAGAGAATGGATACCTCTGTGTGGGAATCAGGTGGCTATGATTGGGAAGGGATGTAGGCTAGGATATATAATGTAGGTGGGATATATTATATAATTAAAAGCATGACTTTACAGGCCCTATAGTTTTATTTCACCTTTCTCCTTAATCATATAACATCATTAACACTCTTACAAGTTCTTTAGTCTTTAGTAAGATTTCTATCATGGCATCATCACTTATGGCCCTTGCCTAGTTATCAATCTTGTTATAGTTTCCACATCTATACAATAAGGTTAATAGTAGTGCCTACTTCACAGGATAATTACTAGACAAAAGAGTACACGGGAAATACTCAGTACAATGCCTGGAACCCAGTGGCCATCCAATCTGAAGACCTCCCTCCTACCAAGCCCGTTTTACTCTCCTTTTAAATGCCTAAGCCTTCTGTTACTTGTACACTTATGAGATATCTGATATACAGTTATCCATGCATCCAGCAAATCGTGCCAAGTATTTGGAATATATAAACCAATAAAGCACACATAGTTTGTCTTCATGGGGCCTGAAGAGATGGAGGTGGGGGAGGTGGATGATCAAGCCATAACCCCTAATGCAGATGTCTAGGTGCTATGAAGAAAATGGGGAATGTTTTCAAAACCTGTCACAAGTCCATAAAGATAGATCTCCTGGAAATTATTACATTCAATATGCCATGAAGATACAGTTTCTATTGTCACCATTAATTATATATATTTATTAAGGTTCTGGAATGTAGGTCAGAGTATCAGTGTACATGTCCCTACAGAAACAAATAGCAGTAGGAGGTGATGCATGCTAAATGCCAACTGAACTCATGGGCAACATTTACATTAGAAGGAGGATAATCACAAGGGCCCTTTAGAAAGGTTTATATAAAGGGTGAATTTTGAGCAGATACTTGAGGGATGAGTGAAACTAAGATAAAAGAAGAAGAACTCTGGACATGAATATCTACCTGAGTACATGCAAAAAGACAAGATAGGTTCAGGCAAGTTGCTGGAAACAAGGAGTGACATGGAAGGGAGTAAAAGAACCAAAGAGTCTGATTATAGAAGGACTTTTTTCATTTTTAATGAAGTTTTCTTTCCATATCATTGGCTCATTGAAACTCTCATTGAAGCCTTGACCCCCTCCAAAGAAAAAATACCTATATAGAAATGCATACAACTTCAATGGTCCATAATTCCCTTAAACTCCCCTAAAGTTGTGAGTGGTTATAAACAAGTATCACTAAAAGGAATTGAGTAGAATGACTTTGGGTTCCAAAGTGATTAGAGGCCTTTGCCAGAGATAATTGATAAATGCTGGCAATGAGGTCAGTTGAGAAACTACTATGGTCTGTGATAATGCAAGCAGGGACCATGTGAACTCACAGTAAGATGGTAGCTGCAGAAATTTGCTCACTAGTTGAATTTAGAGCTTATTCTGGCACAGGCTCTGTACCAGTATTTGGTGGCATATGTGATCATGACTAAGACAAGACCACTGTCTTCCAGGAGCAGGGCAGGCTGAGGAAGAAAAGCAAGCAGCTACAGAGGCAGAGGGGACTTCCTCAGCCACAGGTTCTCTTACTCGGAATTTCCACTCTCTGTCCCTTAAAAAATAAAGTTGAAGTTGTCAGTTTCAGTTTCACGGCCCTTCACAAACTTGTCACAACTCACCTGTCTGGTCTTTCACTTAAGCCGTCATCCTAGCACTTTCCTGTCCCTCAACCCGCAGGCCTGCATGCTCATGTACATTGCCAAGCAGTACATGAACTCTGTCTCTACTTGGCATTTCCCACCTCAGTTCTGTCACCTTTTCCTCCCAACTATACCTAGTTGCTGTACTGACTTCTTTAAACTTTTGTAATTTTTGCCCTGAGTTACTGTGAAGACCTCTGCCTCCCTAGTACTCAGTGAGCTGGAAAGGGCCTGGATATTGCCTATTTCAGGAGGTGCCCAGTTTCTGTGATAAGTATTTACTATATCCATTAAATGAGAGGCCAGAGCCTGGGGAGAGCACAGAGCCACCAGTGAATCCTGGTCTATTGAAATCAGAGAAGACCACCCAGACACATCCTCATGAAAACAAGCACCTTTGGAAAACAGGGACAGTGGCCATCCCATCCTATACTCAGTTAAGATGAGTTTTAAAGTATAGGACATTCACATTGAGCAAGTTAAGGCATTTAGAATTTCATCTATTTGTGACGGTGGTGAACACAGGGAGGGAGTGGATGCGACTTGACTTTCAGATTGAGTGCATACTTCCACATTTCTACTGGACTGTTATTACCACTAAGTTATTTTTTTTAATTACCTGAACTTTACTTTCAAAGGATTAAAAAGCCTAAATCATCTTGGAACTGTCACTAAACTATAACCTTTGCTTTCCATTCTTTCAACAGTTGTGGGTTAAATCGTCTTGTATTCCTGTCTCACCTTTGTTTGCACTATCAAAACACCCAGAAGGTTGCCAAGGACGACCGGATTCTTGGGCTTGTCCACAACCATCACACGAAACGAGCGGACACCTGCCTGGTCTGGAGTAGGAAGGGAGGCAGTGCCTTTAGAGACCAGCCATGGAAGGACTGCGGTGCTGGGCACAGCAGAGGGGCCAAGGCCTAAACTGATGGAACCCACTCGCCAGGGTAATGCCAAGTGCCAGGGAAGGGCGGTGTCTCCCCAACTTTGCCGATGTAGAGGCAGGAGAGGAACCCCCAGTTCAGAGGTTTCCTTCAACGCCACTCTCAGCTACCTTGCAGTCCCCGGAAAGGGGAGGGGAAACCCACAAGACGTTACTCTGATTGGCCGAGCGCGGCAGGGGCGTGGCCCGCGTGGTCCAGAGGGCGTGGCCCGGGCGTGGCGCGGTAGGCGGGCTCGGGGGAGGAAAGGGTACCGCGTGCAGCCGCCGCCCGCGGGCAGGCAGTCAGGATGAGGACGCGGTGGGCGACGCCTCGCGGCGCGGCTCGGTTCGTGCTACTGCCGCTGCTCTGCTGTTTGGGGTTTGCCGAGCCTCTGGGCCGCTCAGGTAACGTGGGGGGACGCGCGCGCCCACTGCGGACCTCGACGCCGCAGCTCTGCCCGCTTGCCTCCGCCTCAGGCTGACTGTGGCCCCCGGGTGGGGGGTCCGAGGGAGGTGGGAGCCGACGGGGAGGAGCTCGGGGACCCCCGCGGCGGGCGGGCGGGCTAGGGGAGGCTCCTCCAGCCCTTCCCCATGCACCGCCCTCTGCAGGTTGCTTCTCTGGGACTCCCCATCTTCTCCCCGGCCCCCGGTCTCTCCCCTTCGCCTCTCTCTCGGCCCCTGACACCCCCCCCCCCCAAGGGTTCCCCGTGGTCCTCTGACTCCACGCGTCCTTGGTGGACGTGAGAAGGGAAGTCAGGACCCACCATCTTCTGAGCAGCACGCCTGTTCAATGCCCTCCCCACCACCTGCCGCAGAGACCCCATCTTCCCCGCCAAAGCACGGCTCCCACCCAGGCTGACCGCCCCAGGCAGAAGCGCAGGCTGCTTGCCTGGGGTCCCCTGGCGCCGGCCGACGGACGGACGGACGGACGCCCTTTGCCAGTCTGGCTCAAGGTGCTGTCGGTGCCACCCTGCCGTTTCTGCTTGGCAGCATCCGGATTCCGCTTTTACTTTCTCTTTGGGCCTTAGCAGAAGGTGTGCCAAGGGCTTTGGTGCTGGGGCTGCATCATGGGCCACCTGAGGACAGCCCCTGCCCACCACTTCTAGCAACGTGCCCATCTGAAGAAGGAAAGGATCGCGTTAACCGTGATGTTTGCTTTCTTTACAGCGAAGTGGCTGATTTAGACTGTGTCCTCGGGAAGAGGTTTTTCAGTGTGGGTGGCATCATCTGATCTTTTCATGGAACCTACATTTAATCTCTACACCCTTCTCCTCTGACCCTCTGCCTGGGAACTAGCGAAAAGAGACATTATTAGTAAAATCACTCATTACTGTAAAAATTCAGTTTCATGCACCCACAACTCAAGGTGGAAAAAAATAGTGCAGCAACTATAGTGAAAACACTGAACTTTCAACTCATCATTTCTTGGTTTCCCTCTCTATCTGCCTTGGTTCTGGTTTGTTTTCTTTGCAAATTTCAAGTGTTCCTTAATTTTTGACAGTCTCTTAACAGTCCCTATTCTGTCTCATTGATCCAAAACAATTCTTTTCTTATTCTCTTCTTCCTACCCTAGGTCTCTGCAGGTATGTTTCCCTGCTTCCTTCTCTGTTTCTAGCAGCTGCTCTAGGGAGCTTTCTCACACCCTCATACCAGGCTTGTGGCCTTATTAGGGGAAGTACTGGAATTTTGAACACTCAGCCACTTGGGTAGTTTGTTTGGCAGTGTCTCAGCTTCACCACGGGAGTAAAGGCACGCATCTTGTCACATGGGTAGGGGGTCTTGGTCACCCAAATGCTGAATGAGAATGCCTCATACCTACATTGCTTCTTTGCCGCCTTGGTCTGCTAACAGCTTGAAGGAAACTTTCAGGGACTCCTGAGGTGTTCAGCAGCCCACACCACTCAGAAAGCTTCATGGCTTTCTAACTCCTAGTATATTGCCACAGAACCCACTGTCACTTTAGGGTCTGTTTTTGACCTAGCAAACCCAGGCTTCCAGTTCTGTCCTGCATCTGTCCATTCTGTACATTTGGCAGAGATCACAAAATGCTTAATGTGGAAATTTTCCTAAAAATTTGTTTCATGACCTTCATTCTTCCTACCTTCCCAAGCCATTTTCTTTTTCATTGATCTGTAGTTATAAATTGTCCATTCCTAGCTTCTCTTATGGAATGGGCTTATAAAACGGGATTGTAGTTTGAAGCAAGCCCTAGAAACAAGTTAGTGAGACCCTCCTATCTCAATAAACAAGCCAGGCATAGTGGTATATATTCTGAATCTCAGCTCCACGGGAAGTAGGAGGTAGGAAATAGGTAGTAGGTAGGAAGATCATGGCTGAGACTAGCCCCAGGCAAACACATGAGACCCTATTTGAAAAATAAAGCAAAAAGCTGAAAGTGTGGCTCAAATGGTGGAGTGCTTACACACAGATGATATGCGGTACTGAGTTCAAACTCTACTACCTTAAAAAAAAAAGTGCTTCAAAAAGCAGTAAGCCTTCTTGTCCTCAATTTCTGCCTTTCAGATGTATTTGGAAACTTTATTGAAGACCAATATAAAGTTGTATAAGATGCAAGAGAAAGCTATCACTAGGGAACCAGCTTCACAATTTGCTCTATAATTACCTTTTCAATAGGGCAGTACATTTGTAAAATACAAATTTTCTCAACAAGCAGTTATTGTTAGTCTCTTAGTCCTTCCCATTCTTCAACATACTGTCTTCATATGATCCTGTGACTGAGCAGCTTCTGCTGGGGAAAAGAAGTATGAAAAACCTCAGAAGAGAACAACTCTTCCTAGCTAATATATGTAAATTCTCATACTACATTATATATGAAGGCTGATAATAGAGTTTCTTGAAATAATATTAATAATTAATACCTGTGCTAAGAAATTACCTTGTCAAACATTGGTATTGATTACATACTTGGATTACAAACACCGGTTTAGACTGAAGCAAGTATGTATGCTGACTAAATGCAATTTGTTAAAACACTTCGCAGCTGTTCCTTAACATTGTGTTCTAAACTACTCCATGGCCCTCCCAAAATCTACTTCCTACTATGTTGTTAAGTGCACACTTGTGTGGAAAATGGGAAAGAGTAAAATATTTTTCTCAGCATCACTATCCAGCACCAGTAAAATTTAAATGACCTTGAATGCAACTGGCAGTAGCATGAAATACTAATTTTATAATGACTTAAGCAAACCCGCAGCCTAGAAGGTTAGGGATGCTGTTCTTTGGTGAAAGCATAAATTACTAATTCTGGAAGTGGCTTAAATCCACTCCATTGATTTCACCTGACATTTAGAGAAATGAAGCCTTGGGAGATTAAGTAACTTCCACATGTCCTCCCAGCTGAAAGGCAGCATAAGTAGCATTTCAACTTAGGACCCCTAATAAGTTTATTGTGTTGCTCTTCCCACTGTACTAAGACCTGTACTCATCCATTGGATTCCACAAAGGCAGTTTGAAAAGTAAAGAATTCCAAATTGCAAAGGAAAGCAAAGCCGCTGCCTCTCAGGTCATTAATTTGAAGCAAACGAGACCAGGAGGCAGAAGAGAGAACATTTCGAACAAGAGGAGCAGACTTCTTGTTTTTGCTTTCTGAGATTTGTTTTGAGAAGGTGAGGGGAAATCGTTTGGAAAAGGAGAGGGCTGAGTTATTAGTAAATATGCAAGAGAAGAACATTACATAAAGTGGGAGTAATTGTCTTGGAAGATAAGACATTTTTCTTTTTTACTCATTATCCTTCCCACCCATGACCATCAAAGAAAGATGGTGGGCATAGCAGAGAAGAAAGAGGGATGAATACGGTTATCGCAGATACCTGGCTATATCCCTATACAGAGTTTTAAAATTCAGATTTGTAGCTAGGCATTGTGGCTCATACCTGTAATCCTAGCTACTCAGGTGGCTGAGATCTGAGAATCATAGTTTGAAGCCAGCCTGAGCAAGAAAGTCTGTGAGACTCTTATCTCCAGTTCATCACCCCAAAGCTGGAAAATAGAGCAATGGCTTAAGTGGTAAAGCACTATCCTTGACCAAAAAGCTCAGGTATAGCACTTAGCACTTGAGTTCAAGCCTCAAGACATGCACAGAAAAAAAATTCAAATTTGTGAACAAAAATAACTTAAATCTTTACAGGGATTTTTTTTGTTTCTCTTGTTTCTCTTGTTAATGTTGTTATTTTAAAACTAAATTCACCCAAAATTCAGAGTTCAGGTTTAATTTTATACTTACTATTTACATAGGGAATTTTCCCTTAAGTTGCTTGCTCTGGGTAGGAGAATTTTTAGCTCTTAAACCTGTGAGTTATTACTAGAAAAAGTGTTCAATATTATTAAAGCCAGTGGTAGTAACCCTAATATCATAATGAAAGTAGTTTGGGGGGAATTTTTCAGATCCTTCTGCTGACAAATCATTGTCATTGAAAATAGTCACTTAACATTTATTAACATGTTGAGCTGTTCTGTAACTTTTTAATGTGTATGTGTGCCAGAACTTGGATTTGGACTCAAGGCCTTGTGCTCTTGTTCAGCTTGCTTTCTTTCTCTTTCTCTGTCCTTCCCTTTCTTTCCTTTTTTCCCTCCTTCCTTCCTTCTTCCTTTCTTTTTTCTTCCTTCCTTCCTTCCATTTCCTTCTTTCTTTCTTTCTTCTCCCTTCTTTCTTTCCTTCCTTTTTTCTTTCTTCTTTCTCTTTCTCTCTTTTCTTCCTTCTTTCTCTTTCTTTCTCTTTTTCCCTTTCTTTTTATCTTTCCTTCTTTCTTCAGCTGGTACTCTATCACTTGAGTTATGCTTACAGACCAGCATTTTGCTAGTTAATTAAAGTAGAATCTCACAGACTTTTTTGTCCTGGATGGCTTCAATCCACAGTCCTCAGATCTCAGCCTCTTGAGTAGCTAGGATTACCAGCATAAGTGCTTTAGTTAACTTTAAATGTAACTAATTTTCCTTGTAAAAGGGCTAGCCAAGATGTTCAGTTAACATTTGTTGTAACAGATGTGAGACCTCCTTCTGAAACTCAGGTGTGCAGGAAGTAATACATTACCTAATCCTCAAAGATGGAGTTGATTTTTATTTTGATTCTTCATCTACCAAGTTGGCAGAACTTCAGTTTCTACCATTGATGAGGTCTTCCCCAGCTCAAGCAGAGTGGCAAGGGAACAGAATGAGGGTCTCTTCTTTTGTCATTAACTTCCACTGGTTACTTCTCATTTTCCCTTTGTGCAAAACATGCTGGCTCTAGAAACCTGGTGTCTCAGATGATTCTAGGAGCTCAGAATCTCAACTGCTTAGGTGAATTGCAGGGTGCTTGCTCCCACCCTCCTGGAGGTGCTATCACAGAGCAAGCCACAGGTCCTTCACCCAGAAACCAAACCTCTGTTCCTCCCATGCCCTGACCCCACTCTTCTACCTCTACCTTCTCAGAAGTCCTCCCTCTCCACTGACACCTCAGTGGCAGGAGAAGGGGTTGTTAAGCCAGTTGTTGTTTTGCATGGCACACTAACTTGCCTTAAGCAGAGGAGCATGGAGGCCTGGTTTCATGCCTGGGGTACGGGGAGGAACCGAGAGTGAGAAGAGCATTAACCTATGGAACAATTCACTTAGCTATAGTAGTTCACACAAGTGAGACAGACTTGTTCTAAACAGGCTTGGGATAGTTTTCATTGACCAGAATGAAAGATGTCTAGAATGAGGACTAAGGGGCTTCTTATTCTATTAAACAAGAGGGGTGGGGTGGATCTTTCATGGATTAGCAAAACAGATAAACATATGCTCTCATTCCTGCTTCTCAGACAGAAGCAGGTACTTTACCACAAACGAGAAAACACAAGGAGAGGCTAAGTAATCTACTCTGACCTCATGTCTAATAATAGTTAGCATTTAGAAGACAAGCAGGTGGGCTCCAAAGCCCAGACTCTGTGCTGCTTGTCACGGCTGTCCTTACAGTTTAAATAAAGCCTGAGGGTAGAAGCAGTCCAACAGTGCTCTGTAACTATGGCACATTGGCCATACCATTCACTCATTGCCTTCCTCCATTGTGTCTTGACCCAGGCCATGATCCATTCACCATCGTCAATGAAAATACAGGCAAGTGCATCAAGCCACTGTATGACTGGATAGTAGCAACAAACTGTGATGGAAGTAGAGACACATTATGGAAGTGGGTGTCACAGCATCGGCTCTTCCATTTGGAATCCCAGAAGTGCCTTGGCCTAGATCTTTCCAAATCCAAGGATTCCTTAGGGATGTTCAGCTGTGATTCCAGCACCACGCTGTGGTGGAAGTGTGACCACCAGTCTCTCTACAGTGCTGCGCAGTACAGGCTGGCTCTGCAGGGTGGATATGCTGTAGCCAACACAAATACATCGGATGCCTGGAGGAAGGGAGATTCCAAGGAGAGCCTCTGTGACCAGCCTTACCATGGTGAGCTACTGGAAAGGAGCTTTGATCCAGTGTCTATAGTAGTGCTTGTTAAATTGGGTTGTGGAGATGCACACCTCATAAAAATAAAAGGAAGTAATTGAGCAGGCCCTGTGTAGTTACTCTGAGCTACATTCTTTTTTTTTTTTTTTTTTTAATTGTGAAAATACTGTACAGAGGGGTTACAATTACATGGGCAAAATTTTTTTTTAAGTTTTGTTTTTTTTTTTAATTTGGCTGTTCTGAGTTTTTTGTTGTTGGTGGTGGTGGTGGTTGTAGGGCTTGAACTCTGGGCTTGGGTGCTGTCTTTGTGCTCTTCAGCTCAAGGCGAGCGCTCTACCACTTGAGCTACAGCACCACTTCCAGTTTTCTAGTGGCTTATTGGAGATAAGAGTCTCACGGACTTTCCTGCCTGGGCTGCTTTGAACCGTGATTCTCAGATCTCAGCCTGCTGAGTAGCTAGGATTACAGGCATGAACCACCAGTGCCTGGCCTTCTGAGCTACATTCTTACCACACACTGTGTGGTTGATGGTACTGTCCCTCCCCCCATGGGTACTGTCCCTCCCTTTATGGGTAGGGCTAGGAGAGGTTAAGTGCCTCAGAAGAAGTTGTGTTAGGTTGAAATTGGGATTTGGAATCTACATGATGCCTGAGGGTATTTACCTGCTATGAAGATATTCTGAGAAAGCATTATTAGAATAACAGGAAATCCTTCATAAAGCTAGAGGTTCTCTAATAGTATAATCTTATAATATTAATCTTCCAAGTTTAAAGGGAAGGAAAAAAATAATATATTTTTTCTTTGCCTAACAATTTTGATGTAATGGGAACAGTTCAAAAGTCTCATGTGGGCTTTTGTTTTATATTTTGCATGGCTGTCACATGTTGATACTTGTGTTTATGATTCAACATTTTTTAAATAGACTTTTTCTTGATTGCTTTCAAAAATAAGTATATGAATATTATCATGACTTCTTCCATGAGTCTGTTGACTGATGGGATGACACTGAATTTCCAAGTTTAAAAAAAAATGAGTAGATGTGTTTCAAGCTAAATGTAATTAGCTATCACCCAAGCATTATGTTGCTCTAAATTACACCAAATGTCTCTCTCTCTCTCTTTCTCTCTCTCTCTCTGTATATATATATATATGTCCTATTACCTTATTCTTCCTTTAAAACTACATATCATTGTATCAATCTTGATCTTCTTTTAGAGCTTACTTAAGCTAAATCAGAATAGCCACTTCCTTTCCATCCTTCTCATTATCTGTACAAACTTTTCTACCGAGAGAACCTATTTCCATTTCCTAGGGCAGATCCAGAAAAATCTTCTGAAAATGTCTGGCTCTACTGATAGGGAAGAAATATTAGAGTCAATGATGGAGAGTTCCTTTTCTTCAATCTATAACCTTTGAGTAATTGAATAAATCTGTTTCTGCCAGCCAGCTGCCTCCTAAGTGGTATTCAGATTAAATCAAATGTTTTTTATATACTACATATTGGCAAATTTAAATTTTGTGCTATGAAAGTCTTTCTCTACCTTGGAATCTAAGAGAAGCCATGGTACCCAAATAAATGTCTTTGGGATTGGATTTAACTTGCTAAGTTATATTGAGCGACATTTTTTTTTGGCAGTCCTGGGGCTTGAACTCTGGGCTTGGACACTGTCCCTAGGCTTCCTTTGCTCAAGAATAGTGTTCTACTACTTGAACCTCAGCTTTTTTAAAATAGTTTCTTAGAGATAAGATTCTCAAGAACTTTCCTGCCTGGTCTGGCTTCGAACCAGGATCTCATATCTCTGACTCCTGAGTAGCTACGATTATAGGCCTGAGCCACCAGAACCTGGCATGACACATTTTATATTATGAAATGCTATATCATTTTCTTGGCAGAGCTTTTTTGTTCTGCTTTCCCCAATTCTTTTGAAGATATAGTTGTAATCTTTAACTCCTGAGTCCAAGATATAGGTTTATTTTAGTATAGTTTATTTTCTTTTCTCTATTTTGTGTTTTATTTGAGTATTTATAATGTTCTCCTGAGAAGCAGGGGCATGGCTTCCCACAGCTGCCAGAAAGTGACCAGTGGCACAGAAAAAGGCTGGGCACCCCCCCAGAGCACTGCCAAGAAAACAGAGCCACCAGCACAGCTTATGGGCATGAATTTGTTTCTTGATCTCGCCTACTACAGTAATTGGAATGCCAAATTTCTTAAGGCCATATATAATTCTAATTATTCAAGATGTTCCTCAGGTTCTCTTTTGCACAGTGGCCAAGGCCATACAAAGCTTCTACCTTTTCTCCGTTCCAGTGTAGGGGACTAGCATCAGGGACTAACATCATCCAATTTGTGCATGTCAGAAATCTACAAGTGTCTCTCAACTTTCCTGCTTTGTTCTCCCACCATTCAAATGTAATAAAACATTAAATCCTAGGAATTCTTTTTAAATGTATGTGATCTTTTTCTGCTCTTAGGCTAAGGATTGCTGTCTTCTTTCTCCTGGACTGCTAGGTTTCTGATACCAATTCCTACCCCAGTCTTTTATCTACCTGTTTGGAGATAAGCAAAGTACCTGAGTTCCAACAAAGTGAAGTTCAAGACTACCCAGCTTGTTATAGAAAAACTAGGCATCAAAACCAGAATTGCTTTTCCCAAGTGATACTACCTTTATTCTTACTTTGGCTTTTGCGATCTAAAAAGAAATTTACTCCTAATATACATGCATTTATCATTGTGCCCTTCAATTCATGAAGCCTAGCTTTGAGCTATGACACATACCTAGAATCCTGCAAAGGCAGCAAGTAGTATCACAGTTGTCTTTGTAGTCAGGGATTCTGAACAGAGATCCCTTCTCATGCTCATGATTCACAGCTGAGCCACTGAATATTCTTACTCTGCAAAAAAAAAAAAAATGGAGATTTCACAAACAAGTGTAGTATTTACCTTAGTGATCTCACAGGTCTATGGTAAAGAATAAACAGAAGAAATTTGTATGAAAACACTTTATATTACAAAAGTAAAAGGTTCTTTTTTTTAAAAAATCCCCTGATGGTCTACCAGTCATAGTCATCATATTCAGGGACTGCCCTCTTGTAACAAGGAAAGAAAATAGGTCTTGTGCTATTGGGAGTTTTTAGTGTGGTTAAAACCAAAATGACAAGAATCCTTATAAAACATAAGGTCAACATACTTTTTATAACACAAGTACCCATTCCAAAGCCGTTTAGACAATGTAGGAAAATAGAATCAATGGTCTTCAAAGATTGTTTGCAAAGAAAATCATCTAGATTATCAGTCTTCTATACTGCTACTTAATACATTCCAAACTGTTAATGCTTTCCAAACTAAGTCTCACACTTCAGGCAGATGAATGGGTGAGAATGAAAAAATGGTGTGGAATCAAATACTGTCTTGAACATACTTTTAGGCAAATCTGTGAGATGTTTTGAAGGACACTTGGTGAGATTTAATGACTGTGCCTTTACTTAATAGCTATTATTGAATCTGATAATGACCAAGCTTTTAAACAAATTGAGCATCTAGAGAAAAGGTGACAGGAATAGATACAGGGTTAGCTGTTCTATTTTAAAACACTTTTTCAGGAGAACTATCACTGACATAAGTATTGAGCACATCTTCCATCATTTCCAGGTATGTCTGCATTTGGATCATTTTTCAGTGTCTCTCCAGGTTCCAGGGAAAAGGATGAAAATAAAACCTAGATCTGCTACCCCACCAGCTACCAGCTGCTCCCCTGTCTGTCTTGTTGAGACTAGTTCTTTTATAATCTGAATTACTTTGCGCTAGATCCTTCCCAAGAACCTACCCAGGAATTGGCAGTTCTTCCTCTCATTTTCTTAAAACACACAGCCTCAACTCCATTGAGCAGTGAAGTGTTTGTTAATCCTTCTTTCTGCTTACATGGGTGGTTCAAAGTCCACATACATCCTCTGTGATACCAAATTATTTCTTTGGTTCTTCACTTGCTGAAGAAAATGGAGGAGAATAGAATCTTGGTCAAGGTACCCTTTCTGGTAAAGTGCTTCCTCTGCCACCTGTGGTGGAGTATGTAGCCAGGAACTTTTATCACTTCTCTAAAGCACAGTTTAAGAACAAAAGAAAAAAGAAAAAAGTGTTACACAAATACTAACATTTCCAATTTTCAAATATAGTTCAGAGCCTTCACAGGACCACCAGGGGACCTAGCACTCAAGCCCAGACCCAAAGTCCATGCTCTTTGCACTGTATAGCTTTTTAAAATTGTATTCTCATGTGTGAAAACAATACTTTAAAAAAAAAAGCACTTTTAGAAAGCATATAACTGGGGGCTGGGAAGGTGGCTCAGTGATAGAGTGCTTGCCTTGCATGCATGAAACCCTGGGTTCGATTCCTCAGCACCACCTAAGCAGAAAAAGCCAGAAGTGGCGCTGTGGCTCAAGTGGTAGGGTGCTAGCCTTGCGCTGAGGAACTGAGGGACAGCACCCAGCCCCAGAGTTCAGGCCCCCTCAACCAAAAATTTTTAAAAAAAGAAAACATATAACTGAAGGTGATTATGCACTTTCTAACTATCCTTTCCTCTATTTCCTCCTTTACCCACAGAAATATATACCAGAGATGGGAACTCCTATGGGAGACCTTGTGAATTTCCATTCTTAATGGATGGAATATGGTATCATGACTGTGTCCTTGATGAAGATCACAGTGGGCCATGGTGTGCCACCACCTTCAATTATGCATATGATCAAAAGTGGGGCATCTGCTTAAAACCAGGTATGTATCGGGTGGTGAACTTCAAGTATGGGAAGAAGAGGCTACTATTTATGAGTCAAAGGGAGAAGGAAGAATTCAACCTGATGCAAAAGTGTTTGCAACAAATAACATTCTAGCTAAGGAATGCATGTTTGGAGGAAGAGAAAGAAATAATGTGTAACTCTGAATTTACTTTCAGAAGCAAATCAAGAAGAGAAACAAGACAAATTGTGTCAAGGAAGACAAAGGAGAAGGGAAGTGTGGGCAGCATAGATACCTGAAGGGGAAGTGGAAAAGTCATGAGCAGTTAGGAAATTGCAGTTCCAGAAGACTAGTAGAAGAAACTGGATTATACAGCACTGAAGCCAGAACAGAAGAAAACTTTGTGTGTTTTATAAGAAAACAAGAATAACAGGAAGTTAGTTGGTCAGATGAAAGCTTTTAGTATGTTGAAGACTTTTAGGGGAGAGGACAGATATTGTTGGCCTTATCAAAATTGGTGACACTGTTCTCTCTATTCCTATGTGTTGCTCAGAGCATACTTTCTAGATGCTTCTTACTAGAAGCAAACTCTTCAGCATAATTATAAGCAATTTTTTAGCATATTAAAAAATTCACTCATCTTTATAAATGGAGGGAGATACCAAAGTTGCAATTATGTTGTTACCTGACACATAGCTAAGATACAGTTTCTTATCAATTAGTTTTAAAGGATCATAGTACCTAATATGAGATAGGTGCTGAATGAACATTATTTGATGGACAATAGGCTGAATGAATCTGTGGAAAAAAAGAAAGGAAAGCGCTCCATATCTAAACAATATTCATGCTTAAGTGGCTCTGCCAGGTTAGGTACTGTTCTAAGTTAGCAACCTCTATCAACTAATTCTTTCCTCATAGCAATCCTAAAAGATAGTAGTACCATTTATTCTTGTTTGCAGATAAGCATATTAAGGCACAGGTGAACTATAAAACTTGCCAAAGGTCACAAACCTAATAAACATTAGATCTAGGTCTCACACTCAGGAAATTTGGCTGTGAGGATCTTTCCCCAAACAGGTATCTTATCCTGTTTCATTGAGTAGCCAGCCTAATGGTAATTAGAATGCTGATCCCTCCTTAAGGGAATTTGAGCCTCACACTGCAGAATTCTCTGCTACCTGAAGAGGTTAGACTAGACCAGTGACTCTCAAACTTCCAGGTGCAACATGATCACTGGGAGCATTTGTTAGAACACAGGTTATTAGGGCTCCAAAGATTCTGATTCAGTGCATTTGGGGTGGAAGCCAAAAAAGCTGCTGTTTAACAAATTTCCAGTTAGTATTGATGATGTTTTTCAGGGGCTCACAGTTGTAGAATTATTTGTCTAGGTCGAGGCCCTAGTCAAAACCTAAATCTACTGAAATATAGACAAGCCGCAACCAGCAGAGTGTGGTCAACTGTCTATTTCATTTTCTTCTCCCTGTAGTGTGGTTCTGAAACTTCAGATGAGAAAGGGAACTTAGAGATTATCTAATTCAGACCCTTAGTTTTGTTTTTAATGTTTTTGGTGCCTCTAGCCTCTTTTTGGGTAATTGGGAGAGAGACTAATGCATTTAGGAGGCTCCCAGAAATAAATTTCATGGAAGAGGCAAGACTGTGCATTTATCAAGCCTAAGGACTGCCAAGCCATGGATGTAGTATTATATAGCAAACACATTGCCATTCCACCAGGAGCTCCTGAATTTATGAGCAGAGGGTCTCTGTGATAATGAATGTACTCGCAAATTTGCTCTATTTTGTTTTCGCCAGATGTCATTATATCTGTTACTATTTACACCATAGAAAAGTGGTTGGGGAAAAAAAGTGTGTCATTCAGAAAAACTCCAGAAAAAGATCAATGTTCTGATTATAGCTCTACCACAAACACCTGTGGGACTTTGTTCACCTCTGTGAAATGAATGTGTTCAACCAGAGGATTTCCAAAGTCCTTTCCAGTGTATAGCTCCACAACTTTGTCATTGGATATGGAACTGGTTATGAAAGTCCTCTGGAAATGCCCCTGAGTGAAACTTGGGACCCAAGGACACAGGCTACTACAGTGGTTTTCATTTTTCCCCTCTTCTTAGGAGCTTATGGGAAGCTATGAGTATAATTTTAAACCAGTTGTCTCTAGATCTATACAATTTATCCACATCATAGCATGACTATTCTTTTAAGTTATATATACTTTTTGTGTGTGTGCCAGTACTGGAGCTTAAATTTAGGGTCTCACACTCTTACTTGACTTGCCTTTTCACAGATAGTGCTCTACCACTTAAGCCATGCCTCCAGTCCAGAATTTTCTGTCTCATAAATTCTTTTGCTGGGACTGCCTTCAGACTGGAAACCTTTGCTCTCAGCTTCTTGAGTAGCCAGGATTACAGACATGAGCAATTAGTGTTTGGCATGAAGTTATAGATACTTTTATGTATCTGTTACAGAATACTATGTACATTCTGCCATATATTCATGTTTATATACCTATATGTACACATATATAAGTAGTGATTGCATAATATTGTCTCATAAAGTCACCTATTAAAATATTAAAGAGAAACTTGGATTTGTTTGTGAAATAAGGTAGTCATTGTATTCTATACCCTGGCCATTTAAGCAGCATGTCTATGTACATACATACCCCAGTGCAGCCAGTGGTCAGGCTCCTCTGCACCAGATTCAGGCAAGCTTTTCTTTCATTTCTTTTCAGTATTTTACACTGTACAGATTGAGACTCCTGCCTTCAGGCAGAGGGCAAGAAGGATTGTAAGCAGAAATATGACATTATAGTGGTCAAGATAAAGAGAGAGTGTCCTCTGGCTTCAGTTTCCTTGTGTCATTAGAGGACTGAAACATGGTGATAGCCTCCATTTTAGCACCTTCTAAGCATATGATAATTGGATTATGGTACTTGTAAGAATTCTGAGTAATAGAAAACATTATGAGCTGAGTTTACGATCAGTAACTTATCTTTTTATCAACAGAAAATGGCTGTGAAGGTAATTGGGAAAAGAATGAGCAGATTGGAAGTTGTTATCAATTTAATACTCAGACAGCTCTTTCCTGGAAAGAAGCTTATGTTTCATGTCAGAATCAAGGAGCTGATCTACTGAGCATCAACAGTGCTGCTGAATTAACTTACCTCACAGGTGGGTTTAACTTGCATGTGGCAGAAAACACTGCTGAAAATATGAAATGCTTTCGTCTACTTTTCATATCCCAGTGTGTTGTTTCATGTGTTTCCTTTATGGCTTCCCCTGGGATTAAACCTTGAAGTCCATAATCACTGAATATAAATGTATTTCATGTAGTAAAAATGAATCTTGAAATAGACACTAAAGAGATTGATTTTTAGAAAACAAGATTGCAAGATTAAATTAGACTAAATTCTAAACTGAGGGATTTTTATGAAAGTGAGCTTTCAATCTGTAGATATCAAAAAGTAGAGAATTCTAAGAAAGTAAAGCAGCTAGGTAGGTGCCAGTGGCTCACACTTACAATCCTACCTATTCCAAAGGCTGAGATATGAGGATGGTGGTTGAAAGCCAGTCTGGACAAGAAAGTCCATGAAACTCTTGTCTCCAGTTAACCACCAAAAAGCTAAAAGTAGTAGTCCAAGTGATAGAGCACTAGTCTTGATTAAAAAGAAGCTCAGCAGCCAGGCTGTGAGGTCAACCCCCAGGACGAACACCAAAAAAACAAAACAAAACAAAAAAATGGTGAAGCAGATGGTTGAGTTTAGGTAGCCTCAATGAAAAGTCCTCACATTTTAGTGAGGTTCTAAGACATCTTCAAGTGGCTCTAATAACATGAACAAGTAGATGAGATTTTGTTTGTTTGCAGGGTAATAATGCTGATTTAAATTTTTTAGGTATAAAATTTAAACCACATTGACTAGAATGGAAAATAAACTAAGAGACCATTTAGTCTTTCATATGAGGTTTTTTTGAGATTACCTTATTAATTTTGGTGCAAACCCTAGGAGTTTGATTGTAATTCTATTGAATTATAGATGAATTAGAATGACATTGCTGTCTCTACATTAAGTCTTCTCATCCATGAAAATGGTATGACTTTCTATTTATGTAGAACTTTATGTACTCAGTAAAACCTTACAACTTTCCCCATAAGATTTTTGCACACATCTTAAAAAGAAACTTTATAAACAGAAATTCTTATATTATTATTAAAAATTGAGAAACCTGCTGGGTGCTGGTGGTTCACATCAGTAATCGTAGCTACTCAAGAGGCGGAGGCCAGAAGATCACAGTATAAAGAGCAGGGCAGGAAAGTCTGTGAGACTCTTATCTCCAGTTCACCACCAGAAAACCAGAAGTGATGCTGTGGCTTAAGTGGTAGAGCACTTGCCTTGAGCTGAAGAGTTCAGGGACAGCACCCAGGCCCAGAGTTCAAGCCCTAGGACCAGCACACACTCCCTCCCCCGAAAAGAAAAAGTGAGGCTTGAGAGGAAATAGAACTTGTTCAGAGTTTCTCCCAAGTAATTAACATAGCTGTACTTTGGTCAGTCTAATGTGAAAACAAGTTGTATCAGGCATGTACCTGCATTCACCTTTTAGAAGACTACAGTTCTTTGCAAGCAGAGATGGGTTGTTATTCACTTTGGCACACAACTTTAAATAACTACACAATATTGCTACACAGTAAACTACTAGCTACTGGCTAGGTATTTCAGGCAAATCTTGCTATAAGAAGTATAAATATTTACTAGATGATAACTATAAGCAAGGCAGTCACTGAAATCTCATAAATACTTTTTCCACCAAATTAGAAACTGATTATTAAAAATACTCCATGTTATCAGCTAGGAAGTGTCAAAATTAAGATTTAACATCAGTGTAGAAAACTACAGTGCCCTTATATTTTTACTATATTACTTCTCTTACATTTCTTTCTTTTCTTTGATTTGTTAGGTTTTTTTTGTATATTTTTCTTGTTGTTGTTTTGGGGTTTTTTGTAGGCTAGTCCTGGGGCTTGAACTCAGGGCCTGGGCACTGTTCCTAGCTTTTGTGCTCAAGGCTAGCACTCTACCACTTGAGCCACAGCTCTACCTCCAGCTTTTTGGTGATTAACTGGTGATGGATTTTCCTGCCTGGGCAGGGGTTGAATATTGATCTTTAGAGATCTCAGCCTCCTAAGAAGCTAGGATTATAGATGTGAGCTACCAGCTGACCTTAAATTTGAGAACTTCCTTTCTCTGCCTCCCCAGTAGCTGGGATTACAGGTGTATACCACCACACTCAACTTCTTTATTGTTTTTATCGTTAAAAGTTCATTAGCCTTTTTTCATCGTTTCTTTTCCTATGAATGTCAATGAGAAGTAAATACATTCTAACTGCACTAGTTGGACAAGTATGAAGGGCAGAGATTTCTTATATGTCCTAGGCAACTTGGAGGTAGATTTTCTTTTCTATATAAGCCTAGGAACGATATTGAAAATGCCTACACCCAATGTTAGGCAATGCCTACACCCCCATATTAGCTATTAAGAGACAAAAATCGCTAGCCTAAAACTTACATCTAATCAAATGGTGACTTCACTGAGACATATTTTTTTCTCCAATTTTAATTGGCACATTGTAATTATATATGTTTATAGGGCACAATGTGATATTCTGATTCATATTTACTACACATATATACGTGCTTGTGTATATATATATATATATATATATATATATACATAGTATAATGAGCATGTTCATCACCCTAAACATTTTGTTTTTTCTTTGTGATGAAAGCATCCAAAATTCTCTTCAGTTGTTTTGAACTCTACAATGTATTATTGTAGTTATTCTACTATGTAGTAAAACATATACCTCGTTTCTACTGATTGTGTCTCCTTCAACGAAACCTCACCAATGTCCCTGACTCCCTATTATTCTTTCCCTCTTTTTTATCGTCTGTCTTTCTTCCTTTTTTTCTTTCTTCCTTTCTTTCTTTCTTCCTTTCTTTCTTTCTTTCTTCCTTTCTTTCTTTCTTCCTTTCTTTCTTCCTTTCTTTCTTTCTTTCTTTCTTTCTTGTCAGTCCTAGAGCTTGAACTGAGGTTCTGAGTACTGTCCCTGAGCTTCTTTTGCTGAAGGCTAGCATACTACCACTTGTGCCACACTTCTACTTCCAACCTTTTTTGGTATTTTATTGGAGATAAGAATCTCACAGACAGCCGGGTGCTGGTGGCTCATGCCTGTAATCCTAGCTACTCAGGAGGCTGAGATCTGAGGATCGCGGTTCAAAGCCAGCCCGGGCAGGAGAGACCGTGAGACTCCTATCTCCAATAAACCACCAGAAAACCGGAAGTGGTGCTGTAGCTCAAGTGGTAGAGAGTTTGCCTTGAGCTGAAGAGCTGAGGGACAGCGCCCAAGCCCAGAGTTCAGGCCCCACGACCGACAAAAAAAAAAAAAAAAAAAAAGAATCTCACAGACTTTCTTGCCTGGTCTTACTTCAAATTGCAATTCTCAGATCTCAGTCTCTTGAGTAGCTAGGATTACAGGTGTGAGAACCAGCCCTAGTCTATTCTGTGAGCTGAACTGTTTTTTTATATTCCACAGACAAGTAAGAGCATGTGGTATTTGTCTTTCCTTGATACACTCATTTCATTTAACATACTGCCTCAAGGCATCTACATGTTTCCACAAATGACAGGATTTCCATCCTTTTATGGATTTATTGTATCCCATTGTGTGTGTAGACCACATTTTCTTTATTCCATTTGTTGAAGGAAATTACAGTTGATTCCACATCTTGCCTTTTGTGGATAGAACATCAATAAGCATGGCAGAACAGGTATCTCTCTGACATACTTATCTTACAACCGTACTCTTGTTCCTCAAAGGAGCAATAATGGAGTCTCTGTCCTCACTATCTACTTTCCGGGTACCTCCCATCTCTTGAACTTTATTATCTAGTTGCTCTTCTTGGCCCCTTTCATCCTTGGTGCTGCTATTGCTTCTCTCCCCTGGAAGTCTCTCCCACTTCTGGGTTTCAGTTTCAGGAAAATCCTATTTTAGGTATTTGAGGTTCTAATATCTGCCGTAAAGCAAAGATTATATATAGTCAAAATTATTCTTGAAGAACCCTTACTGTATGGATATGGTTTTCTCTATGCAGAGCCCATAATGAGTATATATGTGTTGTGTATGTGTGAAGCAATAATATGTTATACTTAGTTTTATAGATTTAAGAAATGGTTTACTGAGTGTTTTACTGTTGGAAATATTTCAACAAATTTATAAAGATTCTACCCTGTTAGTTCTTTCTGGTTCTCTGTATCATCTTTGTCTTTGATAAGATATATCATTAAATGTTTAATTTCCTCCACCTGACCTCCAATTAATTTTTCAAATTCTTTTCCTGTGGCATTGATAAAGCCTTGCTATTGACTACTTCAAGAGTGGTAAATAGGGGCTGGGAAGGTGGCTCAGTGGTAGAGTGTTTGCCCTACAACCAGCAAAAAAAAAAAAAAAAAAGTGGTAAATAATTCACACATTCTTTCCATTCTTCTCTCAATATATGTGGGACCATACAAGAAAGATTGCATCCATTTCTTGTGGGATATACATATTAAGTGGCATATCAGGAATCATCCTAACTATATAAATTATTTATGCTTCTCTTTCTTCCTTTTTCTTTTTTTTCCAACTCACTTTGACTGTAGTATGTGTGTAACTTAACTTCTTTATGAATTTGGACAAACCTTTAAGTATTCTTTGAGTCTAATACCATATGAAATGGAGTATATACTTATTTCTGACACCATACCAGAAATTCTTTATAACTTAGGAGATCCATATCTGTTTCCTTCTACTAGACTGAAATTTTTATTAGGGAAGGGACTTTGTCATCTTTGTTTATATATCCCTAGTTCCTGAAAAATAATATGTGCTTTATGAATTTAGATTATCAGTCTGAAATATAATCAGATTTTCAAAATCTGATGAACAGTGGAAATTGTTTTTGATGAATATTCTAAATGGGACAAGACAGTTCCAAACAGATAGTGAAATAGCTACTCTGAGAATCTTCTGTTCTTTCTTAGAAGAAACAGAATTGGATAAGCTAATGGGAAAACAGAATTGAACAAACATGCCATCCTTTGGATTACTAAATAGTATGACGCATTGCTATCTATCAGTATTATCTGTCTTTGTTGTCTAGACAGCTTCATACAGAGATTCTGCCTACAATCAAGACCTTTATGGGTATGGGGGGGGGGGGTTGTTCTGTTTTTTTTCTTTTTCTCTTTTTTTAATTGTCAAGGTGATGTACAGATGGGTTACACTTATATAAGTAAGATAATAAGTACATTTCTTGTTAAACTTGTTACCCTTTCCCTCATTTTTCTCCTACTTTGCCTCCTCCCCACGCCCCCTCAGGTTGTACAGATCATTTCCAACATATTGTCTTGTGTATATCACTGTTGCATTGATTCCCCCATTGTCCTTTGTCTCACCATTCTGTTGTTCCCCTTCCCTTGGGTTTTTGTTATTTGTTTTATGTTTTTGCTATTTGTAGAAATCTAGTCCAACTTAGAGAATTTTAGTAGGTTGTCACTATAAAAATTGTAATTCTTACAGGAAAAGAAGACATTGCTAGAATCGTCTGGCTTGGATTAAATCAGTTGTACTCTACTAGAGGCTGGGAATGGTCAGACCACAGGCCACTGAACTTTCTCAACTGGAATCTAGGTATATGCCCCTCCCCCCACACCACTTTTTACATGACCAAAACAGGAGCTTTCCATTCACCAAGAAAGGTAGAAGTTGCAAATATTCGCAAATCTTAATTTCTTTCTCAGAAGAATTTTTTTCTAAGTGTCTTAATTATAGTATCACTATGTCCACATTATAAACAACAGAGTATTTTCCCCATGACCTCCAGAGCAATCATGTGGGTTTGGTTGGAGCAGAATGAACTTCACCTATGGCTAAGAACCATTCTGTGTCCTGTAGGGGACTTGACATGTCTGACCAATGTCATCTTTTATCTGCAACTTAACTCTAGTGCAGAAATCTATTAATAGGAGGCTACAATGCTTGATAAGAAATGTACTCATTATCTTGTCCATCTAATTGTAACCCCTCTGTACAGTATTTTCACAATAAAAAATAAATAAAATTTTTAAAAAAAGAAGAGAAGAAATCTAGTTAATAAATTCATACTCCATTATCTTGGTAAATAGAGTCTCTAAAGCTAATTGTATGTGTAGTGTATATGCTTTACTGGAATCAAGTCATCTTACATGTGCAAGGCAAGTGTTTTACTAAGCTTTACTTCTTGCCCTTGATTTAACCTTTAAAATTTTAGAGGCATTGTAGAATCATAAAAATTTTGTCATATTATAAATTACTTACTATATAGTAGTAAACTAAGAGCTGTTGACCACAGGGTGGGTATGACATGGAAGTTGCTTGAGGACAGAAGTTTGGTTTTTGTTTTTGTGTTTTAAACTAGCTATAAAATATCAGAATGATTTTATTTTGTATCTTGCATTTTTAAAAAAGATATATAAACACATTATCAACTGAGGTTATGTATTTCAATTTAGTGAAAAGTTTTAACATACTTCAAGCCCCCCAAAAGGCAGCAGATTGTGAATGAGTTATTTTTTTTCTAACTGATGTGATCCTAACTTCTTTCTTTTAATCCCTTGAAAATCCTTTAAAGATATGCCCAGCAAATCTGTGATTGGTGGGTCAAGTTGTGCAGGAATGGATGCTGAGTCTGGGCTATGGAAGAGCATTTCCTGTGAAGCTCAACTGCCCTATGTCTGCAAAAAACCACTAAACGCTACGGTGGAGCTCACAGGTATCTCCCTGTTTTTGTTCTGTAATGTCAGTAAATTCATTTCAGATACCAACTTCCACCTTTCCTTCACCTGACATACCAGTACAGAAAAGTATTTATTTGATTTATGACTCTTTCATTAGATGTTCTCAACTGTTTATGAACAAATCTTTTTAATTGTACTAATAATGAATATCAGGTAAAAATACAAACTGCTCGTCGATGGCAGATATTCATGGTAGAAAATATGTTTCTGTTCTCAGATATCATTTTTTTACTTTAGAGCAGAGATTTTCAAAATGTTGTGCAAAGATCAAGTTAGCATCACCTATACCTAATAGAAATGCAGATTCCTAGGGCTTACCCCAGAATAAATGAAACAGAAGCCATAAGGGCAGGACTTAAGAGTCTGTGTTCTAAGCCTTGCAGGTAGCATAGATCCATGCTCAAGTCTGAGAGCCAGTGCTGTAGGAACAGGCCTTATGTATTGTATATCTGAAATAAGTTGAAAACTGGACAGAGGAAAATTCCAATCTTTACCACCCATTCCCCACAACACCCCCACCTTTCTTACTTTCAGGACAGGCTGGTGTCTATAATGAAAAATCAAGTAAAAAGAGCTGTGCAGAATAAAATATAGACAAGGAGAGCAATTCCCTACCTATTTCCAGAAGTGAGAAAGATAAAAAGAGCCGAAGTCTTTTCAGGGTAGAGATTTGTAGAATATTCTGCAAGAATGGAGGAGAGAAGCACCTCTGTCACATACAGAGCTTGATGTACACCTGATTTGTGTGTGTGTGTGTGTGTGTGTGTGTGTGTGTGTGTGTGTGTGTAGATCCTGGGGCTTGAACTCAGGGCTTGGGCACTGACCCTGACCTTTTTTGCTCAAAACTAGTGTCTCTACAACTTGAGCCACAGGTCTACTTTTGGCTTTTGTTGTTGTTGTTGTTATTTTTTGGTAGTCTCCTAGAATTTCTTGCCCAGACTTACTCTGACTCATGATCCTCAGATCTCAGCCTTTTGAGTAGATAAGATTCAGGTGTGAGCCACTGGTGCCTAGCATAGAGAGCAATATTTAAAGGAAAAAATGATGTTCACATTAATAAAGCTATAGGTAAATTATTTAAGATAATAGGAGAAAATGAACATTTATCTCCCAAATTAATGCAATCCAAATATAGCCCCTGCAACAAAATGCATAGCAGAGCATCTAGTATAAATGAAAATAAATTAGAGCAACTGATAATAGATTAAGTAAATATCTCCAAGTAGCAATTATTAAGTAAATCATGATGTTTCCACATGAATGAATAATACACATTTATTATAACTTGCTAGCAGGAAAATAAAAGAGCAGAACAAAATGATATGTCTACTTATCAGTTTAATCATGTAAAAATATGTATTCATAGAGACAAAAACTATGATCTGAAAAATGATTATTTTAAGTTCAATTGCATGTGATTTCCCCCACTTTTTCTTTAAAATCTAATAGTAATAAAATTGCTATTTAGAACCTTAAAGTTAATTGAGTTATCTTGCAAGTATGAGAGGGTACTTGAGCCTGAATTTTATCTTTCCAAGAGACGTAAACTATCTTCAATTTTAGCATGACCATGTTTTCTTATAACAAATGTTCCAAGTGGTTCTGAATTAATAAGGTCTGAGTAAACAGACTATTTTCTAGTTTTGTTCATTGTTAACAGGGTGGAAATATTCTGTGGGGTTTTATACTTGCCACTCTACTCTAGAAAATTAGACCTCTACTTGTGAGTTTCATCTTAGTCAAAACTAACAATCACTAATCATGAGGGTGATGGGTCCAGCGGATGAAGTGAAAGAAGAGGTCCAGAGATGCCCACTGCCTTTTCCTCTGCCTCCTCTTGAGTGTGGAATATAAAATACTGTCTCTGTTCTTTGCTCAACAGTGAGCATTAATGCATATCCTTTTGCTAAGCTGATCAGAGAAGAAAAAGAAACTTGACCCCACTGCAGTCTTTGCAAAGATAGAGACTAGAAGAACCTACAAATTCCCAGTCCCATGAAAAAACTTGTTAGCACCTAACATACCACACAACTCTTCCTGTTCGTTAAGACTAAGAGCAATCTCTCATGAAGATGACCTTCAAATAGTCTAAGCCAAGCCATTTAGCATATTTGTATCACATAAAAGCCGAGGTGGGAACATCTGGCTCTCAGGCCAGGTAAGGCCTATGAAATCATCTACTCTGGCCCCGCAAAGGCAACTGTAGGTGGGATTCGAAATTCAATAAATCTAGGAGCTTTTTCCATAGCAACATAGACATCAGTATCAGCTAACATCCCATGACAAATGGCTCTTGCTGGCTCACATCATTATCTGAGTCTCGGCAGGAATTCTCATGATGCCATGTATACATGAGGCACAGCAAAAATTCATGTCACTCTACTATCTGACCTTACATTGCCCAGTTTTGCAGAAACCTTATGATTTAAGAAAGACAAATTTGCAACATTGTTGATTCAAAATAGATACATCTTTCCTGGAATATAAATTGCTGCTTTCCCTCCAGATATTTGGACATATTCAGATACCCGCTGCGATGCAGGCTGGCTGCCAAATAATGGGTTTTGCTATCTGCTGGCAAAGGAAAGCATCTCCTGGGATGAGGCACATATGAAATGCAAAGCCTTCCATGGTGACCTAATCAGCATTCATTCCTTAGCAGATGTGGAGGTGGTTGTCACAAAACTTCATAGTGGGGGTAAGTTTTTTTAAAACACCTTATCTGAAAGGCTTAAGACTTTTTAAAAAAAAATCCCTAGATTCAGACCTTTAGTGGCATTGAAAGGTTTATAATCTGCTCCTACAGATAGGTACTGTCTAGTAGTACTGTCTGTGACAATACTGTCCAATAAGTAGCCACTAGTCACACATGGATTTAGAGTGCTTGAAATGTAGCTAGGGCATTGTAGCTAGAGACTGGATCATTACTTTTTACTTAATTTCTTTCCATTTGAATTTCAGTAGCTACATATGCCCAATGGCTACTAATTTGATAGTATAACCACTAACAAAATAAGCCAGTGAGCTAAATTCTATTTAAGTTCCTTAAAAAAAAGTAAGTGATGATTATTTCACTTTTGTAATTACTTAAATGCTAAATTTGGGCAAACAAAAATATACTAGACTGCCTATGTTATTATCTTTTTATGATTCTCTAATAATAACAACTAATAGCATTTACCAGTGTTTTCTTCTGAAGACAAAACTTATCTGCAGTAGATATCAGGAACACCCAGCTTACAGATCCTGGTATAGATGATCTTTGTACAGAGGCACTCAAAACTGATAAGACTATCCATTAGGCAGATCATGGTAGTACATGCTTTTAGTCCAAGGATTAAGGAGGCTGAGGTAGGGCAGTTCCAGGTCAACCTGGGCCACACAGGTCCCAGAAAACAAACAAAAACTACTGACCAACCAAATGAACAAAAAAGCCTTCATTTCCCAACCTGCTTGCCACATCAACATTTTAATAGTCTAATTAAGAATACCACAGAGGCTTTTAAAGCCCCACATCAGAATGTAAAAGTCAACAATAATGTATATATTGAAGAATGTAATTGACTAAAATAAAACAAATAATTTTTCTTTTAGATGTCAAAGAAGAGATATGGACAGGCCTTAAGAACATAAATATGCCAACTTTGTTCCAGTGGTCAGATGATTCTGAAGTTACTCTGACATACTGGAATGAGAATGAGCCACAGGTTCCCTTCAACAAGACTCCCAACTGTGTTTCCTATTTAGGAAAGGTAGGAAACCTGATTGTTAACACCTAGTAATAAAGTTATAATTACTTTGGTTAAGTTAATTTCTGTATAATCAGTGAAAGAAAATAAAAGGTTAGAATCTGATAGGTACCGGACAAAAAGAAAAGGTAATTGAAAGCAATTACTAAATAAACAATCCACTTCCCATGAGAACATCTGCTCTGATCTGAAACGAATCTAGAGAATCTCTTTAGAACTCCAGTTTCAGTGCTGAACTTGTTCTAATAGACTCCTTTCTCTAAGGATGGGGTTGATCTCTATCTGCCTCTCTGAATTTAGTATAATATTTGACAGGTAGCCATTCATGCTCAGGTTAAGTTTTGAACTAATCCTACTTTGAGGATAAAGGGAAAAATGCTTTTCTAATGCTCTAATTTTAAATAAAAATTTAAGAATACTTTTTTATATTTTTTGATTTAAAAAAGTACTTTATTCACAAAGAAAATTATTATTTCTGTAGAGTGTCTAAATGTTTTTGAACATCCTTAAGTTAAAGCTTCAAATAGGCTTCTATATTTTTGTATCACTTTCTTCTGGAAAATGATCTGTAAAAGTCTCTAAATGATTAAGAGGGTGATTATTACCTCATTATCTAGAGAGACCTCAGTAGAAGTAATATGTGGTAAGTATGTTTAGAAAAGTTTCAGTAATAAAGATACATTTAGAAAAGTGTCACACTGGTACTCTAATTAAAAGGATAGCTGAACCAAGAGCTGGTGGCTCATGCCTATAATCCTAGCTACTCAGGTGGCTAATATCTAAGGATCCCAGTTCAAAGCCAGCCCAGGCAGCAAAGTCTGTGAGACTCTCCTCTCCAATGAACTACCAGAAAACTGGAAGTGAAGCTATGGCTCAAAGTGGTAGAGCACTGGCCTTGAGCAAAAAGAGTCCCAGGACAGTGCTCAGGCACCGAGTTCAAGCCCTGCTACTAATAAAAACAAAAAGGATAGCTGAGATATATTTAGAAGAGTATCAGAAATGAGCTGAGCACTGGTGGCTTACACCTGTAATCCTATCTACTGAGGAAGTTGACACCCAGAGGATTGAGATTCAAAGGTTCAGACAGGAAGCCTATGAAATTCAATCTCCAAAATAACCAGAAAAACAGCCCAGCTGATGATACAGTTCAAGTGGTAGAGTGCTAGCTTTCCAAGCAGAGTGAGCATGAAGTCTTGAGTTCAAACTCCAGTACCAACCAACAAAACAAAACATAACAAAACAGAAGTGAGAAACCTTTTACTTTCATTTCCTACTTGAGGAGCAGGAAATGTCTCTGGCCTTACTTTGTCTTGTTATACTAAAGTAAATCCTTGCTAAATTTTTTTTAAAATTACATACAAATGAGGTCCCAAGCTAAAAAGTAAACTGAAGGAATACTTAGAATTCCAGCATTCAAAATTAACCTTGCTCACAATTGATTTCTTAAAATTTAATTCAAGAAAGCAAAATGAATTAGTTAATCAAAATTATTTTAAAGAGCATATCAGATTACTCTGAAATCTAGGCTGAAGAGTTGAAAGTAACTTTTGATCCTGTAAATTCTTCAAAAATAGTTCTTGTAGCCATCATCATCCTTATGCATACGAGGAAAGTGACAGGGAGATTAGCTGACATGTCCCACAGTTTGTAATCCCTGCATAAGTTTTGTTCATGCCTTCACGAAAAGTAGAGTCCTATGGGCTGAATTCTTTCTTCAGCTTCTCCTCTCAGTGTTCTTTGCTGGTTTTATTCTTATGCTTACAAGATAGGAAATTTATCTACCCTGTACCCTAGAGGCAGTGAGGAGATAATGAGCTGTGGAGCTACAGACTTCTCCCCACACTCATGATTTTTGTGGAATCAATTGAGCATCAGGCAAATAACTTCTTTGTGAGCAAGTGTTTTTTTCTCTTTTAAAAAGCTAGGTCAGTGGAAAGTCCAGTCATGTGAAGAGAAACTCAAATATGTTTGTAAAAAAAAAGGAGAAAAAATGAATGATACCAGGTCTGACAAGATGTGTCCTGCAGGTGAGGTATGTAAAATACCCTTATGAATTTTCATAAATACAATTGCACCTTCTTGGCTACAGATGGGAGTTGAAACTTGAACAATTCCAACTTGGACAAAAAATTATGAGCTTCTGTTCACTTACATTAGAGCAAGCCAAAAAGCAAGGAATAATGCCATATTGGTGTTCTTACAGGAGAGACTTACCTATTCATGAATTTCCATAAGTGTGTTAGGAATACTGTCTTCAATTCTGGTACCTTTACTTCCTCCACTAATATCATTCCTGTTCAAAAATAACCCAGCCAGCTGAGCACCAGTGGCTTATTCCTTTAATCCTAGTTACTCAGAAGGCTGAGAACTGGATGGTCTTAAATCAAAACTAACCTGAGCAGAAAATTCTATGAGATTCTATCTCTAGTTAACTAGGTAAAGCTGAACTGGGGGAATAAATGGTTCAAGTGGTGAAAGCAAAAAAGCCACAAAACCCCTGAGTTCAAATACTTATCAGATCAACGAATCAGTCTACTAATTAACCAACCAACCACTATTATACTCTTGTAGTGACCATGGGTAAAGAGAATGCTCCCACACTTCTGACTGAGCCGGGTCCAAAATCTTCTAGAGGCCTTATATGAAATTGCACCCTACCCTTATCACATGTATTAATTCACTGGCCACATCATCAGTTCCTACTAATCAAAATGTCAGTGCAGTGGAAACTTTTTTGTCAGGCAGGGACATCCTCAAGTCTGGAGAATGATATACTGATGTTTCTATTCTGATGTAGGGCTGGAAGAGACATGGAGAATCCTGTTACAAGATATACATGGATGAGGTCCCTTTTGGAACAAATTGCAATCTGACTATCACCAGCAGGTGTGATCATCAGTAAACATGTGCTACTTTTAACTCCTGATTTCTTTGGCTAAATGATCTCCCTAAGGAGAAAAAATAGTCTCTTTAAATTAGTTAAAGTAATTGTGAAACATTTATTTGATTTTATTTGTAGATTTGAGCAAGAATATCTGAATGATATGATGAAAAAGTATGCTAAATCTCTTAGTAAATATTTCTGGACTGGCCTGAGAGATGTAGATTCCCGTGGAGAGTATAGTTGGGCAACTGTTGGTGGAATAAAACAGGCTATAACCTTTTCCAACTGGAATTTTCTTGAGCCAGGTGAGTGTTTATATCTTATAGTAGTGAACAGTGACCAAAGAAACACAGCATCCTCCCCAAATACATCCTTCACCTGCTATTGAAAGGTGTGGGGATTGATTATCTTTAGAACTGGAGTCTATAAACCTTAAGAAGATATAATGGCTTTGTCTTTCCTACTAAATCCTTGAGAATAAGCCAAAGAAAGAAGTTAGAAAACTTGTTTCTCCAAAATCACCTTCCAATGGTACAGAGCTAGAACCACCTATATGAGTTTTTCATCTTTTCTATGAAAGTCCCAAATAGAATCTAGTAGTTTTATTTTGGAGCGCTTTTACATTATCATCTCTCTTGCTTCTTAACTTCATTCTCCAAATGAATGTTTATTTCTGTTATTCTCAGAATTATGAAGGCAATATTTTGTGAGGTAAGTCATTCTGAAAGTCAGCTCATCTTTCTTCAACATGGAGTACTGATCACAATTCTGTCATATAATCAGAAGATTTGACCAGAAAGGGCCTTAGAAATCCTTCTGATTTTATAGTTAAGAAAACAGAGGCTTAGAAATGTGATTTACTTGGCAAAATGCATATGGTTATTTTCAAGTCAGTGTGTTTTAGAGGATTTTGGCTTTGAATGAGATTGGAATTATAAGTATCCTTTTCTCTCACCAAATAATTATATTTTCATGTGTTAGTAATAGGATCATAAAGCCTCTTTGGTGGTATTGTTCTTGCAAGGCAAGTACTCTTATCACTGGAGCCACACTTCTAGTCTATTTTTGCCCTAGTTATTTTCAAGGTATAATCTAATTTATGTCCAGGATTGCTTGGGCTATATTCCTTCTATTTGTGCTTCCCTGTGTCACTAGGGGTAACAAGCAAATGCCACTGCATCCAGCCATTGTGCTTCCACTATAGCTAACAGACATGTTCCATCATGCCAACCACTAAGTGTGATGGATTCTCACACCTGGGTTGGCCTCAGACCTTAACTTCTGATCTCTACCTCCCAAGTAGGTAGGAGTAAGGCAGAAACCACTATAATCAACTTCCAAAGCCATTTTTATAGCATAGAGCCTGGAACATAAGAACTTAACATTGAACACAATATTGGAAATAGAAAATGCCCACAAAATTTATATGCATGGTAATAACCATCATATGAGTGGTATTAGTAATGATAAAATTATTTTTTTACTTATAGAAGAAGATAGGGGTTGTAGATGTTATTCTTGGTTAAATTCCACTTCAAATAGAGATATTCTAATAGATAAAATAGAGATTTAGTAAAGCCAGATGCATTGACACACACCTCTAATTCCAGAACTCCAGAGGTTAAGGTCATAGTCAAACTGATTACACAGCAAGATTCTGTCTTAAAAAGAAAAAAACAGTAGAGAAAAAGAGGAGGAGGAAGAAGAATAAGAGGAGATTCATATATACTCAACTATGGTAGAATAAATGTCCCATTCTTGGTGAATAAGCCTCGGGGGATGGAGAATAGTAGATTGTTTCTAGAGTTAGAAAGCCTTCAGGTAAGTTCTCTTTGCCATTACAGCTCCCAATTAGCTTGACCTATCATGAGCAAGCCATGGATGGATGATCAGAACAAATATAGCACACCTGAGCAGGGTGGCATGTACTATTTTTTGTAGTTTTTGGTGCCTCTTGCTGCTCATATGATACTATATGGCTTCTTGTTTTGGTGAGATAGTTGTTCTCATTACTTTTCAATGTATGTGATTCTTCTTGAACTCTGCCTACTTCACACAGTGTGATATACTGGAAAGGGGACACAGCATGGCTTCTTACCAGATAAATGGGGTTGAAATCCCTGCTCCACATATTACTACCTGTGAGCATGGGAAATCCATTTATTCTTTGTTAGACAACTAGATCTGATAATACAAACTATCCTTTAATGTTGTTATGAGCAAATAAATTCATAGCCTTCATAAGAAAAATGATAAACAGTTACGTGTTTCCATGCATCTTTTTCTACCTTCATTTTACCAGGCCTTCCTTTGGGCCTGAGTCTTGGAAGGTTTTGTTTCAAAGTTAACAAAACTACTTAAAAACTGCTCACATTTGTTATTTGAGCAGTATAGTAGTTTGGGATACTGCTCTAGAAGCAGATGGAGTTCAAATCCAGGATTAACAACTTATGAGTATGACCATTACAAGTCACTTGGTCTGAATTGTATCCTCAGTGATGACCACCAAAATCTGTCCTATGGATTTGCTCTAAGGATTAACTCATCTCTTTAGTATAGCATATGACAGATAGTAAACATTTCTCAGTAACACCCATCATTATTATTCTTGGCAACTATATGTATTTAAACACTACGAAATGTTTGAAATTTAAGTTTTAGTTTTTAATTATACTTTCCAATTTAACCCCAGCATCTCCGGGTGGGTGTGTGGCTATGTCTACTGGAAAGTCTCTAGGCAAATGGGAGGTAAAGGACTGCAGAAACTTCAGAGCACTCTCAATTTGCAAGAAAATAAGTGCACCCTTGGAGCCTGAGGAACCAGCCCCCAAGCCTGATGACCCCTGTCCTGAAGGCTGGCAGAGTTTCCCCACCAGTCTTTCTTGTTACAAGGTAAGGGACCATTCTCATTAGATACTTAACAGAGTTAGCTATTTTTCTACTATCTTACTTCTTGTACAAGTTATTCTCCTCCTCATGCATATATACAACCTAACAGACCTATTGAGAGGACAGAGCCTTTGGCAAGGCTTCATGGACCTACCATATTACCTTAAGCAGCAGGACCCATGCCAGATTGGGCTCTTCTTTTTCATGCTTCTTTACCTCTGGCAAGTTGCATGCACTACGTGCCATGCTGACATCATGCTTAGGATTGTTACAGCCCACTAAATTCTTATTCTATCACTTCCTTCTACGTTAAAAAAATTAATTGTGGGTCTGATTCAGTCATCGAGCCTCAAAATAAACCATTAGATACTACCCCAAAATAAACCATTAGATGCTACCCCAAAATAAACCATTAGATACTACCTCAAGCAGAGCAGTGACAACACTTAGTCACCCATTCATCCATCTCTGGTTCAGCTATATTTGGGCAAGGTGTAGAGTGACTAGTTGACTCAGCCTTCCACCTGGAGGTCAGCTGTACTGGTCTGCAGCTGTGACATGGGATCTGTTACCTTGTATGCTACAACTCAGGCTAAGGGCTAGCATCTATCAGAAGTTTATTTTCTCATGCATCTTGAGAAGGCAAGCCTAACCACACAAGCAGTTTTCAGACCTCTGCTCACTTTCCCTACATTAATATCCCAACAATCACAGCATACTTCTCTGCTGAGGCACAGAGAAGTATATTCCATACTCCAGCCACCAGGAGGCTATGGCCAGAGTATGTGATTGTGTGAAAGGGAGCTAAAGAAGTAGGACCATTAATCAGCCCATTTTGGTTTTGTGAGAGTATGTGTGCACGCATGCACACAGTCCTGAGCTGCTTTTGCTTACGTCTAGTGCTCTATCACTTGAGCCACAGCTCTTCTAGGTTTTTTTAGTAGTTAATTGGAAATAAGTTTCACAGACATTACTGCCTAGGCGGGTTTCATACCACAATCTCAGATCTCAGCTCCTCAGTAGCTCAGATTATAGGCCTGAGCTACCAACGCCTGGCCTGATTTCATGTTTTCCTCTAGTCTTCCCCTTCTTTCTTCCTTGAAATAACTATGCTTCCTTTGGCTTAAAATTCTTCATCACAAGCCAGAGACATAGTCTAAAATGGCGAGATTTGATTTTTCTACCTTCTGTCAGTGTTCATACTGCTGCACAGGTGGCTCTTTGAGTCTTCATCTGAAAATCTTCCTGTTCTTTTGCATGGTGCTTGCATATGTAATTACATTGTTAGTACCTTTCTTTATAGAAGTCTACTTCCAAAACATCATAGGTACCTTTTATTGCTTTGGCTGCTGGTTCATTTTGTCTTTCAAAGTCCTAGGTAAGCAGAGATCATGCTGTCTTGTTGGAGCAGTCCTCCAGCCTGGCTGAGTGGGACCATCCCACTGAGCAGGTGGGCAGCACCTCTATAAGCTTTCAGTTGACACTCTGAGCAAGACTTGGATCTTTATCACTCCCTCGGGAATCTAAGGGTCCACTTATTTGACTATCACAGACTTCAAAATCTGTGAGTATTTTACGGTTTTGGCAGAATTAATGTTGTATTTTTAAGGTATTCCATATAGAAAGAATTGTGAGAAAGAGGAGCTGGGAAGAGGCTGAAAGATTCTGCCAAGCGCTCGGAGCACACCTACCAAGCTTCAGTCATACAAATGAAATAAAAGAATTTCTTCACTTATTACGCGAACAGTTCAGGTAATACTTCTAGAATGAGAGCTTCTAAAATGTCGACAGGTTTTATGACCTAGAGGCCATTCAGTGCTTAGCAGTCATGTAACACCAATCATTCTTCTGTGCAAGATGCCATTAGAGATTTTAAGATAAGCAAGACACACCTTGCCCTTTTGGGTAGTGAAGTCCAACAGCAGGAGAAGGAAAAGGGTAGCAAAACACCTGGAACATAAATGAAGGTTCTGGGAACTGTGAGCAGAAGGGAGTGTTACTGGTATCAAAATGTCAAGAAGAAGACTGACTCTTAGATGGTAGGTAGTTTCTTTGAAGGATAAGACAGTAGAAGCAAATCCATGAGAACAGAATATGCAGATAAGCTCGAGGAGAAATAAATTATTCAGCTCTGCTAGAAGATGGAAGTTGTTTGTTTTGGTTTTAGTTTTGTCGTTTTGGATTTTTGTCCTGTTCAGTATTGGACTGAAGCCCTTATGAGTGCTACACAGGTGCTCTCTACTTGATACTCCCAGTCCTAGAAAATGGGATTTGGTTATGAAATTGGAATGTCTTTGCTTGTCAGGGAAAGAGTTTGATCTTAAGACAATAAACAACAAACAATTAAGCAATTTAATTAGCCCCAACTAACTTCATTTGTGAAGAGATGAATTGATCTAAACCATCTATATTCCTGAGTGTGCACACACACACATGCACATGCAGACACACACATACTCTGAGAGCAGGGGGTATAGCTTAATGGTTGAGTGCTTGCCTACCATTTGTGAAGCCCCTTGTTCTACAGCACAACAAGACAATATGTACAAAATACACACACACATACACACACACACAAACACAAATGGTATAGCTTAGTAATTGAGTGTTTGCCTGTCATTTGTTAATCCCCAGGCATGACAAAACAACATGTACAGAATACACACACACACACACACACATGCACATACACTCACATATAAACACAGAAAGGTAGGTAATGAGTCTGTATGTAGAGTCAGGACACTATTAGAAAGTTGCCTCAACAGCCACTTGTGGACACCTACTCAGAGAAATGGCAGTAAGAATAGCAATCAATGATGATACAGCCATTGTGGTTTTAGTGTTAGGTGGAATGCAGTATCCTAGTCAATTTCTTGATGTCCTTAAAGACAATATAGAAACCCTTAGTCAGGTAATGCTATCAGGGGAGAAGAGTTGCTTTCTCTCACTTCTCTGAACTGAAAAGAAGACCCAAAATTGTATTAAAACAAGACAAAAAGGATTCAGGGTATATCAGAGTAAATTCCTAGAAACATCTATCTGAACATAATGAATATTTTCCCAATCACTTAAAATCTAACAAAGGCCTCAAAGAAAACAGCAAAAATTATGAATCAGTTTACTAACGTGCGCGTGCGCACGCGCACGCGCACACACACACACACACACACACACACACACACACATAAAATATGACAAGCTTGCTTTTTTGAAACATTAAATGGAAAAGATGTTTAAATAATTGTATCTTTGCTGGATGCTGGTGGCTCACACCTGTAATCCTAGCTACTAGGAGGCTGAGATCTGAGGATCACAGTTCAAAGCCAGCCCAGGCTGGAAAGTCCGTGAGACTCTTTATCTCCAATAACCACCAGATAACTGGAAGTAGTGCTGTGGCTCAAGAGATAGAGCACTAGCCTTGAGCTGAAGAGCTGAGGGACAGTGCCCAGCCCCAGAGTTCAAAAAAAAGGCTAAATAATTCAGAGTTTTGAAGTAGAAAATGTTTAGCAGGTATTATTTTGTTTTAGTACACAATTCATTGGTGAAGAGATTAATAATTAATAAACTGTCCACTTTCCTTTATTGGAAAAAAATTTTGAAGACATTTCAACCAAAAGATGAATTAAAAAATGAAGGATACATGAATAGGTAGTTTATTATAAAAGAATTTAAAGCTCAGTGGGTGTAGTTGCTTATGCCTGTAATTCCAGCTACTAAGGAGGCAGAGATCAGAAGGATTGTGGTTTGAGAGTAGCCCAGACAAAAACATTAGTGAGATACTATCTGCAAACACCCGGGCATGGTAGTTCATGCCTGTAATGTAATCCTAGCTATGAGAGAGGCAAAATTAGGGTTGAATTTCAAGACTGGCAATAGGCAAACACATAAGGAAATAACCTAAAGCAAAGAAGGGTTGGAAGTAGAATTCAAGTGGTAGAGCAACTGTCTGGTTAACCAAAGGCTCTGAGTTCAAACACAGAATATACCATAACTAATTAGAATTGTAATTATAAAAAATAAAACCATGTAACCAGCTCATCACCTTTTCAATAAAAAAGAGGGGGGAAGTAAAACCAAAGTATCCTAATCTTGAAAGAGAAGCATCTTTTAATAAAACCATATTTTAGTTTCATTTGTAACTAAAACTATAATGTAGAAAGATAAAGCAGTTGTGAGAAAAATGAGTATAATAAATTACTATTTTACCTAGAAATCATATTTTAGAAACACAGATTATATAAATTTATGTATTTGGTTAGCATACACTTATTATAGGAACAGAGATTTGTTGTTACATTTCCATACAGCTTGTATAAATTTTCAAATTTTATGATGATGAATGTATAATAGAGGAATGGGAGGAGGGCTCATATAGAATCATAATAAAATAATTTAGCAAAGAATAAAATTGAACATAAAGCAAGGAGGGAAAGAATCAGTGTATCATCAGTTTTGACTAAGTCTGAGTTATCCAACTATTACATTGTTGAACAAAACTTAAAACTGACCTTGTAATTAATACCTATTCAACCCAGAGAGTGTGATGTTCTTTTCCTGGAAGGAAGAGGACATAACATGTTTTAAAAAAAAAAAAACAACTTTAGTCATTCCAACAAAAAACTATCTCTTTAAAAATTAAAACTACTACAGCATCATACTAAAGGAGGATACTCTTAAGGGAGGAATCCAAAGGCATAACTCCTCTGAACATTTACAGTACTATTTATTTAAACAAACTCCAGGAAATGGAAACATGGGGCATTTTCTGTTGTTGGTGATGGTTTTTTTTTTCTTTTTTTTTTGGTTTGGGGCTTTTCTTGTGTCAAGTAGAGTGACAAAGGGTAAACAAATGCAATCATGGTATTCAGTGTATACTATGTGGAAAACTATGGAACTGTGGGCAGGGAGGGGATGAGGAAGCTGAGGAATAGTGAAGGAAGGGGTGACATTGTCTTAAAAGAACTGTACTCATTACCTTACTTATACAAATTGGTTAACCTTTCTGTATAATAAAAATAATAATAAATTAAAACTCCAGATATTATTTGATCACGTTAATAGGCACTGAAAACTCATCTGCCAAAATTTATTTGCTTTTAACTTAATATATAAGTAAATCATATACTTAATATTTAGTGACTATAATTTATAAACTTTCATGATCACTTTGAACTGTAATCCTCCAGTTCTCAGCCTCATAAGTAGCTAAGAATTTACAGGCATGACTTGTTTATTTTTAATTACACTTGTAGAGTAACTTTCATTTAAAAAGTGATACAATTTCATGTGTGACATTTGGGAAATATAAAAAAGTAATAATGAAAATTAAATCACATCAAAGCCGAATTACAATTAACAGTATATTTTCATCCATTTCTATACATAGATCCTGGGCTTAATTTTTTTTTTCTAATCATTATGTATTGAATTTGAAAAACAGAAAAGCACAAGGGGAAAGCTCTATAATTCCTATGGCCACAAGAACCCTATTTTATAAGTACTACTCTCATCGCAGCAGACAGCATAATGATTTGTTAGAGACTATGTTGTTGTGCTATACCTAGGAAAAGAACATATTCTAAAACAAAATTTTAACCAGGGTTTTAAGGCAAGGAAGGATGCAGACCCTTTTACATTGGAAAAGGATTATAAACTTTACTCCTTGTGTTGCTTTAGCCTTTACTGCAGAAACTGACCTTTCTCAGCAAGATGTCCACTGCCCACCCAAATTCTGTATTGTATGCCAAGGGCTTAAACCAGATTACTGGTGTACTTCTCACAATTTATGTTCAACGTCTCTATTTGTATTTGAATGAAAAGGATTCATGGTGCACCAAGTAATTAAGACTCTAAGATCTTTGCAACTCTTAATGGCAGCCCAACAGGGAAAGTCATTGTAGACCAAGAATAGTGGTGGGATTTAGAGAAGAAAGCCTTGTTTGCACTGATTTAGCCTATGTGCTCTACCTCCTGGGAAGAGGCATGAATGGATTTAGATTGAAATCTAGGCTTTACAGGCTCAAGAGCTATCCTCAAATAGAATTTATTGGGGGCTATGGCTGAGATACTGTTTTCCTTAGCAACCAGATTCAGCAGGAAATTGGATTGAGAATAGGAATTTTAACTTATTTACACACATTAACCTTTTATGCAATGTCTCTTCAGCCTAATAGCCTAAAACGATATACATCATGCTTGAAATAGGAGAAATTTAGAAAGAGAAATTTGTCTTGATTCCCCAGTTAGGATCAAATGTATACATTTACCCTCCAGTTTTCTAAAATCTATCTACACTAGAAGTTAATAAATCATGTCATTTCCAAAGCAGAGCAGACTTGGAACAAGTTATAATTCAGGACTATCTTCCACCTCTGAAACACACACATGCATGCACACACGCATGTACACATACACATATATGTAGCTATTCTTTTCTGTATTTTCTGTAAGAGTGATTCCTCAAAATGAAGTTGAAAACTAAAATCCGAGGTTGAAATTAACTTTGATCTAAATAGTAGAGATTATAGGGGTTTTGAGCAAATGAGCAAAGTTATTTCTAGGAAATTGTTCTCTGAGACTCAGCAAAGAAGCCACAAATCAGCTTGAAGGCAGAGAAGTTTGTCAGTAGGACGGTGTGTGTGTGTGTGTGTGTGTGTGTGTGTGTGTGGAGTGGGAGGGTGGAGAGGAGGGCACTGACTGGCAGGAAAGCTGGGTGATAACCCAGGAGTCTAGAAAGATTAGGTAAGAAGGTAAAATATTTAATGATGCCTTTAGGGTAAAACAAAATTTCACACAAATTCCCCAATCCCAAATAAAATATGCAAAGGGATTTGGGAGACATGAAGTTGTATTGCCAAGAAAGTATAAGGAAGAAGTATAATCTCCTATATATGTTAGCCATCTGGCTTTAATTATGCTGTTTGGCAATTATCTAGACCCTGTGGTTTAGAAAGCCAACTAAGAGAATATGGATTATGTGAAACAGCAAACTGCAAATTCATCTTGTAGTGACTAAATTTAAAGTGGACATAAGTGTCTCTACTGGATTTATCAAAAGGTCACAATTTGGAACCCACAGTGTAATAATGAAAATCAAAAGGAAACCATCCTTATGTTTCATTGCAATAATACTCTGTGTGTGTGTAGTATTGGGATTTGAACTCTAGGCCTTGTGCTTGCTAGGTAGGCATGTCGCCACTTAAACCATATCCCCAATACTCCATTGGAAAAAAAATTGAAAAAATGAAAATACTGATGGATATTAAACCATTAGAGAACATTAAACAAAGGAAATTGATAAAGAAAAGCAGTTTTTAATTTAAAAGGTGAGAATGTAATTTAAAACTGACTTTGTTGTAGCTTTTAATTCACTAGAAAATCTTGTAAAAATTTAAGCTTAATGTGTTTTCCTGCGGACTTGTAGCTGTGCATTCCATATATTTACGTTATAGAAGCCAAAGGTAACCATGTGCCAAAAAGATTAAATCATACAAAAGATAATTGATCTCTATTTAGGCATCTGTATTGAAGATGCCTAAAAACAAATTTGAAGGTACATTTTCAAGTGAAATTGGAGGCCAAGAAAATGTTGGGTTTCTATGATCACTTCATATGTTGTAGGTATCTCCTTGGCAAGTGCACCTGTTTATTTGTGAGGAAAGGACCACCTAAGTGTATGTTCCCTCCTCCATGTTGTGGATATATTCTTCCTTGGGATTCCTACAAGGTTTCCTCAAGGCCAATCCAAGTGCAGGCCATGGGAGGTACTCAGATTTGGGCTAGAAAAATTTACTAACCATCCTTTGAAGACTGTCATTTGTCTCCTAGCCTCATGAACATTCATTCCCTCATTTCTTGTAGTCTTCTTTCTCTGAACTTTCTTTTTAATTTTTCATCTTTTAATAGAATTTCTTTTATGTATTTTTTGTTTATGTAGTACTAAGGAATCAAACCTAGGACTTCATACATGCTAGACAAGCACTTTATCACTAAGCCACATTCTCTGAACTTTCATAGTCCATGAACTTTATATAAGTCATGTGGTAGCTATCATAAGTGGTCTTTTCATATTTTCTATGTTTTTATATATGTCACCTCCCTAATTACAGATATTAGGACTGTGTCATCATTACACCTGCTCAGTGTGTTGTGCAATGAGCAAAATAGAAGTGTTGGAGATAAGCACTAAAGTGGTTTTCTCATTTTAGTCTTTTGGTGTATTTCTTTGCCACTTAGAACAACTCAAGTATTTGCTTACTTTAAGCTTAATGGGCAGTAGGAATTAAATTATTTTTAATTTTTTTTATTTAACCAAATGGTTAGTTCTTCATTTAAAAGTAATGTGGTAGTGTTACTAGATATTGTTTTAAAGTGCTCTGAAAATATTGTCTGAAAAACATTTGTCTGAAAACAAAATATTGCTGTAAAAGTTTAGAGTAACCACAGTTTTTCTCTCTTAAAATTTGAAGCAAAATAGCTTTTTTCCTTTGATACAAAGATAATAACTTAAAATCTAGTTTTATAATATAGTGATTTTTCTGTAGCTGCTTTATAAGGGTATAGAAATTCATTCAAAAGACTTTTGGAGGGTGAGAGGAGTGTAGTTGTGGAGGTGGGAGGGAAGGGATGGTAGGGGAAAAACAAAGGAGGAGGAAACAATGCTTGATAAGAAATGTACTCATTCCGATGGGAAGGGGAAACAAAGGAGAAGGCTACAATGCTTGATAAGAAATGTACTCATTATCTTGCTCATGTAACTGTAACCCCTCTGTACAGTATTTTCACAATAAAAAAACCTACTTAACAAAAAAGACTTTTGGATTAGTCAGTGGCACTGGACCATCCCCACTTGTGTCCATCTATTATACATTGAGAGTGATCTTCACATAAGCAGCAGAGGGAAGTATGGGTACAACCAGGCCATGATTAGGAAATGATCTGTTTGTTTCCCTGTCACCTCCTCTTTGGAAACAAAGGCTATCAATGGTTTATTTGCACAGTGAAATAATACATTGCAGTGAAAAATGAATACACTTGAGTATCATGTACTAAAAGTGTAAAGTAACCACCCCCCAATTACATGTGTACTCAATGTTGTTCATGAAAAACTTAAGACTATGTGAGGTGATATAATTTTTTGTCTTGGAATATATGTATATCAATGTATAAAATGTATATATAAATATAGCCTAGCACTGGTGGCTCACACCTGTAATCCTAGCTACTCAGGAGGCTGAGATCTGAGGATCGTGGTTCAAAGCCAGCCCCGGCAGGTAAATCCACATGACTCTAATCTCAAATAAACCACCAGAAAACCAGAAGCGATGCTGTGGCTCACGTGGTAAAGCGCTAGCCTTGAGCTAAAGAGCTAAAGGATAGTGCCCAGGCCCAGGGTTCAAGCCCCACGATGGACCAAAAAAAAAAATCTATCTATCTATCTATCTATCTATCTATCTATCTATCTATCTATCTATCTATCTATCTATCTATCTATCTATCTTCTCGGGATGATAGCTTCTAAATTTGGTGAATTAGTGAGAAAGGCATTTGGAAGTAGTACACAAAGAACTACAAGTATGTCTATAATTTTATTTTCTTTACCTTACTTGGGGCTTGAACTCTGTGCCTAGATTCTGTCCCTGAGCTTCTTTTTTTTTTTTTTTTTTTTTGGTCCAGTCGTGGGGCCTGAACTCTGGGCCTGGGCGCTGTCCCTCAGCTCTTCAGCTCAAGGCTAGCGCTCTACCACCTGAGCCACAGCGCCACTTCTGGTTTTTTTCTTTTTTGCTTATGTGGTGCTGAGGAATCGAACCCAGGGCCTCGAGCATGCAAGGCAAGCGCTCTACCACTGAGCCACCTTCCCAGCCCTCCCTGAGCTTCTTTAATTTAAAAAAAAAAAGGACTTTTTTTCATATACCTGGAAGCTGTGTTTTTCAGTCAATGACAGGATTTTCTGAATAAATTTACATGGTTAAATTGCATTATATATTTTTTGATTACATTGTTTTAAACATAGAAGTGCTAGATATTTTGACAAAATATTGTCCATAAATTTTAATAATATTTTCTTTTTACATAGTGACCAGCGTTGGCTGTGGGTAGGTTTGAATAAAAGAAGCCCAGATTTGCAAGGATCCTGGGAATGGAGTGATCATACACCAGTAAGTCATACCTTCTTCTAGAAGGAAATACAGGAGTATTCATTTTGACAGCCATTAAGTTGGTCATTAAATAATGCAGCCACACCTAAAATATTTATGGAACCACCAAAGACCCCTGAATACCCAAACACTATTGAACAAAAAAGGACAAAATTGGAGATGTTATTCTATTGAGCTTCAAAATATACATTACAAAGATAGGGTAACCAAGACACCATGATACTGCAATAAAAATAGGCCAAAAGTAAATCAATGTATTTATAGTCAAATTATTTTTGACAAAAGTGCTGAGAACACACAATGGGAAAAGGAAGAGTCCTTTGAATAAATGGTACTGGGAAAACTGGACATCCATATTAAGAAGACCGAAATTAGATTTTTCTCAGACCATTTACAAAAAATCTACTCAGAATGGATTAAAGATTTAAATATAAGACCCAAATGTATGAGACTACTAAAAGAAGACACAGAAATATACGTCTGTGACATTGATCTGTGCAACTATTTCCTGGATGTGACTCCAAAAGCACAGACAAGAAAAACAAAATAAACAAATGAGGTTACATCAGACTAAAAAGCTTCTGCATGTCAAAGAAACAGCCTACAGAATGGGAGAAAATGTTTTCTAACTATGCTTTTAACAAAGGCTTAATATCTAAAACGTGCAAGAAACTAAATTCAATGACGAAAGAACAAGCAAATCTTAAAAATGGTCAAAGGACTTGAATATACAGTTCTCAAATGAAGACATTTAAATGGCCAACAGGTGAATGAAAAAGATTCTCAGCATTGCTAATCATCAAGAAAATACAAATCAACATCACAGAGATTGTACCTTACACCTAGAATGGCTGTCATTTTAATGAGGAAGTAGAGAAACTGCTGGAGTACAAGTAAGGCAGCTATTACAGGAAATAATATGGAAGTTCCTCAAAATATTCAAAATGGAACTATAATATGATCAAGCAATCTTACTCCTGAGTATATAACCAAAGAAAATGACATCAATATGTTGAAGATTTCTTCATGTTTTACACATACACTCTTGTGTGTATTGCATCAGTATTCACAGTAACAAGGATAGGGGAATCAATGTTTCTGTGAACAGATGAATGAAGAATTGGGGATTATTATAAAGTCCCCAATCCTGCTATTTGCAACAAATGGGTGAATTTGAAGTTGAAGTATTAATTGAAACAAGGTAGGCACAGAAAGCTAAATGCCACATGATTGCTCAGGTAGACTCTAATAAAACAGCTCTCATAGGCTTCTAAAATAGAATGGAGGTCACCAGGAGTTAGGGAAGATGTTTGTCAAAAGACACAAAAGCTTAATTAAAATGGAGGAATAAGTTCAAGAGATCTATTATTGTACCACTTGGTGATAATACTTAATAATAATGTATGCTTGAAAAGTTCTGAGTGCATGTTCAGTGTTCTCACTACAGATTAACTATGACAGATATACACATATGTTAATTCGCTAGATGTACTTATTTTATGATGATATGCTTTAAAATGTGTTTTATATATATATACAATTTTACCTGTTAATTTTTAAAAATAGAAATCCATCCACATACTATACAACAATTAAAGTTATATAGGTGCATCTTGATTGGTGTGAAGATAGATTCACATACATGGCATGAGAAGAAAGAAGGTACTAATGTTACTTTTAAAAATAAAACCCATATGTGTAATTTCTCCCTATATAGTTCAAAAGGAGAAAGAGTAGATAAATATAGTGGTACTCTTGGGTAATACAAATTATCTTATTACCAAAGCTTTTCTTTGAACTAACTTTTATTTTTAATAATGAAAACTTTAGTTTTTATTAACTAAACACAAGTTATGTAAAAAAATGTCTATTGGAAAAATAATTTGTTTGGTGAAGACAAAATTATCCTTCAATATTATTTCAAATGTTGGCATTATCCCAAACAGAAGTTTTATATAGCACTGACTGATGTAAATTTTTCATTTATTCAGTATTTACTGTACACTACTGTTGAATCAACTTATATTGCCTTCTTTCTTAATGTAAGACTCCTAACTTTCATTTAAAAATTGAAGCATGTTTGAAATTAAGTGATCAAATAACCAATCTTTCAAAACACGTAAAAAAAAATTGCCTTTTGCAAGGTGTTGTTTTTCTGATTCCAGTGGTGAACTTACTACACTGTTAACCTCCACTTCTGAAACTACAGCTTCCTTTGTTTGGAAATCTGTGACATTTTCTGAGTCCTCTCAGGACTTAGCATGATGGTTTTTGAAAAAGAGATGAAGATATTTTCATTCTGAGGCAGATGAACATGCTTGAGTTTTTAGAGCTGCCTAAATTACATCTAAATTGCAAATTTTTTATACATCAGTCTTAAAATTTCAAGGCTCTCTGATCTTTTCAGGTATCTACTGTTACCATAGAAAATGAGTTTCAGCAGGATTACGACATCAGAGACTGTGCTGCAGTGAAGGTCAGTACACTGCTGGAAAATCTGCATGGGAAAATAACAATTCCAGGGGCTGAGGTTGCAGCTTAGTGGCTGCAGAGAATATGATTAGTGTGTGTGAGACTTTGGGTTCAATTTCCAGCAGCATGCACACACACACACACAACCTGACATCACTTGGGTGGCATAAGTGGTTTAAGACAAGGTGAGAGGGGAAGGAGGAAGATTAGGCAGTGAGCAACACAGAACACACATCAAAAAGTTATATTTGATGCTGTGTAAAAAAAAAATGGGGAATTAGATTGATGCCAGGTTAAGATGTTTGTATGATTTTTTAAAATGGGAAAACAGACATTTTTTTAAGTTGTACAGGAGCTGAAATGATCCAGGAAGAAATGAGGAATGTTTATCTTGAGTCATATTTCAAGATGCAACTGATAGGACTGGAAGAGAAAATCCTCATTAGACAGCTTCCTCCACAGAATTCATTCATTTGTCCATTTGATAGCAAGTTGTCCACAGAGCTGTGAGGCACTTAGGAATGTAACAAAGGACAAGGCACTGAACGTAGTCATCTTCACAGAACTTTCAGTCTAGGAGGACAAGGACAATTTAAACAAGCAGTGATGATACCAGTGGGTAGGGCTATGGGTTCAAAACACAAGGCTCTGACAACCTTGCAAGAACAAGGCTCTCTGGTCTTCTCAGGAATCTTTGTTATAAGAGAATGCTAAGAATGACAGTGATTGTGATGGTGGTGGTGGCAGAGGATACTTAAAGAACGAGGCACTGGGCTGGGCATGTTACATATATTTTTTCTCTACTACTTGCCCAATGTGGCAACTTCCCCAACATTAGATAGTGACAGAATTGAAATTGAAATGCAACCAAAATTGTGTGAGTACAGTACCCTTAACCATCGTGCTGTATGACTAGGTATTTATAGAAATAAGCAGGTATAATGGTTTATAGAGACTATGGTACTTTTTAGTTTAAATAGTATAAATCCAACCAAGGAATAAAAAAACAAGACATTGCTATGGTAACTTGAGGTGTAGGGTCTAGAGTGAAAGAAAAAAGTACTTTAAAAAGCACAGGACAAAAAAAAAGTCAATTTGAAGGAACTGCTAGTACATAAAAGGAAATTAGGTTAGATGAGACATCTAAATATCTTCACTTTGTAGCCCAAGACTTGTAGCCTAAAATAGAACAGAAATGTTATAGAAAGGGGGCTAGGCACAGTGGTGCATGCCTGTATCTTCAGTTATTCAGAAAGGAAAGACTAGGAGGATCACAGTTCAAAGCCAACCTAGACTTTAGTGAGATTACCCACCTTAACCAACAAGCCAGATGAGGTAGTACATGTCTGTTATCCCAGCTGTGTGAGAGACTTAGAACGATCACAATCCAAGGCTGAACTCATGTAAAAATTCAAGACATTATATGAAAACTAAAGCAAAAAGGGGTTGTAAGGGTATGATTACATGCCTAACAACTGTAAGACCCTGAGCTCAAACCCCAGTATTGCCAAAAAAAAAAAAAAAAAACTACAGAGAGGTTTGGCAAGTGAAAATTGACAAAGCCATTGCAAAGCAATTTCTAAAGTAACTCTTCATAGTGATACTGTTACAGCATCATGGCATGGGCATCCTAACATAATAAACTGTGTCATATTTAGAATGTCCAGGTGTACAGAGCTTTGAAAGCCTGCCAAAGAACTAATAGAAGTGTTAACAGATGCAGCCTGCACCGGGAACAGGCCTGGCCCCGGTAGCATTCTGTAAGGAGGCCTTTAAACCCACTAGCCACAGTATGTACCAGAACTTTGGCATTAGGAGAAAAGAGCTTCTTCTGTCTGCTGACTGGAGTTTTCAGTGAACATCCTGGATCAGATGAGATGAACAGCACCCTAGAAATGGCAGACAGCACAAAAGAAACAGCATGTCACCACAGAACCCAGATTTTTGTCACTTTCATCTGATGCTTGGATACCAGTGAAATTTTATTCTTTTCTAGCTTGTTTTTTTTTCCCTAGTTTTAAAACTTCAAGAGTTTACAATGTCATGTCAACAAAAGTGGAAGGAAAAGGAGTACTAATAAGCTTTTTAGACATACATAGACTTTATATTTCATCAGTCCGCTCAGAAGGTTTTTTTTCGGGCTTCTACTCTTAAACATATTGTTTGTTCATCTTTAGGTGTACAAGCTAAAATAGGGATCAAGACTAGAGGACTTGCAGTTCAGTATGCAACAAGTTCAAATATTCTGCAATCTTTTCCTTCCTTTAGGTAACACCTAGGCCATGGCGAAGAGGCTGGCATTTTCACAGTGACAGGGAAGTTATCTATTTGTGGCCCTTTGCTTGTGATACAAAACTGGAATGGGTATGCCAGATTCCAAAAGGTAAGTGCTGTTACTCTTTTTCACATCCTTCTGAGGTTAATGTGGTGAATGCTGAACTAGAAGTACATGATAGACACTTCTGAGTTCACAATTATGATTTCTACAATCCTATGAACTGCAGTTAATAAATAATTGCCTGACTCCTATTCCTAGTAGCAGACTAGTTTACTGGAATTTGAGGATAATCTCACTCTCCAATCAAGGAAAAATTTGTATAGAAGATAAAATATAGGACTCAGGGAGAATAGATTTCAGAATGAAAGACAATAAAAATAGTAAAGATAATCATTTTGAATTTTATTTTGATGCAAAATGAAACATAAGATAAAAATGATTTAGAAAGAATGAGTCAGGAATCAAGAAATCATAATTTGATGGGTACTCATAAAATTTAGAAGCAATTTTCAACAAATTCCAAAACTGCTAATACATATATAAATTCAAATTCAAGAAATGAGTGAGATTAGTAGTAGAATTTTCAGAGACAAGAAAAGTGAGTGAGCCACCAGTGCTTGATAAGAAATGTACTCATTATCTTGCTCATGTAATTGCAACCCTCTGTACGGTATTTTCACAATAAAAAAAAATTTATTAATTAAAAAAAAAAGTGAGTGAGTCAGACTTGGTGGCCCACACCTGCTATCACAGATAAGTTTGAGGCCAGCCTTGACCAATTAGTGAAACTGTCTCAAGAAACCAAGGGCTAAGAATACAGATTAGTTGCAAAATACTTTCTGGCATGTGTAATGCCCTAGGTTTTATCCCTAGGACCAAAAAAAAAAGGGTGAGACTGTCATTTTGTCCTTTTATTTTATTTGCTTATAGCTATGAAAATATTAAGGAAATGCTAACAAAATGGTTTATCCCACAAATTATTATTAAGCAGATGTTGGATATATTAAATTAAGCCATGTTGAAAGATCTAAAATATGTGAGTATCTGAACTGCACATAAACAGAACATTGCAACTAAAAGCATATTCTATAAATTCTCAAAGAACCAAAATGTATATCATAGGGTTGTCTACTCAAAGACGCCTTTTTCCTAAAACCACTATCTTGCCTTTAAAAAGCTTCAGATGAACAAGACAAAGTAGCTTATGCTTAATTGAATCTTAGAGATTTGAAGGATTGTGGTTTGAGGTTAGCTCTGACAAAAACAGTTTGCAAGACCCCATTCTAATCAATGAAAAACTGGGCATGGTGGCATACATCTGTCAAAATAGCTATGTAGAAAGTGTAAATAGGAAGGTTACAGTCCAGGCTGACTACAGTAAAAAAAAAAAATGAGACCCTATTTAAAAGATAACAAAATGGCTTGGAGCCTGGATCAATTTGTAGAACACTTGCCTCTCAAGCACAAGGCAATGAGTTAAAATACCCTATCACCAGTGTGTAGTGATAGGATTTTCCTTATGATTAGAAATTATGCCTGATGACTCCTGGCTATTGATTAATCAATTTGAACACCCCCTAAGAAAGTAGGAAAGTAAGCAGGCTCTGGTGGCTCACGTCAGTAATCCTAGCTACTCAGGAGGCTGAGATCTGAGGATCATGGTTCAAAGCCAGCCCGGGCAGGAAAGTTTGTGAGACTCTTATCTCCAATAAAACACCAGAAAACTGGAAGTGGCACTGTGGCTCAAGTGGTAGAGTGCTTGCCTTGAGCTGAAGAGTTGAGAGACAGCCCCCAGACCCAGAGTTCAAGCCCCACAACCAACACACACACAAAAAAAGTAGGTGAAAGATTAAAAATTGACCATTACCATTACTAACTTGCTAACTGCTGATTCTGCTTCTGTAAACTTGCTTATGCTAGCATTGACCCTTCCCTTCCCAGAAATGAGTTAAGAAGTTTCAGGGACCAGATGCCGGCCCCAGGACAAGGTCAGTGGTCGTAGATAAAAAACAGACAGTACGTGTTCCTCAGTTCCCATTTAGAAATTCCCCAGACAGGACCTTGAGATAATGATCACCTGGCAAGACCACAAGCTAAGCCAAATGTCAACCAATCATAGGCCTGTAACCATGTAAACCCCCCTTAAACCAACCATGGGCCAGTCATTTTACAAAGAGTGTTACAAAATTTCCCGCGTGGCAAAGTGATTGTTGGTGTATATGGTGACCTTTAAATGGACCAATCATGGGATGCTTTGTGTTATGCGTTAATCTTGTGGTTTTTGCCTTTAAAAAAGGCTTGTAACCGCTGCTCAGGGCTCCCTGTCTGCTCGGGACAGAGAGTCCGTTTGCGCAAACGTCAAATAAACTCCTCTTGCTTATTGCATCTCCCGGCCTGGAGTCTGAGTTTCTGGGGCGCCCTCCCGTTGACGAAAGTATCCTAGGGGACTAGGGTCTTTCATAGGAAAGTAATTTATGTATATAATCAGTTTGGACATTGTCTCTGGTTCAAAGTGCTGTAAGCCTCCTATTTGCTACCATTCCATAGAAAGTATTTTTGCTCTGTTCCGCCCTCCAGCTTTGCCCTACTTGGCCTAATACTTATGACCACTTTGCCCATGGCTCCTTAGGGAAGCTAGGAAACTCTCTAAGGATTGCTATACCCTCTTAGGTGTTCATTCAGTACAACAAAAGATACCCTTCTCAGTAGGGAAGTCATGCATACATACATACATACATACAGGGATATACATACACTCATAGACACACTTATATGGAATTAACTTTCATATACGTAGAGTTAAATGATTGAGTAGATAATCTATATCAGTTAACCAAACAAATCTTCTCAGTAGTTATTCCCACTTTCCCAGTGCAGATGGAAAACAAAAAAACTAAACATTATCATTTGAATCAATTCAAGTCCTTTTACTCTATCAGTGATTGCATGATTCTGGAGTTTTGTTTTATTCTGTTTTGTTCTATTTGTGACACTGGATATTTGAATTGTGGGCCTCAGGCTTGCCAGACCTGGCTGAGCCTTGTCCTTAATCCTTTCACTTTCAGTGTTTTTTGTTTGTTTTGCTTAAGATAAGATCTGGGCTGGGCCTTATTCTCCTAAATAACTAGAATTACAGATTGTACACCTCTACCTTCAACTCGACCCAATATTTAAATGTTTTGTCAACTCTCCTTTGATAGTACCTGAATTTCAAAGTATCACATTCACCTGCTTGGATATTTTTTGCAGTAAAAACTGTAAACAACCGGCCTGCTCAAATTTGTATGCATCTGTCCTTTCTGGTTTTCTTGAGACATTTTCCTCTTCAGGAAAATTAACTATGCCTTTTCTTCTTATTATCTGATATTTAAAAAGAATACTTTGACAGTTTATGCATGTTAAGTAGCCATAACAATATGCATATGTATTATTTTCAAATACATTTTTAATTGAGAAGACTGTAAAAAAAAATAAGGCCCATAAAATGTTTTCAGGGAAATTGCCTATAATACTTCTAACTAAACACAGCTATTTTATTATATTCCTTGATACTTTTATAAGTATATTCATAATCTTGGGTAAAGAAAAAAACTTTTCCTCACTAACTTAAAGACAGTTAAAGTTTATACATAGTTTCTCCAACCCAAAAATAACCAGAGTCTCTGACAAGATTATAGACAAGAAACTGTCCATTTTTAACTGACTTACAGCACTATTGATGGAAATTGCCCAATACAAAGAGAGCTGGCTGAAAGAAAAACCAAAAGGACTGGATATAGATTTGCTGAGGAGGGGTTACTGAAGATACAGAAAAGATACAGAAAAATTCACAACAGCCATTTTTACCTGTCATTTCAAGATTCAGCACATTTGTTTTGGACTTAAAACCAGTATGGTCTACTGCCAGGACAAGAAGCAGTAGGAGTGCTGGGGGAGCTGCTGTGAGCACTGCTCTGTACCTGGTGCTATGCAGGTGCTTCTTAGGGTGGTCACATGAGTTTCACACTTCCTTTGTGAGTGGAGTTTTGTTTAACAGAACACAGAATTGACACTCAGGAAGTTAAGTAGCTCAGCCAAAGAACCGCAAACAAAGATGTGTGAGGCTACTTGGCCCATCCAACTGGCCAGGCCCATAATCCTATAATTCTACCTAGCACACTGTATATCCTGATTCCATTCAAGAATCCTGAGTGACCTATTGGTGTCCCCCTGGCTTTGTTTCAGCGTCTCAAAAGGTTTAATATTGAATTATTGTCATTTTCCAATATGATCTTGGGAGTAAGTAAACCTTACCACCCAGGCTTATAGATAGTTATTCAGATTACATTAGAAAGAAGTGTTCCTGAAGTATTTCTGTGTAATATCTGCACTATTGTCACTTACTGCTTCACTCTCTGATTATTAGTTGTATTTCCTCTATTTAGTCTTGTTTGTAACTTCTCTGATATAGAATAAAAGACTACTGGTGTGTGTGTGTGTGTGTCTGTGTCTGTGTGTGTCTGTGTCTGTGTGTGTGTGTCTGTGTTTGTGTGTATGTCTGTCTATGTGTGTGTCTCTATCTGTGTTTGTGTGTGTGTCTGTGTCTATGTGTGTGTCTGTGTCTGTGTGTCTGTGTGTGTTGCTGAGGTACAACCCAGGGCTATATCCTCAATGCTAGGAATATGTAGACCTTTTTTCATGCCACTTTAGCATAAGTCCTATAGAACCCAACTCAGGTCATCATAAGTTGACATGAAATGGTATGGTCAGAATGGATATGTCTCTATAGGCTTCACTGAAGACCCTATAATCTGTAATCAAATTCTAAATTTAAGCCACTTGCTTTCTTCTTTATACAGGCAGCACTCCTAAAACACCAGAATGGTATAATCCAGGTAAGTGAAGAAAACTGAAATTTAACCAAAGCTACTTATTTGGCAATGTTATATAGTCAGTAATTTAAGTGCCAGTTTCTTCTCTATTACATCTTCAAGGGAAATACAGTTTCCAGGCAATGAAGGTGGGTGGATGGAATAGGATGAACAATGAGGCTGGATTTTCCTACAGTAATCCTTAGTTCCTTGTAGTCAGCACTGCCCCTGCCAGAAAGAGCCAGGAATCTCAAAAGGTTACTGTGTTCAAAACTTTCTGGTACTCTTAACGAAGTACCTGAGATGATCAACTTAAAAAGAGAAAAGCTTACATAGATTCACAGTTTTGGGGGTTGTCACTTTGGTGCCTATAATGAGGAAGCACCTCCTATAGCAGAAAGTTCATGGTGTAACAAGCCCTCAGGTCATGGAAGATAGGAAGCAAAAGAGAAAGAGGGGTCACGGGGTCCCAAGGTCCCCTAAAAGAAGTCTTCCAGCTAAGTCCTACTTCCCAGAAGTATTGTGGATACGAACCAAGCTTTTAACACAATTGTTTTGGGGATGGGATATTATCCCAGCTTAGAAGCTACTATTTATGAATAATTTTGAGCATTAACATATGCTGAAAGGGTTTGAGTTGGTCTGCACAGTCATAACTCTGTCTTTCTTCTTTAGAGCGTGCTGGAATTCATGGGCCTCCCATTATAATTGAAGGAAGTGAATACTGGTTTGTTGCTGATCCTCACTTAAACTATGAAGAAGCCGTCCTATATTGTGCCAGCAATTACAGCTTTCTTGCTACTATAACATCGTTTACGGGACTAAAAGCCATCAAAAACAAAATAGCTAATGTAATTTAAAAGAATGCACTTTTTAAATATATTTTTATTTTTATATGTATTCCATTGAAATATTTCTGAGTTCTCTAAAAGTTAAATGTTGTTCTAAAGATTTGTCTCACAATATCTAAATTTGTTGTTCATGTTAGAAAAATTGAATATAATTGCTTTTAAATGTTTTAAAATATGAAAGATTAATGATAAATGTCAATTTATGATATATTAGTATATAATATTAATTATTCTAATTCCTTATTTTTTAACTAAAAGTTGAACATATAGTGAAGTTTCTGTTTCTACTAAGTAAATTTAAACAATAGCTTTTGTGAAGAAAATTAATATATTTAAAATTTTGTAATTAATGCACTTTATTAGACTGGGTACAGTGGGTCACAGCTATAATCTCAGCTGCTTGGGAGGCTACAATCTGGAGGATCATGGTTGAAGGCAGCCAGAAAAAAGTTAGTATAGCCTGTTTCAATCAATAAGCCATTTGTGGTGGCTCATGACAGTAATTCCAGCTACTCAGAATATGGATATGAGGAGGTTCAGGGACAAAGTTCAAGGACAACCTGAGCAAAAAGATTCTCCTATCTCAGCCATCAAGCAGGGCATGTGGCATGTACCTGTGATCTCTGCTATATGAGAGACTATAGATTAGGAGGTCTACCATCTGAGGCTGGCAAAAATTCAAGACCCTGAAAAATAACTAAGGCAAAAGAAGAGATCAGAGCATGACTTAAAGTGATAGAGCATTTTTCAGTAAGCACAAGACCCTGAGTTAAAAGCAAAAACAACAACAAACAGACCTGGCTAAAACTAAAAAAGACAATGTATGCCCAATTAGCATATACCCTGTAATTAATGCAAGCCAACAATCACAGCAACTGTAATAGGACCTGTGACTATGTAAAATAGGGTGGCATGTCACTTGGTAAAAGATTTTGGCATATGTAGTTTTGAGACCCAGTAATGGAAGGTCTAGAAATTTTGGTGATGTATGATATTGTACTATGACAGAACATCCAAAGCAAACCTGTCTGAGAGAATTCAGCACATGTAAGTTTGGCTGTGTGGTTTTTTTTTCAGATATCTGGTGCTGAGCAGAAGTGGTGGGTGAAAACTAATGATCAACCAATAGATCGATTCTTCATGTAGTAAGTACCATCTTCCATCACTGAGTCCATCTTTGAGAACTTGCCACTCAAAAGAAGCAGCTCCATATTCCCCTTGAATAACTGGATTACAATTTAGAAGCCTTTTGTGTACTGATCCATAAACTTCCTAGATTTAAAAAAGCCAAGTTCCTTTGCATGTTAACGTTAAGAAAAAAGTGGTGCAAAATAGTAACATTAAGTTCAAAATGGCCATAACTTGGAGCAAAAAAGAGAATATAGTGTCCGTTGAGTCATAAGTTGTGACATCCCCTGTTCTCTTTCAGCGCACAGCATCCATGGCACCGCTTTCCTGTGACCTTGGGGGAGGAATGCCTGCACATGTCTGCCAAAACTTGGTTCATGGGTAAAGTTAACTCCCAAACCTTCAGTGTGGTTGTGTAATCTGTGAACTACAGGCTCAGTTACTTGCTTAATCTTGTTTTCCTTTCCAGTATAGGTTTGCTAGTGTCCTGTTACTCTGACTTACTGAGAACAAAAGCTCAAACCCCAAATGCAAATAAACTCACTCTCCAGAGTTACTGCTTTAAAGTCCCTTATCTCAAAGCAATTACTTAGAAATAAACTTACCACCTTTATAACTGATAAACAACTTAAGACCGATTTACAAAGGTGAGCAGGCAGTGGTTCTACAACACAACTTATGTCCTCCTCCCTAGGTTTTCCTTTTAACCCTCTTAGCTATGTCTTGCCATCATTGTTTGGGTGACATTTGGTAGATATACTACATATGTGCTTTGAACCATGATCTTCAGATCTCAGCCACCTGAGTCACCAGGATTACAGGCATGAACTACCAGCATCTCACTTTTGTATAAACAGTATTGGTATTATATGTCCTGCAAATATGGAGGAGAGGAGAGGGACAGAAGATGACTAACGAATAAATGGGAATGTATAGAACTATCTAGGAAAGACTGATTTTAAAGAGTCTTTCTTGGAATCAGAATTGTAGCTCCATAGTGGAACTGGACATTGTACTGGAGTTCAATCCTCAGCCAAGGAAATAAGACAGTGTCTTTCTTAGTTGTTTTTAAAATGTGCTGACTAAAGTAATTCTTACGTTGAAATCCTGCTTTTCATTTCTCAGATTTAAATAAACCAGCAGACTGTAGTACCAAGTTGCCCTTTGTGTGTGAAAAGTACAATGTATCTTCATTAGAGAAATACAGTTCAGATTCTGCAGCTAAAGTACAGTGTTCTGGAAGCTGGATTCCTTTTCAGAATAAGGTAAGAGAATTGCTGCCTTGTGTAAATAGTAATTAATCTTGTGCTGATTGTGTGGCCTACAGAAAAAGGCACTCATCAGACAATGGCACCAAGAATGGCTTCCAACATATGTCAGTAATTCACCTGGCCCACTTTCTTGCTAGAAACCATGCGTGTTATCAGAAGCCAACTCTGAAGTTAGTTAGCTGTGGGTCTTCCAAAGTATGGTATTTCTTTTCTACTGCTGTCAACATTTAAATCGCTGAAGTGGATGTCAATGAATAATAACACATTGAACTATCAATACCATCCCCATGGAATGCAACAGACTTTATTTCTGGACACTCCTTTCTAAAGGAGAAAATCAAAGCAGCATCTGCCAATCAAATTAGATCAGCATTTCCCAAGCTGCTCTTGAGAGACTGCACAAACACACAAAATAGTAGTCCTTGATTCTGCCTCCAATGGCAGTTCTCTGGTGAAGTAGTTTTGGGAAATGCTGGGGTTGAGGCTGTCTTTTTGACATGTATAAGCTATACAGCTGTGTATATCTGATGAGAAATTGCCACAATATATGAAAACATTCATTCTGTTAAAAAAATATATAGGTTACTAAGACTCAGTTGGCTTGGAAAATTCTATGAACTCTTCAAAAGTGGCCTATATTCTTTTTCTGCTTTATCATCTTTAATGTAAGATTTTTATGTTCAAGTTCAGGATGTTCTCTCAAGGATCTGTTCTAGAAGTCATGACTTTGCCCGTATCTTCTGTAAGAAGATTGAAAACAACCTATTGTAGGATGTTTCAAAAAGCACTATTTAGGACAATAGTCCCACCCAAAGTGATTGTAATATCAAAAAAATGAGGAAGAGGTGCATTTGACAGCTGTAAACATCTCTGGTGGAGTTAGGGATATATTTTTTACTGTTATATTCAGTTTGTGTGTATGAGTGTGTGTGTGTGTGTGTGTGTGTGTGTGTGTGTTACTGTGGATTGAGACCAGAGTTTTGTACATACGAGCTACACTTGCCCCATTACTTTTAAAAATTGGAAAAAATCTTTTTATTTCCCAAAGTACAGGAACTGAGCATAATTTTCAGTTGATACAAACTCGAATTAAAATTTCTTCCCAAGAGAAAGAGAGATGCTTTCTTTTGTGTTTGTTAATATCGAGATGATAAATTGAGAGCCCAGGCATTGATGTCAGATGAACAGAGTTAAAAATGCTCACTGGACCAATTGTAGCCATTTCACTGGTGGATAAGGTACTTGACTTTGCTTTGCCCCAGTTTTCCCATTTGTTGTAAAAATATGAGACAATACTACAAAAATTGGTAGCACATAAAAAATTCATTTTAATCTGATAGCTTGAAGATCACAATGCAGTTGTTCATGTTGAGAGTGTTCTCCTGAATTCATGTGGTATTACTTTGTAAAGTTTCAGTGCTTGGGAATAATCCTCTAAATGATGACATATTTACTTCCTGCCTGGCTTTCATGCATCTGAATCTTATTTTCATATGTGTCTCCATTTGCAGTGTTTTTTAAAGATCAGCGCCAAGTCTCTTACATTTTCTCAAGCGAGCACCCTCTGCCACTCCTATGGTGGTACTCTTCCATCAGTGTTGAGCCAGAGTGAACAAGGTAGAATAATTGACTCACTTTGTTGGCTTGTTTGTCTGTTATAGTGCTGAGGATTGCACCCAGGGCTTCATGCCTGCTAGGCATGCATTCTACCACTGAGCTAAACCTCCAGGTGGGAAACATGTTTTATGCTGATCTCGAAGTCGTTAGTTTGGGGAGGCTATGGGGAAATTAATGTATCAAATAATTTTATTAATTATCTTTTTACAGAGGAGGCTAATTTAAGAAATAGGCAGAAGGTATTGACATTTTTAGCTCAGGCATATTTTTAATTTCACTAAGTCAAATAATTTTTTTAAAAAATATCTCATTTTAACAGACTTTATTACATCCTTGCTCCCGGAGATGGAAGCTAACTTATGGATTGGTCTGCGCTGGACTGCCTATGAAAGAATAAACAAATGGACAGATAACAGAGCACTAACATACAGCAACTTTCACCCACTGCTGGTTGGTCGGAGGCTAAATATACCAACAAATGTGAGTTTTATTTGAGTAGATAATTTCAATAGTGTTATGAACTATTGGAGTTTCTCATCAGTTTCTGGATTAACAAGCACCTATTGTATGATTCTGTCTGTATGACATGTCCAAAATGGAAAAGCTTGTGAAAACAGAAAGTGAATTAATGGTGGTCAAAGGAGGATGGAAGGCTTGTGAGAATAAATAAAGTATTTACAGAAGGGAAAGTGTTCCAAAATTGATTAGGATGATGGTGTCTAAAAAAGGTTGATTGTACACTCTGATGAGTGACTTGAGTCCTATATGAGCTGTAGCAGAGTAAAGCTATTATAGGCTCAACAGACTTAGCAGCGCCACCTTCAGGTACAAAATCTGGTTCCTCACAGTTCTGGGGGTTCCCAAGCACTTACTGCAAATGTACTATGGACAGAACCTTGTAAAAAAAAAAAGTTTTACTAAACATTTGAGAAATGTAGATTCTCTATCTCAGTCTCCTGAATCAAAAAGACAAAATAAATGATTACTGATCATTCGCCTTAAGAACTACATAGAAAGAAGCCATATGCTTAATTTCTGGCTGATAATTTCTTTTCTTTCATTTCTTTTTTTTGTTGTTTTGGTGTGTGGGTGTGTTGGTACTAAAGCTCACACTCAGGACCTGGACACTGTCGCTCAAGGCTCTACCACTTGAGCCACACCTCCACTTGCTAATATTTTTTCACAAGAAATAAGGAAAGGAAATGGGGCACTCAGTGAATATATAGAATCAAAGTAAATTCTCTGTTATATGATACAAAATGTTTACAGATAGTTGAGTTAAACAATCATGTTTTTGCTTGCTTGAATTGTCAAAACTGAAAGCAGAGTATTTAGTTTCATTATTGATTTCTGACAAATTGATGTTTGAAAATAACTTACCAGTATTTCCATGATCACCTTTTTCTTTAATTTCTAAAGTTAATTGCCCTATCCCTAGGCTTTGAAAGTGTGTCAAGTTTTCTTAGTTCCTTCATTGTTTTGTTTTTTAAATACGGGGAAAGCACCAATTTGGGGTATAACTATTTTCCTGCTGATCTTCTTACTGTTAGTTGCATGACTGTGTGATATGTTGTCCTTTTGTTTAGTTCTTTGAGGAAGAGTCCCTCTACCACTGTGCTCTGCTGCTCAACCTTCACAAGTCACCTTTCACCGGGACTTGGAATTTCACTTCCTGCGCTGAAAGCCACTTTGTGTCTCTCTGTCAGAAATACTCAGGTATCAACTATTAAGTACATAACTGCGCTACTTTATGCTGTCAGATACAGGTTTTTTTTATAAAATATAAATAAATGTGTGTATATTTATACTTATGTGGCTTAAAATTCCAACCTGAGTAACTTTATATTAACTTAATGAGGCAAATCATCTCTTGAAATATATTTTTATGTATCATTACAGTACTTAATTAAATGTAAAATATGTTAGTAGTAGTTGTTTACTGAAATTAAGGTATGGCTGGATTTTGTTCTTTCTAGTATTTCTTAGATTTTAGTTTTTCTCTGGGAGAAAGACTAAGAAACAACAGTATTTTTTTTTTTTAGTTCAATAGTACTAATAAATACCACTGTTAGGGGCTAGGAAGCTGGCTCAGTGGTAGAGTGCTTGCCTTGCATGCATGAGGCCCTGGGTTCAATTCCTCAGCACCACATAAGCAGAAAAAGCCGAAAGTGGCACTGTGGCTCAAATGGTAGAGTGCTAGCCTTGAGCTGAATAGCTGAGGGACAGTGCCCAGGCCCAGAGTTCAGGCCCAATAACCAGAAAAAAAAGCAAAGCAAAATAAATAAATAAATACCACTGTTAATAAATGTCACTGGATTTTTATAATGCATATAAAAGTAAAATGTGTACTTAAAAATAGAAACTACACCAGTGGCTCAACAACTGTAATCCTCGCTACTCAGGAGACTGAGATCTAAGGATCACAGTTCAAGACTAGTCCCAAAGCAACTCATCTCCAATTAACTATCCAAAATTCTGGAAGTAGAGCTGTGACTCAAAGTGGTAGAGAAACAAAGCTCAAGAACAGCATCCAAATGCTGAGTTCAAGCCCAGGACTGGCAAAAATAAAAGGAAGAAAGAAAACAAAAGAGAGGTAGGGGTGTGGGGAGGAGAGGAAGGAAGGAGGGAGAAAAGAAGGGAGGGAAAAAGGAAGGAAGAAACAAACAAAATAGATTGGTTATAGTTTCTTATGTCTGTAATCCCCCAGCTGCTTGAGAGATCAAGAAGACAGCAGTTCAGGGCTATCCTGGTCAAGAAATTATCAGTAAAAACACATCTCATCAAAAGAAGCTGGAGGTTGTAGTGGACACTTATCATCCCAGCTATGTAGGAGGTATAGTAGGAGGTTTATAGTCCAGCCTGTTCTAGACAAAATGCAAGAGCCTATCTGAAAAGTAACTAAAGCAAAAAAGGGATGGAGACATGTGGTCAAATGGTAGAGTGCCTATCAACAACATAAAATCCTGAATTCAAACCTTAGCATTGCAGGAAAAAACAAACATGGAATCCATTCATATTTTGGAAGCAAATATTACCTTGTTTTTCATCAACCACAGTGAGTTTTTAATGAATGCTTAAGAAAAAAACTTTTGTGACATAATGAGAATCTTAAGTAGATATTTCCTGTACTTTTTTGCTAAAATTTTTATTCATCTACTCCATAGACTGTAGTGCCTGCCTTATTCAGGTAAGGCTTGTGAGGAGGGCAGAAATTCAAATACAAGCTGAAATGTTCACACATTTTTCTGTGGCAACACTCCCTTCCAGTTGAAAACTTTGTAAGGGGACACTTCTAAATATCTTTCCCAGTAGATTTCAGATAAAGGAGGCCATTGCCGCCACAATGAGTGAGTAATTTTACTGTGGGCTATTTTTTCAATAGCTATTCTCCTTCCCAAATCAGAGCAGCTAAACCAAATTTTCTTCTGATTTTTAAAACCATATGCCACAGGTCGTATGTTCTACCTAAGACGTACAGCAAGACATATTTGATTCTCCCAGCTCAACTCTAAAATTAATATCCAGGCAAGTAGTATCTAAAGTGAATCAGTAAGTGAGGAAGTCTGAAAATGCCCTAGCACTTGCAGAATGTGAGAGGCTATTACGGTCTTTTCTTTCACACACAGATTTTGAAGATAGACAGCTCTTGCAGAATGTTTCAGAAACTGTAAAGTATCAAAATAACCTGTACAAAATAATCCCAAAGACATTCAGTTGGCATGAGGCTCTACAGGAGTGTGAGAGAGAGCGCATGCACCTCGTGAGCATCACAGACCCTTACCAACAGGCCTTCCTCTCCGTGCAGGCCGCCCGGCGGAACTACTCCCTTTGGATCGGCCTCTCCAGTCAAGATGTGAGTTCTCACTTCCAATTGTCAGGGCTGTTCTATAGCCTACAAGTTTTACAGGTCTTTTTTCAGTCTACTGTGGTAAACCAAAAGGAATATAGATCCAGAGATCTTCAAATCTTATTCTATTACATTTCAGGATTATATGTTTTTGTGTGTGTATGACAGTTATCTTTCACAAGTGGAACTTGTAATGCTTTATTATAGGTGAAAAAAGACTATAGTGGACATAAATAATTGAGTACTTTTTCTGTTTATTGAATCAAAGTCAGAGCTAGAATTGGGAGCTACTGTATCTCTTCAGCCACAGAAGTTAAGCAGAATTTTAAAAAATCAAATGAGGCAGGAAGGAGTTGGGCTCACAAGGATAATGAAGGAGGCTGAATATGGTTGAAATAGGTTGTTTGCAATTATGTAAATAAAGCAAGGAGGGGTTGGGGAGGTGGCTCAGTGGTAGAGCGCTTGCCTCGCATGCATGAGGCCCTGGGTTCAATTCCTCAGCACCACATAAGCAGAAAGAGCTGGAAATGGTGCTGTAGCTCAAATGGTAGAGCACTAGCCTTGAGCTGAAGAACTGAGGACAGCACCCAGGCCCAGAGTTCAGGCCCTACAACCAACCAAAAACAAAAAAAGAAAAAGAAAATAGAGCAGGGAAACCGCTAGAGATTGTTTTGAAGGAAGGTGGAAAGGAGAGTGATATAGGATGAGATTATTTTGGAATTCATACTGTACATGTGTAGAAATGTAATAATGAAATCCCTCCCGTATAATTAATGTAAGGGGAAGGAAAGGAAAAGAAGGGAAAACAACAAGAAGGAAGAGGAATGGAAAGACAAGAAATATAATTACATGAGATGATTAGTAGATGTTCTTCAACAGAAATTAAACAAAATTAAAATGTTAGCAAGAGTGAATAAAGAGTAATCTTTTGAAAGAAAAGCAATATTGTCACTGTAGAAAAATTTGTATACTGGTTTCAGACCAGTGAACCCCTAAACCATTGTAGTCTCACACATGGTCCCCTGGAGGTATGATTTTTGTCTTTCCATCATGCCATAGTGTCTCTATTGAATCTGTGTCTACAATAATCCTCACTCCATTGTAGCCTCCTGGTTTCCAACAAGCAATAGAGCAACTGGTTAGGACCATAGACTCCAGTAACTGGTGGCCCAGTGCTACTGCTCATAGTCTATGTGACTTTGCACACATGGTTAGATAACCTCTGTGATGTGGAAATAGTAATAGTTCCTCTCTTACATGGTTGTTATGAGATATAAATAAATCAGTGGGACAGAAGCTAATACACAGTGTTATAAAAATGTGTGTTATATATAAAACAAAATTGAAAGTTATTAGAATGACTTCAGGAGTCTCAGGGATAATGAAAGTATAACGTGTATTTCTGGCCCCCTCTAGGATGAGCTCAGCTTCAGTTGGTCAGATGGGAAGCATCTTCATTTTAGTCGCTGGGCTGAAAACAACCAGCAACTTGAAGACTGTGTAATATTAGACACGGATGGATTCTGGAAAACAGCTGATTGCAATGATAACCAATCAGGGGCTATTTGCTACTACCCAGGAAGTATGTGAATTTAAGTTATTTTCTTTCAAACATATAAGTCTCATGAGTAGTAGAATATTGGGGGAGTAGTTTTATAAAATTTTGGTGTTGTGAAGAAATTATTATCATACCTTTTTCCAACAAAATTTCTTACAGCAATTTGAATCACTTATTACTACTCAACATTTTGACATTAACATTTTGTTTTAGAAATATCTTTTACTTTTACATCTGCTGACAATATTAATTGATGTTTAAAGTCCCATGTTACTCAGCCTCATTTTCATATATCTTGTACTTAGCTCATTTTAGAAAACATAGTTTTGTGGGAATTCTCTCATACTTCTTAATATCAATTAACATTCCGTGAACTACTTAAGATTGGGACCAAATATGGTAGATTCACTTGAGTTCATCAGATGGCAGACTTCCTAAGGTTCTGCAATCTCTGCAAGGTGTAAGAAAATAGTTTTCACCAATCAGGCCCATACCTGTGGGTAGAAAGAACACAGTACTTCAGAGACAAAAAAAAAGAGACTTTTTTATGAGGTAGGGGAAACACTGGTACTAAAGATCTCTACTAAACATCACATCAGTAGAGCATATTTATATGGCATTTTCTTTCCATAAGAAATTTATTTTCAAAAAAGAAATCAGATTTTCTGGAGCCCACATTTTAAATAATAGGTGGTTGGTTTGGCTAAAGGAATAACTTACTTAAAATATTAAGTATTTTATTAAAATGTTCTCTTAAGAGACATTTAAGGATGTCCATAAACAGAAAGTAGACAATGAAATCTCAAAGTAATACTTAGGTGCTTATTATTAATTAGTATAGTTGTATCATTTCTCTGAGGAGGCCTCAGCAGGGGTGAGAAAATTGAGTTGAATAATTTCCTCCTTACAGAACGCCACTCTTCTCTGTGCTGTATTTGAATAGAAGCAGAGCACAAACAGTACCAGCTGCTATGTCTCGGCTTCTTGGATGTTTCCTACAAATCAAGCCTAATGACTAGGAACAGGATTTAACATTTACATTTCAAATTAGAATTCTAACATTAACTCTTTTTTCTAGATGAGACTGAAAAAGAGATCAAACCAGTTAAGAGTGTCAAATGTCCATCTCCTGTTCTAAACACCCCATGGATAGCATTTCAGAACTCCTGCTACATTTTCATGATAACAAAGAATAGACATACAGTAGCAACCCAAGACGAAGTCCACTCTAAATGCCAGGAACTAAGTATGTATATTGTACTGTTATGTATTGTGCCACACTAACTTTTTTGTCACTGGTGTTGTATATATTTCTCATTACCATTAAATCTCAAAAATATATTATCTCCTAATTTCCACACTGTCGATTACAAAGTATTAAACTTAAATGTTGAAATTCAAGTTAAAATGAAAAACATAGGAGTGGAAGTGGAGCTGTGGCTCAAAGTAGTAGAATGCTATCCTTGAGAAAAAAAGCTCAAGGACAACCTATACCCACCCGTGAGTTCAAGCCCTAAAACTAACAACAACAAAAAGTATAGAAGTAACCTCTTTACTCATTAGAGAATAGTCTGTCTTTGCATCTTCTTCAGTAGAGAATAAATGATACTAGAGAGCAGAGAACTAAATGCTAAACCAGCTAGACTAAGGGTAAGTTGAAAATAGGTTAGTTTCACTGGTCAGAAGCAGTATTCATACTTAAAGAAATATTTCACAATTTCAGCTCTCAAGACTTGGGAGAAATTGCCAATGAAATCTACTGAGGATTCCTAGCTTTTTCATGGTGAAACTGATAGAACCATGAACCTTATGGAAACACCTGTGGAAACTCAAATCAGTATTCCACAAAGTATGCTCTGCAGAGCTGTAGTCTTGAGATGAAGATCTCTCATCTCAAGATGAACATCAGGGTTAAGGAACTCTAGACTGAATGCCTACTGTGAGACATTATCAAAGTATGTTAACATATATCTTAAGAAATATTGCTATAAGACATCTTGTTTAACTATGTTTAAACCAATGTTTGTAAACAGTTTTATCTATGTATAGCTTTTCTGAGAAATCCCCTCATTAATTTCCTGGGAAATAATATAGTTTGGAAATATTGAACATTTTAAGCCCTCATTTTAAGCACTAAAGGCTGAAAGTGTGGTCCAGTTGGTAGAGTGCCTGCCTAGTAAGCACAAATCTTTGAGTTTAAGCCCCTGCACCAACAAAATAATGAGAGAGAAAGAGAGAAGAGGAAGAGAGAATTTTAAGGAAAAGAAAGATCTATTTTATAGTTCATCCAAGGTTGTGTTTATTACAGGGTAATCTTTGACAATATACATTCATAATAGGTAGATATATAACACTTACAGATGAACTATAAATGGGGGAAAGTAAAGTGAAACAATTTCTTAAATTGTCTATTCAGCTACCAGATTTCCACTCTTCTGTAAAATCAAACTTAGCATCAAAGTGTTTGAAAACTTCTTAGACTGTTCACTTTAATACAATGAAATCGTATTAAATGCTTTCTTGATGTTTCTTTCTAGTTTCCAGTGTTATTTAGGTTTTAAAGAATATTAATCTATCAAACAAAGTCATGTTCCAGATAAGTAGTTATTAAAATTACTATTTCTTATTAACAGATTCAAAAGCACATATTCTGAGTATTCGAGATGAAAAGGAAAATGACTTTGTTCTTGAGCAGCTTCTATACTTCAGTTACATGGCTTCTTGGGTCATGCTAGGAATAACTTATGAAAGTAAGTGATGAATCTAATATTCTCTTTATTAGCATTTCATTAAGATATATTTATCAAGCTACAAAAATATACTTCTTCAAACAAATACTAGGGTATGTGCCTTTGTTATACATTTTCCAACAGGCTTAGTGTTAAATAGTGGACGATAATTCCCTTTCCATACTTCCTTCCAGCAGCCAAGACTAAATGAAAATGGCCACACCATAGAAATTTCTTGTTTTTAATTTTGAATAAATAAGAGCTGATTCCCACTTCTATAAATGTTGCACCTTGAGTTTTTGTAGCATTGGCTTGGGACACACACACACACACACACACACACACACACACACACACACACACACACACACACACACACACACACACACACACACACACACACACACACACACACACACACACGGTAAACAACAGAAAAACAAGGTTCCTGGTCTGACAGAAGGGTAGAGTATTTGAAATTTGGGTGAAAAACTACTAATTCAAAATATGATTTATAAGAATATTTTAACACAAAAATAACCTAAAAGAAACAAAGTCAGTTTATAAACATACTCAGTGGTGTCTTGAGATTAGGAAAAAGAAAATCTGTCTGTGGACCTAAAGTATAAAAAGTGCACATGTTTCCTATAGAAGTTTTAATGGGAGCACAGGATAGTGACCCAGAGTTAGTGCAGGAAAAGAGGCTGGGCTGCTCATTTGGCCAATGAATGTGACTATTTCTTTGCTATCCAATCCATCTATAGCTTGCCAACGTTTTCCCTAAATGTGAATTAGCCATGGATAAATTAATGAAGATTACATTACCACAAGAAAGAGACGACTTAGCTTGAGAGTTGTGGATGAGTTCATCATGTTAATACTTAGTTGGCCAAGTCTTACCTTCAACAACATTTAGGGGTGGAGGGAAAACAAAGAGGTAAAATAAGTAGAAAGTTCCTAGGTTTTCTCTGAAAGTGACTGAAGAAACAATGGCCTTCTATTAGGCTCTGGAGACCAAATCCAGGATACGGAGATTTATTTAAATTGTACTCTCTGGTGTAGTTATAATACCAGGAACAACAAAATGTATTCCATATTCTGAAAAAGCATTTTCAGACCTGAAGTAAAACCAGGGTAATATAGAAAGCTGTTTCAGAAAAAAAAAAAAAGTGAGACAAAAGACAAAGGGGGAACCAACTCAGCAGTGCTACTCACAAGGCAATATGTTGGAAGTGATTTGTACAACTTGGGATGGTTCGGGGAGGGAAAGTGGGAGAAAAATGAGGGAGGAAGTAACAAGTTCAACAAGAAATGTACTCACTACCTCACTTACGTAACTGTAACCCCTATGTACGTCACCTTGACAATAAAATTAAAAATAAAAAAGAAAGATGTTTCAGACAAAAGCAAATTTGGTATTCATTTAAATATAATTCTTACGAATATCTGTAAGTCACTGTTCTGAGTTGTTTCAAAATACTTACAAAATATTTAAAATAGGACATATATGTAGGCTTTGGGATCTTTAAAACTATCTGATTTCTCAACAGTAGAAAGAGTTACTCTTTCTTAAATAACTTTAGAAATATAGTACTGCATGTTGTGTCCATCAGAAAACTGGTAACTTAAATTGGGAGAAAGAAAAACAAAGGAGAAAATACAAGTGGCACAGTAACCAACAAAAATCAAAATATTCACAGTATTTATGGGATGGCCCTGGTGTAGACAGATGTTAAGGATTGCTAGGGAGCAATCAGTGAAAAGTAGAGCCTAGACTCTGGTGCTATATGTAGGAAAGGATGTCAGCGTTCTTCATTCTAAATAGGGCTGGCAAATTTGTTATTATAAATAAGAAATGCTTCTCTGAACATTAGTGTACAACTGTTTGTATGGACATGTTTTCATTTCCCCTAATACTCACTTAGATACACAATTTGCTGTGGAATGACCTTATCTTTTGTTTTTTCTTTGGGCAGCTAGCAGATTGTTTCCCAATTTATCTGTGTATTTTCCATTGCCATCACCAGTGTTAAGAGTTCCAATTTCTCCCTGTCTATGCTAAAATGTTTTTTTCTGTCTTTTTGATGACAGCCATTTAGGTAGGTATGATGTTTTCACTAGGTTTCTCTGATGATAATGATACGAACCATCTTTTCATATGTTTATTGGCTATTTGCCAAATACTATTTTTGGAGAAATCTCTATTCATTTTTTAATTGAGTCATTTGTCTTTTGATTGTTAAGCTTTAAACATTCTGTAAATATTCTGGATGTTTTTCTGAGATGAATGATTTGCACAAGCAATTGGTATCACTTTCCTGGCTGCACAAGTTTTTCATTTTGATGAGGAATGGCTTCCCTACTTTTTCTTTTTCTTTTTCTTTTTCTTTTTTCTTTTTCTTTTTTTTTCTTTTTTTTTTTTCAGTTGTAGGGCTTGAACTCTGGGCCTGGGCGCTGTCCCTGAGCTCTTCAACTCAAAGCTAGTACTCTACCACTTGAGCCACAGCACCACTTCTGGTTTTGTGAGTGGTTTATTGGAGATAAGAGTCTCGCAGACTTGGAAGTGGCACTATAGCTCAAGTGGTAGAGCGCTCGCCTTGAGCTGAAGAGCTGAGGGACAGCGCCCAGGCCCAGAGTTCAAGCCCCACGGCCGACCAAAAAAAAAAAAAAAGAGTCTCGCAGACTTTCCTGCCCGGGCTGGCTTTGAACCACGATCCTCAGATCTCAGCCTCCTGAGTAGCTAGGATTACAGGCATGAGCCATGGTGACTGGTTGCCTAATTTTTCTTTGACCACTTTTGCATATGTGAGGAGGCGTTATCTACTCTACCTTACTTCTGGGTTCTTTAAATAAGGGTTTTATATACTTTTGAGCTTGCACTGAGTTTTGTGGTGACAGCCAGAGGCCCAGCTTCATGTTTGAAGACATGGATACCCACTATTCAGGACTATATGCTGAGAAAATTGCTCCTTCCATATTGAATGTCTTCACATCTTTTTTAAAAAATCAGCCATTGGTGTGCTCACCTGTATTCAGCATAAATTATATCCAAAGAAGAGACTTGTCACCTATTATGTAAAGTATCATTGATTTTTAATCAAATAGTTATGATCATTTCAACTGAAGTTAAACATATGTAAGAAAAATGATATTTGGTTTAAAAAATGACCAAATGTTAAGCAATTAAAGGACAGAATTATAAGTAAATTTTTATTTACAGGCTTATACTTTTTATTTTTCACACTAAAAAAATGTACTATTTACTATTATAACCAGAAAATATTTTAAAGAGATGTACATAATCACACAATTTTTGGAAGGTGGAGCAGAAGGAAGAAATTAGTCATTTGAAATACTAACTTGTAACTGTAAAACTTAATCTCTAAGCTTAGTGAAAAAAAAATATTCCTTCTCTAGATAGCTCTCTGATGTGGCTTGATAAGACTTCACTGTCCTATACACACTGGAGAGCAGGAAGACCAACAGTAAAAAATGGGAAGTTTTTGGCTGGCTTGAGTACTGATGGTTTCTGGGATATCCAACCGTTTAATGTTATTGAAGAAACACTTTATTTTCATCAGCACAGCATTATTTCCTGTAAAATCGAAATGGGTAAGTATGTGCACAGTGTTTTCCACTCCAGGGGAGGTTAAGACCATGCGCACTTTCTGAGCATTCATCCCATGCCACAGTTTGACTTAAACATTTACTGCTCATGATGAATAAAGGAAGATTGTAAGAAGACTTGGATATCCAGTTGAGAATGAGTTTATTAACTTAGGATATAGCTGACCCAAATCTTTTGTTCAATAACATGTGAATACTCTTAATTTAGGAGTGAAAGGAAGAGATGGAGACATAAAATAGAAAGTTCCTAAGCTTTGGGGGCTGGGAAGGTGGCTCAGTGGTAGAGTGCTTGCCTTGCAAGTATGAGGCCCTGAGTTCGATTCCTTAGCACCACATAAGCAGAAAAAAAAAAAAAAAGAAAGTTCCTAAGCTTTGTTTATTTACCTTCTTCTTCTTCTTTTTTTTTTTTTTTTTCCAGTCCTGGGGCTTGAATTCAGGGCCTGGGCTGTTTCTGTTCCTGAGCTGCTTTTTGCTCAAGGCTAGCACTCTACCACTTGACTCACAATGCCACTTCTAGCCTTTTCTGCTTATGTGGTATGGAGGAATAGAACCCAGAGCTTCATGCATGCTAGGAGAACACTCCACCACTAAGCTACATTCCTAGCCCATCTTTTTTTTTAATTGTTGTTATCACAAAGTAGTTGTACAAAGTAGTTGGCATTTAACAAAGCAGATTATGAGTACAGTATATCTTGATCAGTGTCACCCTTTTCAACATTCTCACTCATCCTCCTCTACCCACCCCTTCCCTCACTCTTTTTAATTTTATAGGCTACGCATTGGATTCTTGTCTGCATTCCCCCCCTTCTCCATTCATCTACCTCTTCCCTCTTGACTCCACCCCACCCCTTTTGAGTACCTGCTTCCTGGTGTTTTATTTTGCTGAACCTTGATTTTGGCTTTCTAATAAACAATACTTGAGATCTCCTTTATATCTATCGTGTTTCATTCAGTTAATACATTCGTATATACTTTCATACCACCGAATGTATTTACTTATGAAGTTTATTAGCTAGATCTAGTTTCCACATATAGGAGAAAACCTAGATCCTTTGTCTCTTTGGGCCTGACTTACTTCAGTTAACATATTTTTTCCAAATGGTACAATTTCATTATTTCTAATGAATGAGTAAAATTCTTGAGGATATGTACTATATTTTAATATCACTTAGCCCTCTAGTACTAGTGTGGATTCATGTTACTTGTTTTACACTTTGAATAGTTACCCAGCATATTACAGTATTTAGTGTTGTGCTCAAATAGCTTTAACCATTGGGAGCACTTGCCTTTATTCTTTGCAGTACCCTCATCATTACACTTGTATTGCTTATTTGCCCATTTTCAGTGCACTGTAGCTTATTTCTGTTCAGCCTTCGTTTTCATACACTGGTTTTCAAGGCAGGCTTTCTGTCTCCTGATGCAGATAAATTTCTCCTCCATAGTTGGTCTCACACACGTTCAGAGCCAACAGTTCTGTCAACACTGCAGCACTGTTGTTTTCTGTCTCTGCCTATTATGGGAATTTCTTAAGTAAATATCATGTATATGTCTATAAAATTTAAAGGCCTTGCTTTATTTGTTGGTAAAGTGTGTATTTTACCTCCTCATGAACAACAAACTCGGTTCTATTTAGCTTTTTAAATGGTTGCATTTAATTTTATCCAAAATACATATTTGAAATAATTTAACTTTGACAAATAACACTTTTATTTTAAATATTGTATGTATTATAGTTGACTATAAGGAAGAATATAATACCACACTGCCACAGCTTATTCCATATAAAGATGGCATTTATAATGTTATTCAGAAAAAAGTTACATGGTATGAAGCATTAAACCTGTGTTCTCAAAGTGGAGGACATCTGGCCAGTGTTCATGACCTACAAGACCAGCTCTTTCTGGAAGATATCGTAAAACGTGATGGATTCCCACTATGGGTTGGCCTCTCGAGTCATGATGTAAGTCTTCATTTTTCTTCCAGAAATTTCCCAAGTCTGTTATTTTAAGGGTTAGAAACTTGCTAGATGCTGGTGGCTCACTCCTGTAATCTTTGCTACCCAGGAGGCTGAGATCTAAGGATCATGGTTGAGACCCAACCCAGGCAGGAAGGTCTGTGAGACTCTTATCTCCACCCAGCAAAAGTTCAGAAGTGGAGCTGTGGCTCAAAGTAGTACAACACTACCCTTGAACACAAAAGCTCAAAGACAACTCCTAGGCCCTGAGTTCAAGCTCCATGACTGACAATAACAACAACAATAAAAATAAGGGTAGAAATTTGAACAAATATCAAAATGCAGTAATAGATTAACTCTTAGGAGTTGGTTTGCTTAGCCTAGTGATTTTTTATCTTTAATATATGGAACAAATAAATTATATTTGTAGAATACACTTGGGCAAATGGTCAGGACAACTCATGGACTCAGTGAACTCATAATTCAAAAGCATCACTGTAGCTTGTTTGTCACTGACCAATTAGAACGCTTATAAAAAAGTACTAGCATAGAACCAGAGAAACCTGAGTCTCAGCACTAGTAGCACATCTTCTGTTTATGTGCTGGTCATAACATATGTTATGGTCATAACAAATCACTTACCTTTACAACCCTATTTCTTCATCCATAAAATCAGAGTAATCAGAGTAATAATACTTTCATTGAGACTTTTATCCAAAATTTTAAAATAGCCAACTCAAATTCTTAATACTTTTAGGACTTCTAAATAAATACTTTCTTTCCACTTCTCCCCTAGAAAGTAACACTACTTAATATTAATCTTCTGGGCCACATATGGTAAAAACATGTCTATAATTTCAGCTACTTTGGAGATGGAGATTGGAAAGATCACAGTTTGAGACCAGCCTGGGCAAAAAGCTAGTGAGACCCTATCTTTACCAATAAGCTAGTCATGGTGGTACATAACTGTGATCACAGATCCACAAGAGGTATTAATAGGAAGATCATTCTCCAAGGCCAGCCCAGGGGGAAACTTTATCTGAAAAATAACTAAAAGCAAAATAGTGCTGGAGGTATAGGAACCTACCTAGCAAACACAAGGCTCTGTACAAGGCCCTGAGTTCTAACACCAGTACTGCTACAAAAAAAATTTCTTTCTGCTCATTAATGCATCTTCTATGCCTTTATTTGAATCCTCTTAATTAGTATATGTGCAGACTTATCATAATGTTTGGTGTACAAAACTACCTCTCTATTAGGATTAGAGTTATAGACCTCATTTAAATACTCTTTAGAAGAAACTAGAGAAATGAGAGAAAAGGTGTCAGATTAGACTATAAGCACAAGAAGTCAAAAGTCATCTTACCATTGCTGGTTTCTTGGGAAATATTTTCCTTCCTTGCCCCCTACTCTTGTTGGCCTCTGAATGTGGAAACTATCCAGACAAACATTCCACCAAGCTACAAAACATTGGAAACAAGGTGTAGGATGGATTGGCTATAAATCTGTAATCCCGATAAACAGAAGCCGTTTGATTCTATTTCATTTCAAATTACAGAAACTCACCCTTTAAAAAGTTAAACATATTTATAAGGTACCAGGTGATTTTTTTGTTGCTTTGTATGTCCCTCCCCCATGGTATAACCCCTGTTTTCACTGTATTTGATGTTGGTATAATTTGGGGAGCGGGAGGGTAAAAACAAATTGCTTAAATAGGGATAAAGGTTGACCCATTGCAACAATGAGATGTACAAGACACTATGTTGAAAAACAAACTTTACAATTTAGGTGAACGGGGGGCGGGGTAGTTGTGGAGGTGGGAGGCAGGGATGGTAGGGGAAAAACAAAGGAGGAGGCAACAATGCTTCATAAGAAATGTACTCATTACCTTGCTCATGTGATTGTAACCCCTCTGTACAGTATTTTCACAATACAAAACTTATTTAAAAAAAGTTAAATGCAGCTGGGGCACCAGTGGCTCAAACCTGTAAGTCTTAACTACTCAGGAGGCTAATATCTGAGGATCATGGTTCAAAGCCAGCCTGTGCAGAAAAGTCCATGAGGCTCTTACCTCTAATTAACTAGCAAAATGCCAGAGCTAGGAGTTCAAGCTTGGAGCTGTGGTCCAAGAAATAGAGTGCCTTTAAAAAGCTAAGGGATAGTGCCCAAGCCTTGAGCTCAATCCCCAGTACAAGCACAAATAAACAAACAAGCAAACAAACCCAGTAGCAGCATATAGTAATTATTTCTTGTTTGTTTGTTTTTAACCCCTGCTCAATATAGTAACTATTTCTAAAGTCCTACTTAAATTCTGCAAATGGCCTAAATCAGTATTTTGAAAATACAGGTCTGATATTCCAGATAAATCCATATATATAATATTTGTAAGTAAATAACAAACACCCCATTCTAATATTTTTAAGGTATCTATATTGTTCTTTATGCTCTTTTTGAAGTCCCATTATCTGAGTTCTCTCTACTCAAAACAGGGAAGAGAATTAAGTTTTGAATGGTCTGATGGCAGTGCTCTTGACTATATTCCATGGAAAAACCAAACATCTCCTGGAAATTGTGTATTCTTGGATCCAAAGGGGCTTTGGCAGCATGAAAAATGTCACTCAGATAAGGATGGTGCTATTTGTTACAAACCTACAAAATGTAAGATTTGATTTTGATAATCTTGTATTTACTAAATGGTGACCTAATTTATGTCCATGACTAATACTCAATGAAAGTTTTTTACAGATTTTTAAATAAGGCTTATCTACAAATTCTATAAAAATAGTACTTTACTAGACTCCAGTGACTTATGCTTGTAATCCTAGCTACTCAGGAGGCTGAGATCTGAGAATCATGATTTGTAGCCAGCCCAGACAGGAAAGTCCATGAAACTCTTATCTCCAGTTGACCACCAGGAAAAAAACTGGAAGTAGAGCTGTGGTTCAGGTAATAGAACACTAGCCTTGAGCAAAAGAGCTCAGGGACGGCTCCCAGGCCCTGAGTTCATGCTCCAGGACCAGCACCAAAATAAATAAATAAAGATGCCCAGCGCTGGTGACTCATGCCTGTAATCCTAGCTACTCAGGAGGCTGAGATCTGAGGACCACGGTTCAAAGACAGCCCAGGCAGGAAAGTCCAAGAGACTCTTAGCTCCAGTAAACCACTAGAAAACTGCAGGTGGCGCTGTGGCTCAAGTGGTAGAGTACTCGCCTTGAGCTGAAGAGTGCAGGGACAGCGCCCAGGCCCAGAGTTCAAGCCTCATGACTGGAAAAAGAAAGAAAGAAAGAAAAGAAAGAAAGAAAGAAAGAGAGAGAGAGAAAGAAAGAGAGAGAGAGAGAGAAAGAAAGAAAGAAAGGTAAGGGGTGACATTGTTCAAAAAGAAATATACTTTTTACCTGACACATAACTGTAACCCCTGTGTATATCACCTTTATAATCAGTTTTAAAATTACAAAAAGTGATGCTTTGTGAATGGAAATAAATATGATGCATTTTTTCAGGGAGTTTGTTCCCATAGCCTTTCAGTTGTTCTACCATAAGGTAAATTTTACTTTAGAACTTGGGAAATTTGGGGCTGGGAAGGTGGCTCAGTGGTAGAGCGCTTGCCTTGCATGCCTGAGGCCCTGAGTTCGATTCCTTAGCACCACAGAAGCAAAAAAAAAAAAAAAAAAAAAAAAGCCTGAAATGGCACTGTGGCTCAAGTGGTAGAGTGCCAGCCTTGAGCTGAAGAGCTGAGGGACAGCACCCAGGCCCAGAGTTCAGGCCCCACGACCGGACCCAAAAAAACAAACAAACAAACAAAAAAAAGAACTTGGGAAATTTTTCTTTATTCAGCAATGTTTTTCAAAAGCTGAGCTGTCCCTGTAAAGGACTATCAAGCACTGATTTCAATTGTTAGGCAAAGAAAATAAATGGAACTTTTTAGAAAAGCAATTGAAGTTTGAGAGTCCTCAAATAGTTGCTGAGTATAGGTGGCTCATGCCTGTAATCCTAGCAGTTTAGGAGGCAGAGACCTGGAGGAATGTGGTTTAAAGTCACATAGAGGCTTCAAGACTCTAACTTCAACTAGCAAAATGTTGAGCTGAAGACATGTCGCAAATGAGCCCTGAGTGAGCAAATGGAATGAGAGTTCGAGACCTTAAGTTCACACTGGCACATGCACAAAATATTGACTTAAAGGGGAAGCCATACGAAAGCTGTGGGGAGATTTTGCTGTGCTTCATAAAACTACCAAATTTTTCTCTTTTTTTTTGCTTATGTGGTGCTGAGGAATCGAACCTAGGGCCTCAGGCATGCAAGGCAAGTGCTCTACCACTGAGCCACCTTCCCAGCCCTCCAAATTTTTACTTACAGTGTGAGTTCTAAAATAGTTCTTTAAATGTCTATGCAAAGTTAGACTTATCAAAATAAAAAGGAATCCAAGGAAAGGAAGAATTTTACTTATTTCAGAGGAATATCAAACCCATTAGCCTGTTTCCTATTAGGTTGCTTTTCCAAGTCTGTCTTTCCAGCTGTTTTTAGACTAACTATAGTAAGTCTAGCTCTATCATAGAGGGCTGAGCACTGTTTTCCTGTCATCTAAGTTACAAAGATAATAGTCCTAAAAAGCAAACTAGAATGAGTATTTACAGAGTGGGTGTGACTTTCTCTGGTGTGTGAATTTAATTAATTGCTTCTTGCCTACAGAAGCATTGGAAATAGGAATACTAACTGAGATTTAGAAAAACAGTCACATTTTTCTGCTCATTATTACAGCTGTGTCTAACACTTTCACAGCTAAAGCACTATCCCCTCTTACATACTCGTTAAGATGTCCAGAGGCAAAAGACAACAGGTCACAGTGGATCCAGTATGCTGATCACTGCTACGTAGCTGACCAGGCATTGCACAGTTTTTCAGAGGCCAAAGAGTTATGTCTACAACTTGGTGAGTTACAATTTGTTCCTTCTTTTTAAATCTGTAATTTAATTCTTAGAACATTTACTTAAGGAAATAATAGGAAACAAATATTACATTTGGGAAAGTATTGACTGTTTTCTTTTGTGTGTGTGTGTGTCAGTCGTGGGGCTTGAACTCTGGGCTTGGATGCTATCCCTCAGCTCTTCAGCTCAAGGCGAATGCTCTACCGCTGAGCCACAGTGCCACTTCCATTTTCTAGCGATTTATTGGAGATAAGAGTCAAACAGACTTTCCTGCCCAGGCTGGCTTTGAATTGCGATCCTCAGATCTCAGCCTACTGAGTAGCTAGGATTACAGGAGTGAGCCACTGGCGCCCGGCATATTGACTGTTTTATAATGGCATTTCTCATAAAGGATATGGTTAAGTATTTTATAATGTAAATGGTCAATGAATATTGGAATAGTCACGGGAAATTGTCAATATAAGCATGAGTACATGAGTTGGATGCCTGTGGCTCACTCCTGTATTCTAGCTACTCAGGAGACTGAGATCTGAGGATTGTAGTTAGAAGCCAGCCCAGGCAGGAAAATCCATGCGACTCATATCTCCAATTAACCACCAAAAAATAGGTAGTGAGCTCTGGCTCAAGTGGTAGAGCACTAACCATGATGAAAAGAGAGCACATGAACAGCACTCAGGCCCTGCATTCAAGCCTCAGAAATGGAACCAGAAGAAAAAAATAAAAGTACATGGATGCATGAAAATGGAAATAGGATTCTTGATGAGATGTGTGAGGCAAGGGTAGGTGAAGAAAAGGGAAAATAATGGAAGGGGTGACACCAATAAGGATGCATTGTCCACATAAGTGGATATGTACAAATATTTGAAAAAAACTAATAAATGGAAAGGAAAAGTAAATGAGAAGAAATAAAGAAGACTAAGTAAACCGCTATGTGAAAATAACAAATGAACTTCCACATCTAGTATCTTAAGTGACACAGTAGAAGTTATGGAATGTTTCTTTTCTCATCTGAACAATAAAAAGGAAACAACACTCGCTTCAAAGGTAGGAATGAATGAATTGACATAACAAAAGCAAATCATATACTCTCAAAACTATCTTATTAAAAAGATTAAAATTGCCCGGTGCTCAGTGGCTCACGCCTGTAATCCTAGCTACTCATGAGGCTGAGAGCTGAGGATTGTGGTTCAAAGCCAGCCTGGCCAGGAAAAGTCCATGAGACTCTTATCTCCAATAAACCACTCAGAAAACCAGAAGTGGCACTGTGGCTCTAGTGGTAGAATGCTTGCCTTGAGCTGAAGAGCTGAGGGACAGTGCCCAGGCCCAGAATTCAAGCCCCATGACCACCAACAACAACAAAAAAGACTAAAATTGACATTCTGATTCTATAACTGACTAGCCATGTAAACCTGAACAACTCCTGAGTCTGTTTCCTCTGTGAGGTAGTAATTACTCCTTCCAGTATAATCTTCTAGGATGTACAGTATTAAGACAACATACACACTGGGGTGTACTACAAAGACTACCTTTGCATCCTCTGAAAGTATACTCAACCACAAAAGAAATGCTTTAGTTCACATACAGATAGGTAGTTGAAGTTGTGGAGAATTATTGGATTTCATTTAGAATCTTTCCAAGTCTAATTATTACTCTTTTTTTTTGTGCCATTCCTGGGGCTTGAACTCAGGGTCTGGGCACTGTCCATGAGCCTCTCTGTGCTCAAGGCTAGCATTCTACCACTTGAGCCACAGCACCACTCTGGCTTTTTCTGCTTATGTGGTACTGAGGAATCGAACACAGGGCTTCATGCATGCTAGGCAAGCATTATACCCACTAAGCAACATTCCCAGTCCTAATTATTACTTATTTTTACCCCTTACCTGATTCTCTGGTTTATGGCTCCTGTCCAACTTCAAAAATATTCATTAAATTCTATACTATTTTTAAGAACTTAAAATTAGCATGATTAACTATATGTATAAGGTCATATGAAAAGAGGGCTAATGGTCTCTAGTATTCTAGTATTTTAATTCTTTTTTAGCAGAAACAAGTTTAAAATTGAGTTATACAAAAGGCTTGAAGAAAAAATGTGAAACATCCATAGGCCATGTATTTCTACTGCCATAGGCCCTAATTATTATGACTAGCAGTTCACAGAGTCTCTCTGATTAGACAATGCCAAGATTAAAAGACATGTAATGCCTATTATGTAAATTTTCAGTTTAAAAATATTTATTCTGGGAAACGATTTCTGGAAGTACTTTTAAATTATAACAAATTCCAGTTTACTTTCTATGTAAAGCTTGATTTTTTTGTTATTTTTCTAATGAAAGTTTTTTTTTTCTCCAATGGATAGCTCAGGATAAAACAGTTGCTAGTTTACACACAACTAATTAGGTACGCTTTGTTTTCCTCTAACAGATCATTCTGCCACTATTGTCACCATAGAGAATGAAAATGAGAATAAATTCGTGAGCAGACTGATGAGGGAAAATAATAATATTACCATGAGAGTTTGGCTTGGATTATTACAACACTCTGGTGGTAAGTGATGCATTTGTGTGTGCTGCTTACTAAATACCAATCAGCTTTGCTAAAGAGCATCAGATATTGGCTGACTCAAATGCTCCTTATTGATCAGTAAGCTAGATGTGCAGGTTCTGAAGTATTGAAGAAATATGTAAATAACTTTAGTAATGATGAGAGCTCCTAATGAAATAGAAAATTAGCTTGTCAACTGGAATTGTTGGAGACTCGTATTCCTAAAATCCTTGGACCAACATGAGAGGATATTTTCTACAGCTGTGTCTGTGTCCAACAAGGAACCTATAATATTTTTACCATAAATCAAAATTAAGTCTTAATGGTGTTTTTGTTAAGCTTGGCACAATTGTAAAGAATTGATTTTTAAGAAAATTTATGGAACGTCTTTTCAAGAATAATAGAAGGTCCGAGTTGAACTTGGAACTGACATAGAATGCATTTAAGAATACAAATTTGGTAGAATAATAAGAAATCTGATTCTCATTTTACAAAAAGTTAAATTTTAAGTAAATGAAATAAACATGAATTGTAAAATATTAAGTACTTTCCAAAAAGTGAATAGATTCAAAGTTGGCCATTTAAATGAACTGGAATTTGTGTGTATACACCAGCAGATGGTGCCACCTCAGCTGAAAATAAAGAATGGACATTGGAGGGGGCTGGTGTTTTAAACCCTCTTGGACCCTTCTTCCTACAGCAGCTTAACTATCATGATGTCAATCTTCTTAAGGAAAGGAGGATATTGATCCCTACAAATCTGTCGCTCACACCATAACTATGCACACTCACCAGATCACACATATCAAAACAAAAATCTTAGTGTTGAATAGAACTTCACTCAAAGATAAAAATGTCCTCCTTCTTCTGCACTGTCCATGGTAGTGCGTATCAGCCACTCAGGATTGAGCATTTGAAATGGGATGAGTGCAGCTAAAGTAGTTACACAAAAGTTTGTTCATTTTAAGTGTTTTTCTTTAAATAATGATTATCATATAAGACTGCAATATTGAAAGTAAATTAATTAGTTGAGCCAGATGCTTTTGAGCCCAGTAATTTAGGAATGGTAAGTATAGTCATATGTATACTATATAATCCTATTTAATGTCTTTCTTCAGATCAGTCTTGGAGTTGGCTAGATGGAACAGAAGCAACATTTGTCAAATGGGAAAATAAAAGTAAAAATGTTGATGGGAAATGTAGCATTTTATTAGCTTCAAATGAAAGTTGGAGAAAAGTTGAATGTTTACATGGCTACAGTAGAGTCCTCTGCAAAGCTCCTCTGGGTAAGTGTGTAGCCCATTCTTTTTTTTTTTCTTTGCCAGTCCTGGGGCTTGAACTCAGGGCCTAGGCACTGTCCCTAAGCTTCTTTTGCTCAAGGCTAGCATTATACCACTTGAGCCACAGTGCCACTTCTGGCCTTTTCTGGATATGAGGTACTGAGGAATCGAACCCAGGGTTTCATGCATGCTAGGCAGCAAGCACTCTACCACTGAGCCACATCCCCAGCCAATGGAGCCCATTCTTAAGGAAATATTTAGCAGAACAGGTCACCAAATAAGCAGATAATCCATCTGCTTTGATTTTATACTTGGCTCTGACATAGTTATAAAGTAAATCCAAAATATTCATTAAACCATGAAATTTTTCTCCCTGAAAAGTAAGTACCAGGATGGGGCTGGGAAGGTGGCTCAGTGGTAGAGCGCTTGCCTTGCATGCATGAGACCCTGGGTTCGGTTCCTCAGCACCACATAAGCAGAAAAAGCCGAAAGTGGTACTGTGGCTCAAGTAGTAGAGCATTATCCTTGAGCTGAAGAGCTGAGGGACAGCACCCAGGCCCAGAGTTCAGGCCCCATGATCAAAAAAAAAAAAAAAAAAAAAAAGTACCAGGAAAGGCATAGTATATCTAGAATTCTCCAATAAAATTTTAGTCCAGAGTTTACATAATTCTCTCCCTTAGAAAAGGAAGCTATTGGTCTGGGAAGTTGGCTCAGTGGTAGAGTGCTTGCTTCACATGCATGAGGCCCTGGGTTTGATTCCTCAGCACCACATAAGCAGAAAAAAAAAAGCCGGAAGTGGCACTGTGGCTCAAGTGGTAGAGCACTAGCCTTGAACTGAAGAGCTGAGGGACAGCGCCCAGGCCCAGAGTTCAGGCCCCACGACCGGACCCAAAAAAAAAAAAAAAGAAAGAAAGAAAAGGAAGCTATCAAAGATATAAAGTAATCTTTCTTTTTTATGATTTTTAAAGTGTTTCCCCTATTTTTGTTAACATTAATTAGATGTACAAAGGAGTTTCATTTTTACACATATGCATGCACTGTATCTTGATTAGACTCACTCCTCTCTCATCCTTCCTCTCCTTCCTAAACCAATCTCAACAAGCTTCATTGTTCCACTTTTACACATGTATATGTAATATTTTGACCATATTCACCCTCCTTCACCTTTTCAGTTTGCCTTCCTCCCTCCCACTTGTATCTATACCCTTACATTCTTGTCATTCTAGTGTATGCCACAGTGGTTCACAGTGGTATTTCACACATGCATATATAATATTGGGAGGTAATTTCTTCGAGGTGTATGTATTTTATTCATATTTCATATTCTCATTTCAGCTTCTATGTAGTCAAATTATAGAATAAATTACTATAGTTTTGACTATAAGAAGCTGAAATGTCTATTTTTAACTAGCTGCAATCCCCTAAAATTAATGATTAATTTTAAAACAATCTAAAACTAAATTTAACTACTTAAAATGTTCAGAGTATCTTTTTTAAGAAATCATAATGTGGCTGGGCACCAGTGGCTCACACCTGTAATCCTAGCTACTCAAGAGGTTGAGTTCTGAGGATCACTGTTCAAAACCAGCCTGAGCAGAAAAGTCCCACTGAGACCCATCTCCAATTAACCACTCAAAGTGGCACTGTGGCTCAAAGTGGTAGAGTTAGTCTTGAGCTAAAGAGCCCAGGGATAGCATCCAGGCCCTGAGTTCAAGCTCCACAACTGACAAAAATAAACTCATAACTTGTACTTACACATTATTGTGAATTTGGATATAAAATAACTATAAAAATACTAACTTTATTTTTGGAGAAAGCTCTAAAATTTCACATTAACATTTTAAAACATCTGGCATAAGGCTTCCCATTTGAGTATACAAATATTAAGAGATAAAACTCCATTTGCCATGATTGGCATCTATTCCATCACTGAATTACTATGCTCTGTTCTACTTACTGAGATTCACCTGAACAAGACAAATTAAGCCCCTCTTCTCACAAGCTTACAAATGTAATAGAGGAAACAGATAAGTATATAAGCAGATCACATTCTGAAAGAGAAGCAAAAATCAAATAGTTATAAACTGTGTGGCCAAGATTAAATGCATGGGCACAGTAGATTAGGATACCAGAGAAGACATGCAAATGAGTGTCAGATGCTAAGCTTGAGGTCTGCAAGGCCACCCCAGCAGAGGTTAGGAGAAGGGCACAGCTCACAGAGCATGCTGAGAGCTCAGCCAGAAGCTAGATTGTAGATAGGTGCCAGGCTTTGAAGGGGTTGGGAACAAAGGTCAAGGCTCTGAGCTAGAAACTTAACTGGCAAGCTTGAGACTCTGAGTTCAAACTCTGGTAGCCTCTCCCCCAAAGAGCAAAAAACAATTTCAGTTCTATGCTAAATAGAACAGAGAACAACCAAGAGTTAGGGATAGGTGGGAACAAGGCTAGGGCAATATAAATCAAGAATTCTTTTCTGGCCGTTCTGAGTTATCAGGACAAGGAAGAGATATTCATATGGAGCTTTCTCATACGCAGCTGACTATGTGAGAGATGAATTGTTCAGCATAGAGAGAGTATTTAAAGTCGGGGGTGGGGTTTAGCTCAGTAGAAGAGCACCTGCCTGGTGAGCGCAAGGCCCTGACTTGTCCTCAGCTCTGGAAAAAAAAAAAAAAGTGGTATTTAAAGTCATGAGATAAGTGCTGAAGGTGTATCTCAGTAGTACAGCACTCGCCTACCATATGCAAGGCCTTGAGTTATATCTCTACCATGGGACCAAGATCCAGAAAAACAGGAGGCAGAATGAATCTTATCTAAACAGTCATTTTAGGGAAAAAAAAAATTTTAAATCAATGGCAATAAAGGAGATTTGAATGAAAAGGTAAAGATTTAAGTTTGAGAAGAAAGCACTTAAGTGTTTGCTATGAGAGCAAATTCGATGTTAAAGCAGTCATGTGCACATGGGATCCGTGGTGCACTCAGCTTACAGAATAAGATCAATAGCAATGATCACTGACTGTCGCATCCTGTCCTCCTTTTCCTGATGCAGGCCCTGATTATAGAGGAATGGTCATCACGTTTGTGGTATTGAGCATCTTAGCATTCATCACTGGGCTGATCTGGTTCCTGTGCCAGAAAAACCGGCTCCATTTGGCAAGTTTCTCATCTGTGCGGTATGAACAAGGGATAAATGAGGATGAAATCATGCTCCCTTCTTTCTACGAGTAAATTCTTGCACTACTGTGTTAGAAAAATGAGCCACTTAAAAGTTTCCTTATGTCAGTATCTGTTCTGTTCCAAGGTAGAAGCCTCAAGTACCTGGTCAGTTGTTTAGTTGCTTATGCTGATACACACAATTAATTCTCCACTAAATGTCATGTTTATAATTGCACTCAAGAGAATGGAGAGGACTCAGCTACAATTGAAGTCACATTGTAGGATAATATGTCAAACTTATGTGAATTTTCTCTACAAGAATGTGATTTGGATCTACAGTAAAAATATATTTATTGACATTTTAACACAACTTCTTAGAAAAATAAAAGGGGCATATTATTAAAGTCACACATCTACCTTTTCATATTTAAGAGCACCAGGCCAAATGCTCAATTTATAACTCTAGGCAAAAGCCCACTGTAACTACTATCAATGTTTCATAATAGCCACTGGTAGCACTTAGTACATAGTTTCTAAAGAGTACAACCTACTTTTTACATAGCAATATGATGCCTCTTGGCTAAGTCCTTCTTATGTTAGCCCAAAGATATTTCATGACAATGTGTATTTAAATAAAATGGTTTAGCATTCCTAATTAGTCATAATACCATGTATTTTAAAGAAAATTTAGTTTATCATGGTTGCCAAAGTATGAGAACATTTTTGATGGAATAGATCAATATATTACCTTATAGTAATGGGTTTTGTTTTCCAGTTTACATTTAACTTTCCTTTTTAAAGGACTCAACTTGAGAAGCAACTGAAAATTTTATGATTTATACTGTTTCCATAGCACATCAACTTTTGTAAGAATTTTTATTATTTTATTGCCTTTTTTACATGCCCTAAACTGAAAAGGAGTCTCTTCAGGGCACTGTGTAACTTCTTTTTGTACAAATGAAAATTTTACATTGAAACTCTGTAATTACTACTAAGCTATTTAAATTTTAGGATAACTAAGGAAACATTGTTTTATAGTTTTGCTTTTAAGTTTATCACCTAGAATATATTCTTAATAATGACATACACTCAACAGGGTACATATCTGGTTTGTTGAACTTATATTTGTACTTTATTTTTATATAAAATCTATAGATTTATTTGAAATTTAGAGTTTATAGTATCATAAAATTTAAATAATTTTCTAAGACAGTTTTTAATATAGTTTAGAATTGCCCAAAAATATTTTATTGAAATATTTTGAATAACTAAGGACATTTTTGGAATTTGTGTTTTATGGTTTTACTTTTAATTTTATCACCTAGTATATATTCTTTTTTTTGGGGGGGGGGGGCCCGGTTGTGGGGCCTGAACTCTGGGCCTGGGCGCTGTCCCTCAGCTCTTCAGCTCAAGGCTAACGCTCTACCACTTGAGCCACAGCACCACTTCCGGCTTTTTGCTTATATAGTGCTGAGGAATCGAACCCAGAGCCTCATGCATGCAAGGCAAGTGCTCTACCACTGAGCCACCTTCCCAGCCCCTCACCTAGTATATATTCTTAATAATGGCATCCACTCAATAGGGGGATGTCTGGTTTCTTGAACTTAAACTTTATTTTTGTATTAAATGCATAGATTGATTTGAAGTTTAGAGAGTTTATACTACAATAAAGTTGTAAATAATTTTCTAAGACAGTTTTTAATATACTTTACAATTGCCCTAAAATATTTAATTGAAATTATTTTATATTTTAGTTGTCTTTGACCTGTGATCTACATAACTTGTAATTAAGTTTCCTCAAAGAACTAAGCCAGCTTGATGTAAAGGTGCAGCTGTGCATAGCATTGATTCCATATTAAAATTGTTTTCTTTTATCTTTTCAGTAGAAGTATTGATTGTTGCTGAACAAAACATCTCTAAATTGGCTTTACTGTGTTAAGTGTATAGAATGATGAAAAATTGTTTCCAGATATTATAAAATCAGGTCATTCCTTAAAGATTTTGAGAACATTTTTTAAAGAATAAATACAATTTTTTCCTACATCTCTGCATGTTTGATTTTAGTCTTTTTGGATTCTTTGTGCTCCATGTTTCTTTAAACTGTCAAGATGAGCAATTTTGGTTCACACAGGTAATTGTAGCTCTTTCAGGAGGCTGAGATTCAAGAATCTCAGTTTGAAGCCATCCTGGGTTAAAAAAAAAAAAAAAAGTCCAGAAGATTAAGTCTCCAACTAACTAGCTTTTAGTTTAAGTGGCAGAACACCAGCAAGTGGGTGGGGGGGAGAGGAGGAGCAGGGGAGGGACAGGGAGGGAGTGGGGGAGAACACAATGTTCCCATCCATGTTCTGTTCATTTCTTTCTTTCTTTGTGCTCCCCTCAGGAGATCCTATCTCACCCCACTCCCAACCCCTCTGAGTGAAAAGTCTCAATATATTCCATCTGTCTGCCCCTAGTGGTTTTCCTTCCTCATTTCCCCTGTTCCAGATATTTCAGAAGGGCTAAAGGCGACAGATGCATTCCAGGCTTCCCTCACTAACCCAGCCCTACACAGTCTGACAAAATTGATCTTGCTGGTGCTGGTGGCTCACATCTGTAATCCTAGCTCTCAGAAAGCTGAGACTTTAGGATTGCTTTTCAAAGCCATTCCATGCAGGAAAGTCCGAGACTCTTATCACCAGTTAACCTTCAGAAAACTGGAAGTAGTGGCTATGGCTCAAAGTGATAAAGCACTAGCCTTGAGCAAAAGAGCTCAGGGATAGCACCTAGACCCTGAGTTCAACCCTAAGACAAAAAGAAAAGAAAAGAAAAGAAACCTGTTTATAAAAAAGCAAAATAAATAGACCTAATGGTGAGGCATAGCAGACAAATACAAACTTGCTTACCCCCACCCCAGTTCCTTCTCCTCCCTGTTCCCAGCCGGGTATGAGAATTCTTTCCTGCAAATAACTGTGGTAGTTTTAGTATTTTTCTGTCTTGACCCCACTAATAAGAGTTTTCTAGAGAAAATCTGAAGTCTACATTCCTTCATTTTTTGGTTCATTTAATCCTAAAACCCTCTTGGAGAAATAAAGACCTCATTGTTATTAATTAGTTCAACAACCTCGGGGCTGGGAAGGTGGCTCAGTGGTAGAGTGCTTGCCTTGCATGCATGAGGCCCTGGGTTCGATTCCTTAGCACCACAAAGCAGAAAAAGCCGGAAGTAGTGCTGTGGCTAAAGTGGTAACTAGCCTTGAGCTGAAGAGCTGAGGAACAGGGCCCAGGCCTAGAGTTCAAGCCCATGACCAACAAAACACACACACATACACACACACATACACACACACACACCTCATGCTGAAGAAGACAAATCTGAATTCTTTCTCAAAAGAAGCTTTAAAAAAAATAGGTCTTCTGATCTATAGCATTAGTTATAATTCTCTGAGTATTTTAAATTAAAACATTCTCACTATATCTACATCTCAAAAAAGCATGTGCATGTGTGTATATATATATATATATATATACTTATACATGCATAAACATATTCTTTTTCCTTTTTTTCCCTCAAACAGTACTTAAGAAACCTCTTTCCCATTTTCCCAACCAGTTTTCAGTTGATACGAAGAAGCAAAAAAACTAGAAGTCATCTTCACTCAGCTCCTGTTTCTCATCAAGCCCAAAAATTTCTACCTCAGATTCCTCAGTAAATAAGCTATCTTTAATTACCAACAACATTATTGCAGGTTTTTATCTTTTTCCTCTGGGGATTATTATTATTTCTGCTCTTTTCATAGTCCATTCTCTCCACTGATATGCCTGTGGAAAGCAAAAATGCACAAAGACTCTCCTTCTGTTTGTCTGAAGTTATTTACACATGACTTTCTCAAGTCTAAGGAGTGTTCAGTAGTGCCAAATCTGGGTACCTTATCTGAGTTAGTAATAGGTACTGACAAATTCTGGGGCAAAATTCCCGGGCAGGGTAACCATTTAATATAGTATAGGACCAAATTGATGTTGATCCAACTGCTAAACAATAGTGAGGCAAAGTCAGGAATTAGGTAGGAATTAGGAAAACATTGGGGACTATAGCAAAATGACAAGAGAGTCTAAGTGGAAGGGAGCTAAAAAGTGATGAGAAATCATGAAATGGGAAATGTGAGATTTTGAAAAATACGCTAGAAGTGTGCAATATTTGGAGAAATGACATAGAGATAAGGACATAGAGAACAAAGGAAGATTGAAGAATTTGTTTTCTGGAAAATGTGCAAAGGAGAGCTACAGAAATATTATTATTTACAGTGATAGGGATCAAACCCAGGGCCTTAGGCATGCTAGACAAACCCTTTAACTCTGATCTATATCTTCAGTTCTTGTAGTTTTGTTTTCCTTTTTTTTGTTGTTTTTTTGGTTTTTGGTTTTTGGTTGGTGTCTAGTAGCTACTATAGCTCAGAGAGTCCTTAAATTTCTGATCTTGCTTCTGCTTCTGGAATACTGGGATTATAGGCAAGGGCCACCATACCTAGTGAGGTTCACAGGTTTAGAAGCAAAGAAGAAAAACAAAACTAGTGAAATTTGAAGAAGCGTTCATGCTGGGCAACAAGAGGTCATCATTAATGGAAGCCCTTGTAGAAAATGAGGCACAGTTCTAAGTCTAAAGAAAGAACTAGATGTGGATGGGACAAGAAAGCATGTCTTCCTGAGGGCATAAGAGGAAGAAAGAACTGTAGGTAAGTACTTCAGGGTGTTTATATCTGTCTGATGGTCCCATTTTCTTGTTAAGTTCAGATCTTCTGTTAAGGAAGAGGGGTAATGAACGAGGGCATTAACTTGAGAATAATAAGACACTGAAATTCCGAGAAGACCAGGAAAGACTAGGGACTAACATAAAGAGATTTCAAAAAAGACATGCAGGCCCCAAGTGCACTTCAGAGCCATTTATTTGCAAGGACAACCATCAAGAAAATGGATTGAGGGCTTGGAAGGTGGCTTAGTAGTAGAGTGATTGCCTTACATGCAAAAGGCCCTGGGTTCGATTCCTCAGCACCACATAAGCAAAAAGAAAAAAGCCGGAAGTGGCGTTGTGGCTCAAGTGGTACAATGCTAGCCTTGAGTTGAAGAGCTGAAGGACAGCGCCCAGGCCCAGAGTTCAGGCCCCATGACCGACAACAACAACAACAAAAAAAAGAAAGAAAATGGATTGACTTCCTCTTTCTGACTCAGTTATAGCAAAGCTGGAAAAGGAAACTGAAAATGAGAGACACCTCAGACCTCAGGCTCAGAATTGGCTGGTAGATGAACCAAAGGAAGGGAAAGTCAAAAATAGGGATTTAGGCTGGATAAATGAATGGGATTGGAACCTGGATTGAGGTCAAAGAGGATCAAGAAACAGGAAAAATTAAAGGTATGAGTTCCACACACAGCAATAATTTTACCAAAAAAAGGAGGGTAGCATGAACCAGTTACCAATTGGAAAAAAAAAATGTGTTTTAGTTCAAATTACTTAGAAAAATAGCATTGCTGAAATGGGTTCATTGTCTATATTAATTGAAAAGATTGTTGACTATTATTTGAAAATAAGAAAAATAATACACATTAATAAAGTTGCTTTGGGGGCATGAGGGTGGGAGTATCTAACTCACATAATTGTGCAGAACTCTCTTTTTTCTTTTGTATTTAGCAGGACGAGTGTAAAATCACAGTGTTTTCCAGATTCAAATATAAAAGACCTTGGGAAGAATTTGCTCTTGATTTGAGTTGATACTATAAACCTGTTATTGTCAACTTGAGAAGAACAATAAAACTAAGTAAGTTGAGTGAGATCTTGACATTGTGCAGGAGGCTAAACCTAGAATGGGTGGTAAGACCAGCAGTAAATGAAGATGGCTTGTACTGTCTCTCACACAGTGGCCGCCTCCCGTCTCCTGGGGTCAGATTTCTTGGTATAATCACTTCACTTCAAATTGGACTATCAGAGGAGTTAAAAAGGACTGGGAAGGGTTAAGCTTGATTTTAATGGACTTTCAATTTTACAGAAAAATTGAGCATAAAGTACAGGGAGTGCCGTTTATGCACATCCTGTTTCTCCTATTACTTACATCTTCCTTAACATGATGCATTTGTTATAGTTATAAGGCAACATGGATACAGTGCTATTAAATCAAGTCCACAATTTTTACATTGGGGCTTTTTTTCTCAGTGTTGTAACTGAACTCACTCTTCCAACTGTGCTACATCCTAAGGCCAGAGATCCATTCTATCAGTTCTGACAGATCTATAATTATATGATATACCATTAAAGTATTATACAGAGTAAGTTCACTAATAATAATCCTATGCATAACCATTTATTCATTCTCTTCTTCACCCCTGGACATCATTCCTCTTCTTACTGTCTCCACAGTTCTGCCTCTTCTAAACTGCCATGTCATCAGAATCATAATATTTAGCTTTTCTGCTTGAATTCTCTCACCTAACAGTGCACATTTAAGGTTTCTGCATATCTTTATTTCTCACCCCCCTCCCATCATAGGGCCTGAACTCTGGGTCTGGGCACTGACCCTGAGCTCTTCAGCTCAAGGCTAGTGTTCTACCACTTAAGCCAGAGCGCCACTTCCGGCTTTTTCTGTTTATGTGGTGCTGAGGAATCGAACCCAGGGTCTCATGCATACAAGGCAAACACTCTACCACTGAACCACCTTCTCAATCCTCCCCATATCTTTCTACAACTTGATAACTCACTTCTTTGTAGCACAGAATCACCGTATAACCACTTAATTATTGAAGACCACTTTTGTTATTTCCAGGCTTTGTCAATTATAAATAAAACTAACAAACATTTATGCCAGGTCAGGGTGTGTGTGTGTGTGTGTGTGTGTGTGTGTGTGTGTGTGTGTGTGTGTGTGTGTGTGTGTGTGTTGAAAATTCATTTGGACAAGTAACAAGAAGTATGCTTGTTGAGTTGTGATTAAAAAAATTAGGTTTCATTGTTGTTGCTGTTTTGTCAGTTGTGGGGCTTGAACAAGGGGCCTGGGCACTGTCCCTCAGCTCTTCAGCTCAAAGCAAGAGCTCTACCACTTGAGCCACAATGCCAATTCCAGTTTTCTGGTGGTTAATTGAAAATAAGAGTCTCATGGACTTTCCTGCCAAGGCTGGCTTTGAACTTGATCCTCAGCTCTCAACCTCCTTCGTAGCTAGGATTACAGGAGTGAGCCACTAGTGCCTGGATGGTTTGGTTTTTTGTTTGTTTATTTTTTACCCCAAATTTCAAAAGGTTGTAGAAGCAGGTTACAGTTTAATTTGTCTATTTAAGTGTCAGGTGTGGATTTCATTTTATAAGAAGCTACCAAAGTATCTGGCTATGTCTGCTCTAGCTCACAATCCCTGATATCAGCAATGATATCAGGGATATGCCTCACATCTTGCCAACATTTGTTGTCAGTATTTTGGATTTGGGCCACTCTAATAAGTGTGTAGTGGTATTTAATTTTGGTTTTAATTTGCAAAGCATCTTACTATAAGTTTACATACCATCTGGTTATCTTCTTTGCTGGGATGTCTACTCCATTCGTTTGCCCTTTTGCTTTTTTTTTTTTTTTTGAGTCTTTTGCGTGTATGTCTTTTTGTTGAATTTAGACTTGGTGTTATAGGATTCTTTTGCCAAATGCGATGAGGTTTATTAATCAAGCAGCTCTGCTTGGTCCCAAGTTTGTGTTGTGTGGCTCCAGAAACCCTCACGGGTTATAACTGCCTAGTTTATGTCTGTATTGTAGCAAAAGTTCATGGACCAAGCTGCCCAAAGGGCGTGTATGGCATTTGATCCGAAGGCGAAAGCTACGGGATGGTGGTGAACCAAGTGACCCCAGTTCCCATCAGCGAGGAGACATAGTGACAGTCGCTTTCCCTTTCTAGCAGTGTCATTTCAGTGGTAGTTTTGCCAAAAACACACAGATAAGGTTTTGTGATCCCCAACAAAGAACGTCCCAGATGACAGCACGCAGGACGCCTGGTGCTTCCCTAAATTCGCTCCTAGAACAGAGGGGCAAGGGGAGGGCGGGGGAAGGCGGGAGGAGGGGGGCAGGGAGGGGGGAGGGAGGAAAGGGGGGAGGGAGGCGGGGGGAGGGAGGGAAGGGGGGATGGAGAGAGGGGGTGAAGGAGGGAAGGGGGAGGGAGGCAGGGGGGAGGGAGGGAAAGGGGGATGGAGAGAGGGGGTGAGGCAGGGAGGGGGAGGGAGGGAAAGGGGGATGGAGAGAGGGGGTGAGGCAGGGAGGGGGGAGGGAGGGAAAGGGGGATGGAGAGAGGGGGTGAGGCAGGGAGGGGGGGAGGGAGGGAAAGGGGGATGGAGAGAGGGGGTGAGGCAGGGAGAGGGGAGGGAGGGAAAGGGGGATGGAGAGAGGGGATGAGGGAGGGAGGGGTGAGGGAGGGGGGAGGGAGGCAGGGAGGGGGGAGGGAGGGAAAGGGGGATGGAGAGAGGGGGTGAGGGAGGGAGGGAGAAGTTGGTGAACCCTTGTGCACGAGGCCCGCGTGACTCCCCGCGTTCGATCCTGGCGCGGTCGGTCGTTACATAAGATGCTACTATTTACAGAAGCTGGCTGGAGCGGGCGGACATGCTTGCTGTTCTTCCTTTTTTTCTTTTTTGGCCACATTCTCGAAAGGCCGAGATTCTTCCCCGAGGAATGACAAGTGAAGAGCACTTCCCCGAGGCGGGGCGCCAGCCGCAGTCTGGGAGCCGGGCCGGGGTGGCCGGTGTGGGGGCCCTGGGCTGGGTGTCCCTCCGCCCCTGGGCCGGGCGGGGGAGGGGCGGGGGGAGGGGGCGGGGGAGGGGTCGTCCGGCGGCTCCGCGCTTCCGAGCAGAGCCGCGCTGCGCTGCCCCGCCGCGCGCTGCCCCGCCGCGCGCCCCGCCGCGCCCGCGCCGCCCCGCCGCCAGCATGCCCCGAGCCGCGCTGCCCGCGCTCCTCCTGCCGCTGCTGGGTCTCAGCACCGCCGCGCTCGCGGGTAAGCTGCCCGCGCGGACTCCTCCGCGACCCACCCCGCCCGGCAGCCCGCACTCGGGGACAGTCCTCCGTCCCTTTGTCTTTTTGAGCCCCCCCCTTCCCAATTTTTCCGCGGCCCGCTCCCCACCGAACCCCTTGGCTGCCCTGGGGAAGGGAGTTGGTGCGGACGCGAGCGGCCCCCTCTTCATCTTGGATCAGACCACCCCAGGCCCGGGAAGGACCTCTGAAATGGGCTGGCTGAGGGCAGAGGGGGTTCGCCAGGCACTTCAGGGGTCTTTGGGGATTGCAGACCTCTTCCTCGCCCCCCACCCATGTGCTGGGGTCTGGGGTCTGGGGGTCTGCAGGGAGGAGGAGAGCCCCTCTCTGGCAAGAGGCGTTGTTTGTGCAGTGGGCAAGTGTCCAAGTTGTGGGAACAGGAAAACAGCTCCGCCACATAGCCCCGGGTGGGGGAGGTGGTGCTCGGGCCAAGCTTGGCTTTCACGCAAATCATATGATTTAAACAGAAATCTCTGTTGTATCGTAACAGCCGAAATGTCACACAGGATTAGTCATTTCCACAGCGACTCCTGAGAAAAGAGGCAATTCCTATCGAATATGTGGGGTTTTGTTTTGTGTTTTACATTAAATAACTTTTCTATGCAGGCTTGACACATTAAAAAAAAAATACGTTGAGGTGGGTGGGGGACTTCCATCCCAAAATACGATTGACTGAACGATTCTGAGAATTAAAGAGCAAAAGAAGTAAGAACAAAGTGAAGAGGATTCTGGATCTCACTGCCTTTTTTGGGGTTCCTGCTGACAGGCAGGAAGATCTCCAGGGCCTTGGGGTGCTGGGGCGCTGCTCTGCTCTGCGTGGTAAGCTCAGAACTCTTACAAAGTGCATGCACCTTTCCTGAAAGCTTTGTTGTAGACTAAAGCCATCTGCTGCCCACCTGAGCGCAACATGTGTGGATCCTCACACCATTCCCACTGTGCACGTTCATAAGACAGGCTGGGCCAGACACTCTCTAAAGGCTGGTCTGATTGTGAGTCTGCACCCACTCCTTGCCTGAGCCAGCTGACTTCCCATTTAGCCCGTCACTATAATGCCAGACATTTGTATTTTAGGCTAGTCAAAAACAAAAACCTGCAAACATCAGATACTGAGTTCCAGTCCTGCCTCCCACAAACATTTTTTTAAAAACCTGTTTTCTGGGAGATTTTGAAAGAAAATCGGTATCTAGGTTTCTTCATAGGAATCATTTTGACCAGCAATGAGGATAAATGTTCCCCTCTTTCTCATTCTGTCCTTCTCCCTACTTCCCCCATTCCTGCTTTCCAATTCTCTCTCCTCTTCCCTCCCTCTGTTCCTTTCTTATTGCAGTAGTGGAATTTGAACTCATGACCTCAAGCTTGGCTCTGCCACTGAGATATGCCCTTTCTAAGGTGAATAAATGGACTTTTCCGGAGCTTTAAAAGAAATGACTGTTGAATTAAGTCATGCTACTAATCAGCTTGTTTCGGTCAGAAAGACTTAAAGACTATGAGCTTTGCCTTTGCCTAGTTACCCAACTTTGCCGGAAAGTAGAGATATTAGTTCATAGTGATGTCGCAACACTGTTTAATATCTCTTACAGCCATGGTGAAATCTGGTTTCTTTCCCTTTACTATAAACCTACTTGTACAAAATGAAGGGTAGTTATTGCAACTAGAAAGCATCATGTGATTACCACCAGGAATTGGATATTTATGGTATCTAAGCTTATTCATATTTGTGGTGATGTTAAGGCTGAAAAATTACCATAGTAACTTACCTTCAGAGTGTCTCATGAATCTCTCCAGACAACATGAGGAGCCATACCTGGCTTAGAACTAAATCAAGAAAGAGCTTGTCAAGGTAATCCTGGAATTAGCTGAAAAGCAAGATCTTAACAGAAAATCTCTTGTAGTATTGCATTGAAATATACATTTAATGTTAAATAGAGATCATTGCTACTGTTTTGTTATTCTGGAGTTTATTATTAGTGAAAATGGTCTTCTGTTGTTCTTGGTGTATAGCTTAAAAGTCACAACAGGTAAAATAGTGTTTAAATTTCTGAGTAAGCTTCTGTGCATCCCTTTAATGAGATCTGCAGTATTGCATTTGGCACACTGCAAATGATGGTCATGCTCTCCCACCAGTGGCATGGTAGGAGGGAATACAAACATGTTGGAAATCCTCCTTGCGTACTCATCATGTGGGTCAGAAGCTAGGTTTCTGATTTTGGACTGCAGTAGCCTACCAATGTAACTGGAGGTGTTTCTGCCTTCTTCGCTAATGCCATCTCTTACCATTCTTCCTGCTATTCACTCTGTGTATTCCCACTGACCTTCTGGGTACTGCAACTCCTCTGGTCCTTCTATGCAGACTGCCTCCTGGTCCTTGGCATGGCTTCCCCTGCTCCTGCCATTTCGATTTCAGTCCTTATTTCCCTTCTGGGCTTTTTTCAAGTACCGATGTTCTCCATGTCTTATTTTCTTCATAGCCCCCTCAGGGGTATCTTTGTTACTCATTGTTTTCCTGCTCATCACTTTCTTTCCAGAAGGAAATGCTATGTCAGCAGGGATTTTACTATTGAGGATTTTTGTTTTGTTATGATTTACCTCTGGACTTTACTCCATTTTACAATAAAAGGATGAAAATTTGGGGTGAATGATCTAAAACAGTGGATGTGATGGATTTTTCAAATGATATCATCTTTGCTGTGTTATCTCAAACTTCAATATAAAACATTAAATCCTCCTAAGTCCTTGTGGATGGCAGTTATATGTTTCAGGAGAAAATTTCTTAGATTAACTCTTAGAGTTCTTTTGTAGATTTTTTTAAATGATGTTAACACTTATTTTTCTTTCAACAAAAGTGAAATTGCAATGTTTTTAACGATTTCTTTCGTTGTTGAAAAGCTTTTAAGATTTGTTGATGCATTGAAAATCACTGTCACAACAGGGTTGTCATCGAAGTTTTGAGTGTATATGTAAAATACACCACTGCTTTTGTGCAAACCCAGAGACTGAATCTGTAAGAAAATGGATGTGTGATGCCAAGGCAAAAGGGCAGAGGATGACTGCACAAGTTTCATGTCAGTTCTTCTGAGAGCAGAGGATGGAGCTCTACATCTTGGAAGCAAAGTTGGGAAGAGGAGTGTGGAAAGGGGATGGGGACTCAGAGTAGCTTATTTTCCCTGAAATTCTGGATCTTGGAGTTCAGAGCACACACAGCCTTAGTACCTATGGGCTCAGGGCTACGTAGCCGATAGATACAAGCCACAAGTGGCTTGGAATAAGCCCCTCTTCCTTCACTCATAATCACTCATAACACAGGTATTAATGTGTTATCAAAGTTGCCCTGTGGCAGGTAAGTGACTTCAACTTATACCATCTCTCATATCATAATAGGAGAGGAGCAAAGGTCTTATTATGATAACCCTTAGAACAAGTGTGTCTAAAGATCATGTCCTCATAGGTTGTGCTTGATGGTTAAAAAAAGAAACTTAAAAACGTGAACAATATTTTAGATTTGACAAATAGTGCATAATTTCCTGTAGGTATGATATTTTATTCTCTTAACGTATGGTAACTTTAGGCAGAAGATCTATATCGAAACTTGTGGAGATAGAGTAAATAGTAGCTTTTCCTTTAGGATTCTAAGTAAATTAGTAGAATTATGAAATTATACAATCCCTGAAGAGACTTTTAGATTCATTATGAATGACCACCTATTTTTCAATAAGAAATAAGATTGTCAAGAGCTTTGTAAGCAGGATTTGATTAAAACAGGATTACAGCAAAGATGCTGAGTACTGAAGATGATTCATGTTAGCCTTCATTCATGAGATACATGGCTTCAACAAACTGAGCTCATAGGTCAACCAGCCATAGTTTGCGGGTACGGCTCATTTGGTAGAACACCAGGTACCAAGTAAAAGTGTCAGGTACCAAGTTTGAATCTTGGTCTCAGACAAGAAGATAATAAAAGGACATCCAGTCACATTTTTGGGGGTTTTTTTTGGGGGGGGTTGGGGGGGTGCCTGAACTCTGGGCCTGGGCGCTGTCCCTCAGCTCTTCAGCTCAAGGCTGGCGCTCTACCACTTGAGCCACAGCACCACGTCCAACTTTTTCTGCTTATGTGGTGCTGAGGAATTGAACCCAGGGCCTCAGGCATGCAAGTCACCAATCCAGTCACATTTTAACACCACTATTCTCAACCTAACAATACCTGTCCAGTAGTGCTTGTTTCTTGGGCACACACTCTGCCCTATAGCATGCAAAAATGAATCCGGTGCTAAATTCACGGGTGTTACAGCTAATGCTGCAGTAAGCCTGAAAAAGCAGAAGAGAGTTTTGTGATAGCCATCAATCTAAGTTTTGTTTCTCTGCATATATCCTCTTTATTTTTTTATCTTCTCATGTGTGATTTAATTATTCAACAAAGATCTTTAAGTAACTTGTCCTTACCATCCTGGCATTCCATCTTCTATCTCAAGGGTCTCATGTTTGCCTTCCCTATAACTGGCAAAGAGATCCTTATGGCTGTTTAGGGCATATCTTTCAGCTCTCTGTCACCTTCATAATGAAACTGTTGTAAAATTGGAACCCTAACCCCCATTCCCACACTCAGGATGTTGCTTCTCTACTCTTTTTCCTCTATGGGACTTACCAGTATCTGTGGTTGCCAACTTCTCAAGGTTATCAGAGATACTTACCTGTTGTTATTCATACACTTGTGTGGTTCACTTCCAATTGAATAGGGTTGTTTTTGGAATTGTGATGGTTAGTTTTAATGTGTCAACTTGACTGGGCTACTGGATGTGTACCTAGTTGGTAAAGCATTATGTCTGGGTATGCCTGGGAGTCCCTCTGATGGAGATTGACATTTGAGTTATTAAGGATTAGTAAAGAGAATCTGCCCTTACCAGTGTGCGCCAGCATCATCCAGTCTGTTGAGTGTCCACATAGAATGTAATGGCAGAGGAAGACCACATTCCTTCTCTTCCTGAGCTGAGACATACACCTGCTTCTGATCCATTCTCTCTCAGGCCTTCAAACTAGGAAAGAATTATGCCAGCTATCCTAGGTCTCCAGCCTGCAAACAGTAGATTGTGGGACCTCTTGCTCTCTATAACCACTATGAGCCAGGTAGATAGGTAGGTAGTTAGACAGATAGGTAGATAGATAGATAGAGAGATAGGTAGGTAGGTAGGTAGATAGATAGATAGATAGATAGATAGATAGATAGATAGATAGATAGATAGATAGATAGAGATAATCTACTATTGGTGCTGTTTCTCTATAGAACTCTATTGCAGTAGCCAATGGGACATTCTATATCATCAGAAATGATGTAAAGCCAAAGCTGGATTATACAAGGCATTGCACCTGTGCCTTGTCTTTGAATCCTTCACTCTGAGGGAAGCCACATGCTATATTTTAGTAGGTGGAGAAATCTATCTACCCATAGCCAGCACCATCCATAAGAATGAGCCCTCTTGAGGACAATCCTTCCACCGTAGTTCATTCTTCAGATGGCTGATGCCTGGTTAACATCTGGGTTGCAAATGCATGATTGTCCCCTTTCCCTTACCTAGCCAGAGTCACCCAACTAAGCAGCTGCATTTGAATTCCTGACCAGCCACACTACACTATATGACATATGCTTCCTGTTGTTGGTGGTTTTGTCAGCTATGGGGCTTGAATTCAGGGCTTGGGCACTGTCTCTGAGCATTATTGCTCAAGGCTAGTGCTCTACCACTTTAAACCACAGCACCACTTCCAGTTTTCTGATGGTTAATTGGAGAGAAGAGTCTCATGTACTTCCCTGCCCAGGCTGGCTTTAACTGCATTCCTCAGATCTCAGCTTCCTGAGAAGCTAGGATTATAGGTATGCATCACCAGCACCCAACTATACTTCTTGTTTTAAGGTGCTTGTTGGCTACCTAGCAATAGATTGCTAATGTACTAATGTGCTGTCTAACCTATTAGTTTACTTACACTGCTCTGTGTGTGTGTGTGTGTGTGTGTGTGTGTGTGTGTGTGTGTGTGTGTATCTGTATCTTCTTCAACTAGAACATTACTACACAAATCACAGGGTTTTTTTCCCCCTTTATATTAACTCTGAAATCTCACTCATATAGAATAACTTTCTCACAACAACCCCCTCAGATAACTTCCTGTTTTGCAAATACAGTAAACTGGAGCATATGAAGGTTAACATATCCAAGATCCTGTTTTTCTGAACTAGACTTTCTCCACAGTCTAATTTGCTTAACCAGAGCGCTTTTCTACCTTAATTCTATGCATGCTGTCCTATGTTATGTTCAAGGCAGTAGGATAGCTATTGTAACTTATAATTACTATGACTGATTTTTTTTGAGACAGGGTCTTGCTTTGTAGACCAGGCCGGCTCAGGTGATAGCCACCCTTGAGTAAAAAGCCAAGCAAGAGCAAGAAGCCCTGAGTTCAAGCCCCAGTACCAGCATTGTGTGGGCAAAAAAAATCTGTCTTACTTTCCTGTGCAGTACAAAAATGTATTTGAATATTCATAATCTAACATTTTTCTCTGCTCTTGCATGTATATACATACATACAGCAATTGAGCCACAGCTCGACTTCGTGTGTGTATGTGTGTGTGTGTGTGTGTATGTGTGTGTGTGTTGATTTATTGGGGATAAAGTTTTATTGATTTTCTACCTTGATCTGACTTCGAGCCACAATCCTCAGAACTCAGCCTCCTGAGTAACTAGGATTATAGATATGAGCCAGTGTCTGGCAGGGATATGTGTGTGTGTGTGTGTGTGTGTGTGTGTGTGTATGTGTGTGTGTGTGTGTGCGTGTGTGTGTGTTGTTATGAGCCACCAGTGCCTGGTTTAGAGTTATAATTTTTATCAAGGATTGTATAAACTTCTTAGAACGTTTGAAAGTGTTATTATATGTTACAAAGATAACCTTCAAAGGGAAACCTGGAATTCTGACTCATGATCTCCTTTGATAGTTAATTTACACATCTAAACTGCTAACAATCTAAACATACAAACTTGTACTCTGAAGTCAGAAGAGAATCATTGGAAGATTTCTCTTCTCCCACATCTGTAATAAAAAGAAATTTCTATTATATGGTGTTGATTTTTAACATTTAGCATGCATTAGCCATTCAAGAGGGTATTTCATAGTGACACTTCCATGCATATATGTGATAAATTCCAATCAATATCCCTCCATTATTCTCCCTTACCTGACTTCCCCTTAATACAATTTCAGTTTCATTATTCTACTTTCTTACTAATTTTTAACAAAAAAGGAATAAGGAAATCTGCCTTTGAAATTTATGAAATTTTTATAACTTATGTCTTTCTTCTTCTCAAATTATTTTTTTCCACATAGACTGTCCTTCATCCACCTGGATTCAGTTTCAAAACAACTGTTACATTTTTCTTGAAGAAGCCATCAAAGTAGAAAGCATAGAAGATGTCAGAAATCAATGTACAGGCCATGGTAAGTGGCTTTTTTTTTTTTTTTTTGGTCGGTCTTGGAGCTTGAACTCTGGGCCTGGGTGCTGTCCCTCAGCTCTTCAGCTCAAGGCGAGCGCTCTACCACTTGAGCTACAGCGCCACTTCTGGTTTTCTGGTGGTTTATTGGAGATAGGAGTCTCACAGTCTCTCCTGCCCGGGCTGGCTTTGAACCGCGATCCTCAGATCTCAGCCTCCTGAGTCTCTAGGATTACAGGCGTGAGCCACCAGCGCCCGGCTGTAAGTGGCTTTTTTAAAAACTTGTTTTGTCATATCTCACTTTTAACTGAGTTCTTAGAATTAATGGAAAACTTTGATTGTATAACACATAAATCACAGAGAGTAGAATTAGATGTACACTTTATCTCTGAGATGGAAGACATGCTTACGAAGTTTGGTGACAGAACCAGAACATGTGTCCATGTAACTGTACTCTCTGGCAAGCATTGGCTTAAATACTTCAAGTTTTATTTGGCTTTAGCTTTAATATATGTATGTATGTATGTATATGTATGTATGTATGTATGTATATGTATGTATGTATGCATGTATGTATGTACTTTTGCCTGTATGCTTCTGGTTCTGGCTTTTTGATTGTTAATTGGAGATAAGGGTCACATGGGCTTTCCTGCTCAGGCTGTTTTTTAACCATGATCCTTAGATTTCAGCCTCAAAAGTAGCTAGGATTAGAAGTATGAGCCACCAGTGCCTGGCTCCCAATTACATTCTTATTGGCTTATATGCACACAAGATCAAAGTTCATTATCTAATCTTAATGTTTGTTTTCAATAGTTGAGCAACTATTTGCCAATTAATATTTGACTAACTTCCTTTTTTACTTAAATGTTAATTGTACTTATTTTCTGTAGCAAACAAAGGAAACATAAATTTAAAAAGCAGAACAACTTTGTGGCCTGACTTTTAAATTGCTTTTTTGTAAATCCATTAACTCTACAAGAATTTTTAATTGGATGTAAAAACTGGTTCATGAAAATTTTCTTGTCTCAGGGGCTGGGAAGGTGGCTCAGTGGTAGAGCGCTTGCCTTGCATGCATGAGACCCTGGGTTCGATTCCTCAGCACCACATAAGCAAAAAGAAAAAAGCCGGAAGTGGCGCTGTGGCTCAAGTGGTAGAGCGCTAGCCTTGAGCTGAAGAGCTGAGGGACAGTGACCAGGCCCAGAGTTCAGGCCTCATGAGGGGACCCCAAAAAAAAGGAAAAAAAGAAAATTTTCCTGTCTAAAACAAGGTTGCTTTCTTCTTTTAGCTAAAAATTTCTAAATTCAGGACTGAAGATGTAGTGCCTGCCTAGCATCTAGCATGTATGAGGGCTTGGGTTCAATCTTTAGTGCACGTTTGCACATGTGTGCGCACATATACATACATACACACACAGAAAAAGAAAACAGAAAAAAAAAGAAAAGAAAGAGCTGAGTGTTAGTAGCGCACACATATAATCCTGGTGATTCAAAAGAGGCTGGCAGAGTGGAAGGGTGTGTCTTGGCAGGTCCAGGAGCTGGTAATTTGCCCTCGTCTCCCAGAGGAGGAGAGAAGGGCTAGATTCCTCATTCAGGGTGGCTGGTCTGTCTGGTGGAGGGGGGAGTCATTTTATACACTAAGGCTTTGCTAGGCAAAAAGAAACCTATTCAAAGATCTGAAATCCTTCAGGGAATGGACATGACACCAATTCTTAAATGTGCTCCAATGAGCACTTCTTGTGGATTTCTAAGATCCTCTTACTCTCAAAGATCATTTTGCAGGGCTGGGAAGGTGGCTCAGTGGTAGAGCGCTCGCCTTGCATGCTCAAGGCCCTGGGTTCGATTCCTCAGCACCACATAAGCAAAAAGAAAAAAGCCGGAAGTGGCGCTATGGCTCAAGTGGTGGAGTGCTAGCCTTGAGCTGAAGAGCTGAGGGACAGTGCCCAGGCCCAGAGTTCAGGCCCACGACCGGACCCCCCCAAAAAAAGAAAAAAAAAGATCATTTTGCATAACACAGAGAAATTAAATCAGTAGGAAAATTTCTTCTTTGGTAAATTGGTAAGGAGCTACTGAAACAGTTATTTCAAAGTATAGCATTTGAGTCCCCATGCTTCTCTAACCTGCTAAGAACTCCTGTTACAGAGAGAGAAGCAGTCTAGTAGGAAACCAAGATAATCAGGCCATGTGGTTTCTTTCTTTCACTTCTCCTTCCTCAAGCCTTCCATAGTCACTAGACAAGACAGGGGTGGTGCCTCTGCTCCTTTGCCAGTGTAAGTGGAGAGTGTGAAGGTAAATTCTGCTTAACTGCTGAAGCAATGAAGCTCAGAGTGAATTATGGGCACTGCCCATAATTTCCTGACAAGATATTATTCAATGAAGAGAATGTTTGTTTATCTTTGCGCTTCCCAATTTATTTGGATTAAGAGAGAAAGAAAAAGTGTTTTATACATTCTATTAATCTACGAATTAACCAGTAGGGAATATTCCATCACTCCAAAGACATTACTTCAGTGTTTCAGCGATGAAGATATTCTTTGTTTTCATTTATTTTTGTGCCAGTCCTGGGGCTTGAACGCAAGTCCTGGGTACTGTTCCTGAACTTTTGTGCTCAAGATGAGTGCCCTACTACGTAAGCCACAGCTCTCCTTCCTGCTTTCTCATAGACTCTGCCTGGGTGGCTTTGAACCACAATTCTCAGATATGACTCTCCTGAGTAGCTAGAATTACAGGAGTGAGCCATGGGTACCCTCCTACTCTTTTTTTTTAACCTTAAGAGAGTTTTATGTATATGAAGCTAGTGTTTTAGGGAAATATATGAGCTGATTAAATAAGAATTCAAAAGAACAGAAAAAAAAATAGAAATTGAGATCTGAAATCCAAATTGTGGTTAGGATACAAGAGAATATTTGCAAATGACCAGCCAAAAGCCACAAGTGGAACCAGCAAAAAGGCTCAAGTGGTACAGTGCAAACTGTCACGGAAAAAGCTAAGAACACCACGCCCTGAGTTCCAGCCTCAGAGCTAGTTGGAGGGGAGGCAGGGGTATTATATATTCAGTTTTTCATACGAATTTCATTTTTTGAAAGTTTCTCACATGCATCTCTAATAATCCCTCCATGTATTTGATAATTTTATGCTCATTTCACACATGAGCCAGAAAACTAGCTAGATTTGGTTAATATTATTAGAACTTATTTTTTGGCTGTGGTCATTTTATTTAAGACAGTAGGTAAACATGAATTTAGAACAGTAGGTGAACATGAAAGTCAACCTGCAGAGTATTTTTAGTATTCCTAGTACTTTGTGATAGTTTACTCTTTGTTTTTGCTAATAGTATTCATTTAGGAAAATAATTGGGAATAAGAAAGCTAAATGTCACTAAATAAGGAACTAAATTGTTTTGTGACATATATATATATATATATATATATATATAAAACAAATATATATATATATATATATATATATATATATATAAAACCAATCTTTCCTTGCTGTGATATATGACCTATATCATTAGCCATAAAAGTAATTTAAGACTTGCTAGGTGCTGGTGTCTCTCCCCTGTAATCCTAAGTACTCAGAAGGTGAAGAGCTGAGGATCATGATTTGAAGTCAGCTCAGGCAGGAAAAGTCCATGAGACTCTTATCTCCAATTAACCAACCCCCAAAAAGGGTTAGAATTGGAGCTGTGGCTCCAGTGGTACAGCACTAGCCTTAAGTAAGAAGTCTCAGGGAAGTCCCAGACTCTGAGTTCAAGCCCCAAGATGTGTATACACACACACACACACACACACACACGTTAGACCTAAATTACATTTCAGTAGGTAGTATCACTGATATTTTGTGAATTTTTTTGTATTTTTGCCTGAGCGCATGCATTTTTTTTTGATGATGTAGACTGTCATTTAAGAAAACAAAAGTGGGTCTTGTTTCCCTGACCTAATAATTGCAGTTTATACAGTATTTAATTAGATTACAATGTTAACAATCCTTCACATTTCACAGGTTGCAACAAGGCCAGGGAAAAGGGCAAAAAAATTATCTTGAATACCTAAGCCTTAACTATAACTTAACTATTTCTCTTGAGGATTTTCCTAGAGTAGCATTTTGGTGACATTTCGGCAATAAGTATGAGGATGAAACAGATAAAAAGTCTGTATGACTTCGGAATAGATGAGATTCTAGCAGCTGGAGATGTTTAAAAAAAAAAACAGCCATCATAGTTTTTAAGAATGACAAACTGACTCCATGAGAACCTTGGTAAATTCTGTTTGCTTTAAATATTTTTGAGGTCATACTCATCTTTTCTTTTAAAAGTCCCTTTATAATTTCATAATGCATGACCACTAAATAAAATCTAGAAAAACATACATGCTTATGCTTCATAAAACTCATCACCCTAAATCGCACCACTTCGGGTAATAACCACTGTGAGCATTTCCCTCTAGTTAAAGGGGATATTGTTTCTAATGATTCAGTGTCATAAACAAGATGATGGCTGGGTATTTGTGAACACAAGCCCGCATAGGATTAAGGACTGTGTAACAAATGGTTTGAGTAAATATTACCTTAGCATACACTAAGCATTACTGTGTCAGATAATAGATATTTGTGCCTTCTGACACCCTCCTCTGATTAGTGACTAACTAGTCTCTATTTTTCTAGAACTAATAATCTACAAATCTGAAAGTCTCTTATTTTAATGTTCACCTGGATTAGCCTGTGTTAGTTGTAGTGTCTGTGACACTTCCACACATATAAACAACATATTCTAATCAACCTTCCATTAACCTCAATTTTCATCATTTTATTATACATTCCTTGTATAATAGTTCTTATTGTGATGTTAAATTGTCCCTTTAGCAATCTGGGACCAACTATTTTTTTCCTGCTAAGTGTTCTCTTTTTCTTTAATACTACAGCTACTGTCTATCGTTTCTGATTTTCCACTTTAACAATGTATATTTTGACCCTATAGTTTTTCTTTCCTCCTGCAGTTAAAATTTGTTTTTCCTCAAAAGGCTCTTTTAAAAGATGTACAAGTATACAGTATATCATTTGTAATTTTTATATACCTCACATGATTTTTGTTGATACTAGAGCATGCTTTTTTTTCTCCTTAAAATACTTTCAGGAGCAGACATGATAAGCATACATACTGAAGAAGAAAATGCTTTTATACTAAACACTTTGAAACAACAATGGAATGGCCCAGAGGATGTCCTCCTGGGCATGTTTTATGACACAGATGGTAAGTGATTTTTGCCTTGTAAGAGTCACTTTTCTGTCTTTAATGTTTGTTTTGTTTGTGCCAGTACTGGGGCTTGAACTAGGGCCTGGGCACTATCACTGAGCTTTTTGCTTAAGGCTGGCTCTCTAGCATTTGAGCCATAGCTCTACTTCTGGCTTTTTGTGGTTAATTGGAGATAAGAGCTTCACTGACTTTCCTGCCCAGGCTGGCTTTGAACTGCCCTCCTCAGATCTCAGCCTCTGAGTAGCTAGAGTTACAGGCATGAACCACCAGCTCCTGGCCTGATTTTTACTCTTGGACTTTCATGTCCTTTAGACAAAGATGACTCTCCTATGGCCTCCAATAATTGCATTTTCACTGTGCCTTTGTGCTAGTACCAAAAATAGGAGAAAGAGTTGAACCTCTGATCTTTCTGCTTCAATTTTTTTGTAAGGTGGAATGGTCAAAAACTAAATATTAGATCAAGGTAAGTAAAGTAAATTAGCTTTACTAACAGGTAATATGTATATTTTCATCATTGTTAGAAATATAACCATAAACATTTTTAACTGACATGAAGTGACTAAGGTTACTATCAATATTTTAACTATGTTTATAATTTTCTCCAAGAAAATAATTTTCCTAAGTTTTAAAGCTCTGTGTGTGTGTGTGTGTGTGTGTGTGTGTGTGTGTGTGTGTGTGTGTGTGTGTGTGTTGCTATAGCTTGAACTCAGGGACTTATGCTCTCAGTAAACTTTCTTGCTCATATTCTACCACTTGAGCATGCTTCCAGTCTAGCATTTTGTTGGTTAATTGGAGATAGAATCTCAAAGATATCTCTGTCCAGGCTGGCCTCAGTTAGCCTCAGCCTCCTGAATCGGTAGGACTTTGGGTGTTAGTCACTGGTGCCTGCGCTAAATAACTTTTATGATTTGACTGTACATAGGATTTATTCCTCCTATTTTTTTTAATCCTACAACCAAAAAGACTGTATAGTACTTAGTAATGTCTCTCATTCCTTCGTAATGTCCCATCTTTCATCCAAGACCTGTTTCTTTGGCTTTAACAAATGTTAAAACTGTTACAATGTTGAAAATATTGCTTCATTTAACAGATGCAAGTTTCAAATGGTTTGACAACTCAAATATGACATTTGATAAATGGGCAGAGGAGGAAGATGGTGAGGATCTAGTTGACACTTGTGGTTTTCTGTACACTAAGACTGGTGAATGGAAAAAAGGAAATTGTGAAATTTCTTCTGTGGAAGGCACACTTTGTAAAGCAGCAAGTAAGTATGCCTGTCATTTTCCAGTGTACTGGTGGGGGAAGTAGGGTTGTCTTTCAAATAATACTGGGAGATTAATATGCCTCATACTGGAGGGAGGAAGACTACAATACTGGTAAACTGATTTGCTCCCCAGTCTCTTGGAAATCAAACAACTAATTCTCTTGGATTTCAGAGGGATAGCTACATCACGTGAACTAGACATTATTCTGCTTGTGCTTAATTCTGCTTGTGCTTTCCAAGAAATCAAAACAATGACCATATCCTCTTTGTGTGTAATTTGTGTAGAAGTACTGAAGACCAGCCATGTATAGTTCCAGATTTTGAATTTTATTTTACAAGGAATTAGGTTATCTACAAGAACAAATATGCTTTAGATAAGCAAATGAAAAACTACAGGGTAGTTTATGATTTATTCAGATTAATGAACAAAATTATCCTGTTCTACAATATCTCAATATTATTTTGAAACACTGCACAAAGTCTCCTTTCCACATGCTAAAGAATTCTGGAAAAATTACTGAGAATTTTCAGTTAAAAAACTTAAAGTATCAAAATATTAATTTGGGGTTCCTGGAACATCGCATAGACAATCGTTTTCTGAGTATGTCTTAAGCATCTAGGTAGGATCCTATGGTAGGATCCACTGTAATTCATTTTATAGTGATTATATTAACATTTGCTGTTAGTTTACAATACTAGCATCCAACCTCAAAGATTTTTTAAAAACTTGTTTCATGTATTATGCTTCAGGGCTTCATTATATGAAATAGGGTTGTTTGTTTTTCCTGGTCCTGAGGCTTTAACTCAGCCTACACACTGTCTCTTAGCTCTTATGCTCAAGGCCAGTGCTCTACCACCGGAGTTCTAGCTCCACTTCCACCTTTTTTGTTAGTTGAGATAAGGGTCTCACATACTTTCCTGCCTGGGAGGATTTTGACTTGCTATCCTTAGATCTCAGTCTCAGTAGCTAGGATTACAGACATGAACCACTGATGCCCAGCATAAAGTAAGTTTTTAATTAAATGGAAATTTGAAAATATCAGAAATCCTGAGCAAATTGGCAAATAATGAAGGCCACAGTTGCTTAATTTTTTTTTTTTTTGGTCCGGTCGTGGGGCCTGAACTCTGGGCCTGGGCGCTGTTCCTCAGCTCTTCAGCTCAAGGCTGGTGCTCTACCACTTGAACCACAGCGCCACTTCCGTTTTTTTCTGCTTATGTGGTGCTGAGGAATCAAACCCAGGGCCTCATGCATGCAAGCCAAGCGCTCTACCACTGAGCCACCTTCCCAGCCCACAGTTGCTTAATTTTATGTTTGTTTTCCATAAAACTCTCCAACTGTGTCCTTTCTCCCTTGTCTCATGGCTTTCTTTTTCCCTTGCTCCCTCACTTTCTACCAGCAAACACACTAATGGATTTTGTCAAGCTAATATGTCTTTCCAAACTAAAATCAGAACGCATAGATACCAGAGAAAATAGACAAAGTGGTAGTAATCAGGATATTAAACTAATAGTGTTCATTTTAATTTTTAATATTATAACTAAGCATACTAAAAATTTTAATTTTCTTTTTTGCATTTCAGTCCCATTTGACAAGAAGTATTTGTCAGGTAAGCAATATTCTGTTCTTAAATGTTTCTCCGTAATTAAAAATACTTTAAAATTCTGGCATGTTTAAATATTATTATAGACACCTTTAAAATTAGTTATATAATATAGAGCTTTTGTTGTTGTTGTTGTTGGTCATGAGGCCTCAGCTTTGGGCAAGGGCACTGTCCCGCAGCTCTTCAGATCAAGGCTAGAGCACTCTACCACTTGAGCCACAACACCACTTTCAGCTTTTTCTGCTTATGTGGTGCTGAGAATTGAACCCGGGGCCTCATGCATGCAAGGCAAGCACTCTACCACCGAGCCATCTTCCCAGCCCCAATATAGAGCTTTTATAAGATGCTAGAAAACCCTCTTGGCACATTAAATATGGTAACTCTAACTTATGTACAAAGTGGCCATTTTGTCATAGTATTTTATTATGGAATTCATTACCTGTGTTTGTTGGATAAAACTGCAACTTAAAAAAAAAGGCTTCACCTCAGTTACATTTACAATTCATAATACATTTATCTTAAGTTGGGCTTACTAGCTGTATTTTATTATTTTTTTTTTAAAGGGGGTATGGCTAGGCTAGGAAGTTGGTGACTAGGTGGTAGAGTGCTTGCCTTGCATGCATGAGGGTTTGATTCCTCAGCACCACATAAGCAGAAAAAGCCAGAAGTGGAACTGTAGCTCAAGTGATAGAGTGCTAGCCTTGAGCTGAAGAGTTGAGGGACAGACAGCCCAGAGTTCAGGCCCCACGACCTAAAAAAAAAAAAAAGTGTCTAACACTTGTATTCTCACCTACTACTCAGAAGGTAGAGATGGAGAGAATCATGGTTCAAAGCCAGCCCAGGCAAAAAGGTAGTAAGACCTACATCTCAAACAAGCCAGTTGTGGTCTTTCCCATGTATTCCCAGCCTTATAGGAGGTATAGGTACCCTTGCTGTCAAGGTTGGCTCTTTTTGCTGGCAATTTTATCTGGAAAAATAACTAAAGCAAAAAGGGCTGGGAGTTGTGCCTTAAATGGGAGAGTGCCTATCAAGCACAAAGACTTAAATTTAAGCCCCAGTACTGCCAAATAACTGAGTCAATAGACAAATGGGGGAGGGATAAGGTAACTCAAAACACAAAATTATAGAAGGCAATCACTGCCCCATGCACCCTACAATATCTTTACCCTTATTGGACACTGTTTCACTCCATTTCTTCTTTTACCTTCTGTTTCTTTTGCTGATGTAAAGTGAGGAAGGTAACTTCTGTTTTATTAAATTCACTAGTTTATCGATATACATTTATCTAATCACTTATTACAACTGAATACTCTTCCTAGCTTAAACCTTCCACTTGGCTTTTCCTAAAATTTGCTATTGTGAATGATGGTGAAAAAAAATGTACAAATACAAGCTTAACTGAATTAATTCCTCAAAATGAAATTATTGCATCAAAAGTGAATCTACAACTTTGATCAATGCTGTTTAGCATCTAGAGGAACTGTATCATTTTGCATTCTCACTTAGCAATGTCTGAGTGGCTGTTAGCATACCTCCAGATTTTCATCAATTGGGTTGTATGAATATATGGATGCATGTCTATATGTATGCATATATGTGTATATATGTGTATAGAGATATACACATATCAGTAAATCTTGCTAAGTAGTTCATCCTTAAACTTGAAATCCCCCTGCTTCATCTTCCTAGGTGCTGTATTATAGGCAGGCACCACGATGCCTGGCCTGAATAGTTTTTAATCCCGTTTTGAAATCTTATACAGCTTGCTATTTGTATATTCACTTGTCTGTGAAATTAAAACACCCCGTATTACCATCATAATATAAAGTTCCTCAATATCATTCCCAATAAATGTCCACCATATTATTAATCCACTCCCCGATTTTAACACATATGAACTGTATTATTGAAACTGCTGAGTTTTATTTTCAATTCCATACATGCATGTGTTATACATTGATCTTTACAGCCACTCTTTTCTCCACATGAGAAAACACACAATAGTTTATTTCACTTCACATGATATCCTCTACTATTCTGATGTCTGTCACTTCAGTTGTCCTAGAGCTTGATTATATTTCCAAAGGTGGAATTTTATCATAAGGTAGCTCTGAAACTACCATGTAACTTTTCAATGAGAACTGTTACTGTTTGTATTGGCAAGGTATACATCTTCTAATACATACTTTACAAATGTTTTCTTCATTTGTGGCTTTCCATGGTAGAGATATAGAAAAGGAAAGGGAGGTTACGGATATACACATAGAAGCTATAGCCTCATCTTCCTTTGGGAAGACGACGAATAGCATTTTACACCACACACACACACACACACACACACACACACACACACACACACACACACACACACACACACGCCTCACACCTATAAGCTGGTTACAACTTAAAAAAAAAAGTCGCTGGTGGCTCACGCCTGTACTCCTAGCTACTCAGGAAGCTGAGATCTGAGGATTGCGGTTCAAAACCAGCCAGGGCAGGAAAAGTCTGTGACTCTGATAAACCACCAGAAAACCAGAAGTGGCGCTGTGGCTCAAGTGGTAGAGCGCTAGCCTTGAGCTGAAGAGCTAAGGGACAGCGCCCAGAGTTCAAGCCCCATGACTGGGGGAAAAAAAAGTACAAGTTGGAGGTGAGGGGTAAGGATGGGACAGAAAATGATGTAAATGTGAGGAAACTGCAACCCTTGCACACTGTTGTGGAAATGTGTGTGCGTGTGTGTAGGGGGGGGGGGTGCAACCAGTGGTAAAGAGCACTTTCTCAAAAAATTTAAAAATAGAGTCATCATATGGTCTCAATCTCACATCTGCATGTACACCTCAAGGAACTGAAACCCAGGAACTGTGTATCTGTTTGCAACAGCATTATCTACAGTAGCCAATTGAAGAAACTCGATGTTTATCAGAAGATGCTATGAATTCATTGAAATATTCATATGTAAATCTACATTAAAATTGCATAAACACTAAGTGCTAAGCTTTCTTCTGAAGTAGACATTGAAGGCAGTGAACAAAATAGGAAAAGGGTAGAAAAGGGTAAGACATGTCAGATAGTGAAATATGCTATTCAGAGGAAAAGTCAGGATGAATTTGAGTGCAGGAGAAAGGTTTTGTGCATGTTTTTAAAGTAGGTAGCCTCACTGACAAAAGCTGTATTTAAGCAGAATGAAATCTCAATAAATAACACCTGTCATACAGACATTAGGCTTAGTTTATGACTTTAATGAGACTAGGATCACTGGACTGAAGGGGACAAACTCAAGTGCAGCAAAGCTTTTGGCAAACGACTTTCCAAAGAAAAGTTGGAAGACCTTGGGAAGAATGAAAAGAATAGGATGGCTAAGGGATGCAAAAGTTATGGAAAGGAGCATGCAGGAATGTTGAACCTTGAGAAATTGGACTTTAGATGGGAAATAAAGGCAATTCCATTGGATATAACAGCAATAAGCAATGGGAATTTGACTTTTTGCTGTTACTAAATAGATTCAAGTCAGTCATTTAAATTATGTTCCCGAATTACGTGTATAGTTAGCACCCAGTAACCTGTACTAGATTTCAACGCGTGTGCACATGTGTGCATGCATGTGTATGTACTGGTCCTGGAGCTTGAATTCAGGGCCTGGGCACTATCCCTGAGCTTTTTTTGCTCAAGGCTAGCACTTACCACTTGAGAAACTCCACTTTCCTAACCAGACTGGCTTCAAACCATCATCCTTGGATCTTACCTCCTGAGTAGCTAGAATTACAGGTGTGAGCCATTGGTTCATAGCTTAACGTACTTTCTCTGGGTAAATCTGGTCTTCAAATGGCCAATATTAGAATTAGGGTGTAGCCAAAACATTTTTTTTTTAATTGTGAAAATACTGTACAGAGGGGTTACAATTACATGGGCAAGATATTGAGTACATTTCTCATCAAGCATTGTAGCCTCCTCCTTTGTTTCCCCTTCCTATCTTCCCCACCCAAAAAAACATTTTTTATATGCTGCCAGTTATGTTAGCTGACAATGAGGATGGCTTTTCTCCCCATTTTAGTATGCGGGCATTAAACCTGGCCACAAGTCACTTGCAGATACTGTTCTCTGCCAATTTTTGGATGCTGTCTATAGGTCTTTCAATCTTCAGTTAAAGCTGTGATACTTATAAAATCATCTTGATTTGATTTGATCTGCTTTCTGACCAAAGTTTACTTATTATGTGCTCATTAACTCAAAAACGCTTGTAGGAGCAGGGAACGTGGCTTGGTGGTAGAGTGCTTGCCCAGCATATATGAGGCCCTCTGTTCAATTCCTTGGTACCACATAAACATAAAATCAATAAAATAAAAAGGAAAATAACCATTAAAATTAAACAACGCATGTTCCTATGACCGTTATGGATTATAATGTTCCTATGGTTAATTATGGGTACTGAAAACAAAGTAGTATATGCAGGTAGGAAAGAATTTTAACATTTTAATGTCTGTAGTAACACCTATGTCCCGAAAAACTGTGACAATATTTTATGAGAAAAGAGTTGCTTACCATTTCCTGTATTTAAAAAATCTTACATAGAATCATGTGTATTTATTTACACATGTAAATAAAACCATGGCTCTCCTCACCTAAATGAAAGACCAGATGAAATTTATCCCACTAATCTTTTAATTCTTTCAAGCCCTATTTTAACAAGTCAGCTGAAATGAATTTAAACATACTTAAGTATACATAAAAATTCATCTGCAAAGGAAGATTCTGAAATATTTCAGACCTTTATTACTATAGGCCAAATAATATAAATATTTTGGCTTGTGAAATTGACTTATAAAAGACTGTAATGGTTTTGAAAAGAAATGCAAAGCTGTAGTTAGAGAATTTAGAGTAACTATATAGCATTACTTGACTGAATGCAAAGAAACAAAAATGCAAGAAATTGCAGCTCTTGGATTTTTTTTTCTTTGAAGCAAAAAGACCAGCCAGACAAACCTTTATTAGAGCTCACTGGTGTAATTAGCTAAACTTCATTATCTCTGGAGAGCAGTAGATGTGAGTTTGTAAGATCTTGATTCAAAATAAAAAAGCTAATAAAAACATAAGTAATAGCATGGGACACATTGGGTTCTTCAGTTGACAACCTTTTAATTGAAAGTATGGCATTTTCTCAGATTAAAAAAAAAAAACACAAACCTTGATAATGTGTAACTTTCTCATGTGTGGGAAGTTATAAATATGAATGCATGATGAAAATACACTGGTGCTTCCCAAAATTCCAACTTGTATACCTGGATATATCAAGTGTTTTTTCTTTTCCCTTTCAGATAATCATATTTTAATATCAACTTTAGTGATTGCTAGCACAGTAACTCTGACAGTTTTGGGAGCGATCATTTGGTTCTTCTACAAAAGAAACTCTGGTTCTGGTTTCACCACAGTTTTTTCAACTGCACCCCAATCACCTTATAACGACGATTGTGTTTTGGTTGTTGCTGAAGAAAATTGTGTTCAATTTGACTAAACTTCTGATACTCTGAGACCAATACATCTAATACTGATGGTGAATCCTGTGTAATATTTGAATATAAAATGAAAGAAAATAATGTATGGTAGTGATCATTCTGGTAACATTATTTATGCACTCATGATAAAAACCAATCTGGTTCAGCCCTTTAGAAAAGGAACCATCTTAGATACAACTTAGGGGTTTTACACTCTTCAAATGCAGCAGCCGTTGAGTGAAGCCTTCTATGGGAGCTTAAGAATGAGGTAATCATTATTTTCCACGTATGGGAAAATTCTAAATATGAATACATAATGCAACTACACTTGTGCTTCCCGACATGCAGTAATTCCAGTTTAAAACTGACAATGAACTACTTTCCCCCCCATCATGTTCACTTATTGCTCCACAGTGCCATTTATATAATATGGGAAGCTAATACAGCAAAGCTAACGGGGTACAAGACCGTCATTATTATTTTGACATTTCATATGTAGTGCCAAACTACAAATTGTAGAATGTTTTATTCCATCTTGACGTTTTTAGAATGTATACAGATAAAACTGGTATCTTAAAATTTTGTGGTTTAGCTTAAAAGAAATGCAAAGGTAATAGACAAAAACTGATTTGAAGTCTAGTTAAAACTTTTTTCTTTTTTTGTCAGTCATGTGGCTTGAACTCTGGGCCTGGGCGCTGTCCCTCAGCTCTTCAGCTCAAGGCTAGCGCTCTGCCAATTGAGCCACAGTGCCACTTTTCTGAGTGGTCAATTGGAGTCTCATGCCCTTTCCTGCCCAGGCTGGCTCTGAACCACAATCCTCAGGTCTCAGCCTTCTGAGTAGCTAGGATTACAGGCATGACCCACTGGAGCCTGGCTAAAACAGTGTTAAAGGAAGTCTTCGAGCACTGTTTAAAAGGAAACAGTTCAAACTATACATCAATCAATATGCACTTTATTTCAAGCCAAGATTTTACAGAAGAGGAACAAACTAAGTGTGGACAAACTGTTCATTCACATTTGAGAAATAACATGGTTTCTAGGCAGGTTTTGAAAAAGTAGTTTGTTGCCATAACATCGGACTTTTATTTTTGAAACCAAATGCGTGTGTTTGTAACCATTTATAGTAGGGTGTTGACAAGGAAAAATACAATGTTATGAAAATTCAAACAACTCATAGCCACAGTGCAGACTCATTCATGTTGAAAAGGTAATGTTCATGTTTTCCAAAGGTAGTGAAAAATACTAGTAATCATCAAATAAATGCCCAGAATTACCAAGGAACAGTTAAAAATGACCAAGATCCAAATAGGTTATTTTTTAATCATATTTATAAAGAAGTGACAACACTAAAAAGTACATTGAAAACCAGTGTTTTAAACTTTGCAGGTGGGATTTTAAAATATTCCATTAACTTGAGATTGCAGTAATTTTTTTTAACCAAATATCATTTGACTGGCAATTCTCATATAACTTATAGCTATTAAATATCCCCAAAAGGAATACCTACATATCACGGACTATCAAATATAATCTGCATTTTGCAAATCAATATAAAATTTATCCATCATTTCTGTATTTTTATATATTTTTAAAATTAGGTTTTAAAGTTAAATGAATTTAGAATTGAAACTAAATTTGGAAACCTAATATGTTTTTCATAAACTTGTCCCCATTCTTTGCAGGTTTTTTTTTTTTTTTTTTTAAAAGAACACTGGAAGTAAATGATCATGAAAATTTGGCTACAACTTTAAGACATTAAAAAAAATACTCATTAGATGCCATTTGGCATTTCATTTCAAAAGTACATTTTGTCCCATCTTTCTCACTAGCAAGAGACTAAAACACAAACTTGTTTCCCCCATAAATATGGCTACAGTAATCAGAACACAACAAAGGGTTGATGGACAGTGCTTAGGTATTTAAATCAAGGGTAATGCTTTCCCACTCACCTAAAACAAACAAACAAAAAAACTGCTTTTGATTACCATATTATAAACATCAGATTTGCTGGCCAATGTTAAAAGGGTCCAGCAGAATTTTAATTCAGCAACACTTGAGAATGAATATATACCCACATGGATACATGTATGTATATATATTCATTTTATGTAAGTCAATATATTTACTAGGCATTCCCCACAAAATTATTTCACAATTAATTGCCAGTTTTAATAAACACTTGTTCACAGATCATCCATTTCTCTTAAATGAAGTTAGGCAATATCATATGTTCTGTTATGGTCTCCATCTTCTTCAGAATCATCCTCTGAAGCTGTTAAAAGAAAACATGATGATCAAGAATGATTTAGAGGAGGATGAGAATGGGAAATGTAAATATGAAGCCAGAAGAGCAATGACTTGTAATACAAAAATCCCAATTTAGTATACTGTTTGGTCAAAATGCTAAGTTATCATGACTGAGTTAGGGTGGTTGGATTGTGGGTGACACCCATTCATAGCACCCCCACCCCCACACCTTTTTGTGGTGTTACATAGTTTTACAAAAATGAAAATGCTTATAGATGTTGTTCAAGAGGATCTTCTAAACCATTTCTGAGATCAGTTTGTGCTCCTAGTAGCAATGACACATACACTAGAGAAAAAGTAAATTTAAGGCAAGTGCTCTCACACACCTGAGTAGAATCTGGCTTATTACCGCTGCATGTTTGATGCATCCGATGAGAATGAAAAAAAATGTACATAGAATAACAGGTTATGGGTGTTCTTGCAATTTACATTAATGCTATGTCTATACAATGCCAAGAAAAAGCTTTATTTAGTATGTCAAAAAAGCTTTATATAGACACAGCTTACGTTACTTAATAATTGGACTCAGTAAAAAACTATTGAGATTACCACCCTGTCTCCAAACTGCCAGAAACATCATTTTTACATTTCTGACCACATTTTATTCCACAATCATTAGTTGTTTGAGATTTAATATAAAGCATTTTGTATGTCTTTAAGAAGGACAGAGTAGGAAAAAAACACACAAAAAAACCAACAAAAAGACTCTATAAATAACTGCTTTATATACAAAGGAAAATGAAAGTTCACTAAAGAAACATCTAACCAACATTTATGGTTAATATACTCTTTTCTTGTATTAGTATTATATGATTTAAAACACCTAGCAAGTGAAATCAAACCAGAACAAATTACAGGAAAGTATGAAACATTTATAAATAAAACCTCCTTTTAATATTTGACCCCTAGCTTGTAATTGATAAACCTTTGGTTTATGCTCTCTCATAAAGACTAGAATAGCTTTTCAAAGAGCTTTCTGTTAATTCCACCAAAGAAAATTGAGTTCAAATTGATTTTCAAAATATACTAATACACTGGTATTTTCTTCCCTTTTTATATTCCTATATCACTGGGGATTGAATATGAGGTTTTACAACTGTTAGACCTGAGTTCTGTAACTTGGAGGGTGCCCCTAGTCTTTCTGCTTTTTTACTGTGCTTTTTGGGCAGGATCTAGTGCATATCACAGTACTGTCTTGGCCCCTCCTCCAGGGTACTTTAGATTACAGACATTTGCCGCACACTGGGCACAGGTACTTTGGGATTCATTTATAGCACTTGCCTCCTTTACTTGAATGGGGGTGTGTTATTTCATGGCATCTTGTTTCTTTCCTTAAATGCTGGGGAACAAACATTGCTATGTTTAGGAAGCTATATTCTAAAAGAGATGACAGTTTCCTGAAATAGGAAGTCTGGGGAAAATATGCCAGAACAAATTATTATTGCATCAAAGTTTTGTAGTCAATTAAAGGCTCTAGTTTGAAGAAGCTATAAAGTTTAAAAGCAATTGCACTAAATGAATTCTGACTCCTTTATTTTCACATGTAGGAATTAAAGTTAGTTTTCAAACTGTTCCCAGAGCCACTGATTTCTGTGCCCACCTGGTATGATGCACCACTGAGGTGCTATAGGACTTTTAAGAGGGCAGGCTGTGGAAGAACTTACATGGTTTTTGTCATGTACAGAGAATCGGGACTTCCCCTCTCTCTCTTTTCTTTTTGGGGGTTCTGGTCCAGGGACTGACTGTAGGCCAGGACCAGACCTTTTATGCTCAAACTAGTGCTTTACAAGTTAAGCCATGGCTCCATTTCCAACTTTTTGGTGATTAATTGGACATAGGAGTCTCACAGACTTCCCTGCATAAGCTGGCTTCAAACTGTGATCTTCAGCCTCATGAGTAGCTAGGATTACAAGCGTGAGCTACCAGTGCCTGTCTAGGACTTTCTCTCTATTTTCCGGAGCCATACACAAGTCCAAGGAAAACCCTTAGCAAAGCAAACCTAATAAGTAAAATTTCTTTACACATTAAAAAAACTAAGAAATATAGTTTAATAGTTAAATAGTATCTTTTTTAGTACAAGTGCTAAAATCAAAGTGATTTATTTACAATAAAAGTAAAACAATAATAGTTAAGAAATGTATCCTTCTGTATCTTAAGACAAATACAAATTAAAAGACTAGTGTCAATTGTCCAACTCTTATTTTCCAAGCCAACCCAGCTATCCACCGAAGCTCTAATTTAATCGAAAAGAGTATATATACTTAGATTTTGTTCTGTGGGTTTAATTTGCAAAAGTATATTCAACAAGTCTGGGGAGGGAAATTCCACCTACTTTCGAGATCTTCCATATGTGCCTGAAGAGTTCTTGCAAGGTTAATAAACTAGAAACAATGCAGAAAGAAATACAGTAGTTTAAATGTTGCAAATGGATCTAAAGAGAATCAGTATAGGAGACTCATTTCTACTTTAAAAAGTAAACACCATTTTAGTCCTTTATACAGGGGTATTTCATCCCCCACATTAAAAGTCATAACCATAAGGGCATTACTGTTAAATGTTTTATATAATCATTACTAATCATGTAGAAATCCATTTCTTAAAATTAGGAAAAAGTTTAATCTCTCTATGTAATATAATCGTTGTTTATAATTTAAAGTGAAGGGGAGAAAAAAGAAAAACATCAAAATACTTTGGAAGCAAATGAACTAAAATTTGCCTGTCTAGATAGCTGGTAACTGTATAAAATTTAAGCCTGTACTTTTTTTTTTAAAAAAAATCCTAGTAACCTCCTAACTTAACCTTGTTAATAACTATTAACTTTTTTTTTTTTAAATAAATGAATGAATTTATATGTTTTTTTCTCAT